TTGGGTTGTTGTAGATTTTTCGGGTTGTATGGCCATGTTCTAGAAGCATTCTCTCCTGACGTTTCGCCTGCATCTATGGCAAGCATTCTCAGAGGTTGTGAAGTCTGTTGGAAACCCTGGACATCCCAGAGATATATAAACCCAATTTCCTAGTTTCCAACAGACCTCACAACCTCTGAGGATGCTTGCCACAGATGCAGGCGAAACGTCAGGAGAGAATGCTACTAGAACATGACCATACAACCCGAAACACCCACAACATCCCAGAGATATATAAACCCAATTTTCCTAGTTTCTAACAGACCTCACAACCTCTAAGGATGCTTGCCACAGATGTAGGCGGAACGTCAGGAGAGAATGCTACTAGAACATGACCATACAACTCGAAAAACCCACAACAACCCAGTGGATTGCAAGGCTCCCTTCTTCCTGACCCCAGGAGACCCACCCCAACTCTAGATCTTTCTATCTCTTTCTTACCTGGGTTGTGTGGGCTGTCCTGGCTTTGTCCACACAGGGGCATCTGCCTCCTTTTGGCAAGGGCGACCACCCTGTAGCCCAGCTGAGACTCTGGACCCCGCCGAGGGAAAGCCAGCTTCCCCGGCTTCTCGTTTCAAGCCAGAGCAGACCACGTGCGAGGGAAACCTGGGGGAGGCCCCACCCACCCCGTGACGTCACCGAAGGGTTCCCGCCTGATTGGAAGAGGAGGCTGCTGCTCTCAGAGGATCAGGCTTGCAGACTTTCCCTTGAAGCTTCCCTGGGGTGCATCTCCACTCCAAAAAAAGCCTGTATCATTCAGTAGGAGTCCAGTGTCTAGATCCAGGGAAGTCATGCTACTCCTCTATTCTGCCTTGGTTAGACCATACCTGGAATACTGTGTCCAATTCTGGGCACCACAATTGAAGGGAGATGTTGACAAGCTGGAATGTGTGACTAAAATGATCAAGGGTCTGGAGAACAAGCCCTATGAGGAGCGGCTTAAAGAGCTGGGCATGTTTAGCCTGAAGAAGAGACGGCTGGGAGAATTATTTATTTATTATTTACTTACGACATTTATATGCCGCCCTTCTCGCCCCGAAGGGGACTCAGAGCGGCGTACAAGATATATATACATACAATATATTATATTATTAGCATAGTTCAGTATCAGAGTTAAATATTACTATATTGTACTATACCATTATATTGTAATATTATGAACAATATTACATGTAATAGAAATATATAATTATAAAATATTATTAGTATTATATTGCATTACATTATAATATTATAAATACTATATGTATAAACAATATATTATATTATATTATCAAAATAGTACAGGAGACAAGATGGAACTGTCCCCTGCCCCCCTTCACTCTGGCCCAGAGCGGCAGTTGGTGCAGGGGGGAGGGTCCACAACTGATGACATATGTAGGAGACAAGATGGAACTGTCCCCTGGCCCCTCTCTCTTCACTCTGGCCCAGAGCAGCAGTTGGTGCTGGGGGGAGGGGAGGAGTCCCTAACTGATGACATATGTAGGAGACAAGATGGAACTGTCCCCTGCCCCCACCTCTTCACTCTGGCCCAGAGCGGCAGTTGGTGCAGGGGGGAGGGCCCCCCAACTGATTACATATGCAGGAGACAAGATGGAATTATCCCCTGTCCCCTCTCTCTTCCCTCTGGCCCAGAGCGGCAGTTGGTGTTGTGGGAAGGACCCCCCAACTGATGACATATGCAGGAGACAAGATGGAACAGTCCCCTGCCCCCCCCTTCACTATGGCCCAGAGCGGCAGTTGGTGCTGGCGGGAGGACCCCCCCCCAACTGATGACATATGCAGGAGACAAGATGGAACTGCCTCTGCCCCCCCCCTCTCTTCACTCTGCCCAGAGCGGCAGTTGGTGCTGGCGGGAGGACCCCCCAACTGATGACATATGCAGGAAACAAGATGGAGCTGTCCCCTCCCCCCCATCTTCACTCTGGCCCAGAGCAGCAGTTGGTGCTGGCGGGAGGACCCCCCCCAACTGATGACATATGCAGGAGACAAGATGGAGCTGTCCCCTGCCCCCCCATCTTCACTCTGGCCCAGAGCGGCAGTTGGTGCTGGGGGGAGGACCCCCCAACTGATGACGTATGCAGGAGACAAGATGGAACTGTCCCCTGTCTCTCCCCTCTCTTCACTCTGGCCCAGAGCGGCAGTTGGTGCAGGGGGGAGGGCCCCCCAAATGATGACATATGCAGGAGACAAGATGGAACTGTCCCGTCCCCTTTCTCTTCACTCCGACCCAGAGCGGCAGTTGGTGACATATGCAGGAGACAAGGTGGAACTGTCCCCTGGCCCCCTCTCTCTTCACTCTGGCCCAGAGCAGCAGTTGGTGCAGGGGGGAGGGCCCCCCAATTGATGACATACATATGCAGGAGACAAGATGGAACTGTCGGGGGTGCTTTGAATGCAATTTTCCTGCTTCTCGGCAGGGGATTGGACCAGATGGCCTATGAGGTCCCTTCCAACTCTATGATTCTATGCAGTTTGACACCCCTTTAACTGACATGGGTCAATACTTGAGAATCCTAGGAGTTGGTGTTTAAGAAGGCGCCAGCCCTCTTTGGCAGACAAGGCAAACTACCACCACTACCATGCCATAGCATTGAGCCATGGCAGGTAAAGTGGTGTCCAACTGCCTGTCATTCTGTAGATTAGAGCTTTCCAAACATTTCATGTTGGACCTGCATCGTTTTTGTGACACAGTACAGGCACTCATTTCCTGCCCAGTTTTACTTTCACAACCTGGTATGATTCTTTATAGATTGATTTCAAAATATTGTTGGTGGCTCACAATAAAGCAGTTTCCTCTCTCAATCGTTTTAGTCTACTAATCTCATTAGCCGAGGCAGCAGGGAGCTGCGTCCTGTTTTTTAAGGTGTGGGATTCTATTCTGGGGCTTGTCTGGACATGGATTATGACAGTAAAAATACACTAGCTAGCAGATTATTGATCCAAATCCAGAACAAATCACTATCTTATTGATTGTGGAATCACAGCAGATATTTATCTGCGATCTGCACCTTCTTTTTGAGAAGGTTTCATTTCTGCCTTTTGTGGATGTTCTCAGTTTTGAAAAAAAAATCAATACACTAAAGGTGAAATGGAGCAATTTGATGCAGTCCCTTCAGATCTTCTTCAGAGGCTTTGGAGAACCCACTGAGGGGGAGAAGATGTCCCATCGTTTGAACATAAATTCATTCACATGGCATTGGATATGGATAATTATTTATACAGATATCCCACTATTAGAATGCCCAGGACAGCATGTAAAATGTAAGTGTCTATGCATTTTGTGTGCCTTTCTCCTGACATTTGTATCTGTATGTGCATGTATACAATGCTTTGAAATAATGCTTTTATGTCTACTAACATATATATTTTACTACAACTTTCTGTATTTGCAGATTGGATTGCAACATTCAGAAAATTAGGAATATTGCCACGTAATTGTATTACAAGGCCCCCTGGTGCTGTGAGCGGGTTAATTCTTTGAGCTGCTGAACTTGCTGACTGAAAGGTTGGTGGTTCGAATCTGGGGAGCGGGGTGAGCTCCCACTGTTTTAGGCCCAGCTTCTGCCAACTTAGCAGTTCAAAATGTGAGTAGATCAATAGGTACTGCTTCTGCGGGAAGGTAACGGCGCTCCATGCCCACATGACCTTGCAGGCATCTATGGACAATGGCTTAGAAATGGAAATTAGCATCACCCCACAGAGTCAAACACGACTAGACTTAATGTCAGGTGAAACTTTTACCTTTAACTAGCCATCTCCTGCCATGTGTTGCTGTGGCCCAGCCTGATGATCTGGAAAATAAAGTAATGAGAAAGTGTTGGTTTCTAATATATGTAATGTCTTTATGCTTGTGGGTAAACAAGCTGTTTCTTTGTCAGTGTTGATGTGGAGATTGTCTGGTTTGCCTACTCTGGAACATGCAAAATATATTTGTCCTTCTTTAGGGGTCTCTTTCAAATCTATTATACTATATCTCTCTGTGTGTGAATCATATCTATATCTATACCTATGGCTGGATGGCTCTTTGCCAGGAGGGTTTTGTTTACGTTTTTGTGCCCTGGTGATGGGAGTTGGACTGGATGAACTTAAGTATTTTCTGTTGGCCATGGGGGGTTCTGTGTGGAAGGTTTGCCCCAATTCTGTCGTCGTTGGGGTTCAGAATGCTCTTTGATTGTAGGTGAACTATAAATCCCAGTAACTACAACTTCCAAATGCCAAGTTCGATTTCCCCCAAACTCCACCTGTGTTCATATTTGGGCATATGGAATATTCGTGCCAATGCATCATTGTTTGAGTCCACAGTGCTCTGTGGGTGTAGGTGAACTACAACTCCCAAACTCCAAGTCAATGCCCACCAAACTTTTCTAGTGTTTTATGATGGTCATGGGAGTTCTGTGTGCCAAGTTTGGTTCAATTCCATCATTGGTGGAGTTCAGAATGCTCTTTGATTGTAGGTGAACTATAACAATTGATGGTTGCTCCTTGGATTAATAGGTGTCTTGTAGCCAAATTTGGCAGCAATTCACACAGTGGTTTTTGAGTTATGTTAATCCCACAAACGAACACAAATGAACATTACATTTTTATTTATATAGATTGGGTTCCAATCTGTGTGCAAATGTGGCAGTATGAGTTTAGTAAATTTGCATTAAGAGGAGAAAGCAATAATCATCTCATCCATCCCTAACCACTCATTTTGTAAGCTTAGCCAAGATGTAAAACTCATAATTTTGTTTTGTGGTTTTTGAGGTTTTGATATAATGTTATTCAATAAAATGAGTCTAAATTAGTGGATCTGAAATACTGATAATTATACATTCTTTTACTTGTAACACAACAGCACACTAAAAAATCAGGTTTTTAAAAATACAGAAATGGTGTAAAGGAGAGCAAAAACAAAAAAGATAAAAGATAAAACTTCAGGAGGGAATGTGACTTTTGACATGACCTCAAAAGCCAGTCTTCCCTGAATAACAGACAGCAAGCAATTTGCGTTAGACTTGGCAGCCAAAAAATGTTAATGTATTGGAAAACTGGGTGAGGATATCGCACAGGTCCTGCAGTTCTTGGTCTTGACATTCATCTTCACTTGGCCACCTCTCGATCCAGGTATTTTTGCTTATAAGGTAGTGGAAACTGGAAAAGACCAAAAGAGTAGAGTTCTGAATTTTTGCTCTACAGGCAAACTGGTTAACAGGAGATCTGTGGAACAACCTACCAAAGCTGGATTGAAATGAGTAAGCAACCATTCCTCAATCATTTCAAACACCTTGAAACAGCCAAGTGTTATTGTGACTGTATTTGGGGATGATAGGTTTCTTTTGATGAGAAATCTACTTCTTCTTTTTTTAATTTTAAGGCCTTTTCTGAGGCATTTTGAATCGGGAATGTCAACATTGACACCAGGGATGTCAACAGCCATTTTCCAGATTAAGACATTTGTAGACTAGGAGCTCTTCTATATGACTACCCCACTTGACCCACTAGAAGAAGACATCATAACAAAAAAACTGTCCCATTGAGCTATATGGGCCTCAAAAAGTGCATATCCTTTAAAAGCCAAAAGACAAAAATATTATTTCTTTCTTTTTTGTTAATTCAGTTTTTGTAGGCCCTAAAGGTTTTGTAGGCACAGCCAAGTGCCTAATGGATAAGGCAGTTGTGGTTAACATTAAACAATGGTGCCTTATTTGCCACTTATTAGTATAGTAATTGTAATTGTGATATATGATATTTTAATGAATGTATATGTTTTTATGGCTGTAAACCGGGCTGAGTCCCTCAATGAGGTTGAGAAGCTCGGTATACAAAACTGTGAAATAAATAAATAAATAATATCACCATTACATAAATCAGCAGTTGTCTCTAAAGGAGGGCTAGGGAAGTATTATTATTATTATTATTATTATTATTATTAGTAGTAGTATTAGTATTTGGGTCCACTGGATCAAATTGGCCCCAAGACCAGTCTAGTAAAGTGAATGGAGTTAGGGAGTGGGGCTTGACTCACCACCCTCCCGAAAATGCTGAGGAACATTGGAATAAACTGAAGACTTCTATCATTATGAAACCTTATATCCATTTTTTCAACTTTGTAATAATAATAATAATAATAATAATAATAATGTTTATTTATCCCCGGAGCCCTCGGTGGTGCAGTGGGTTAAAGCGCTGAGCTGCTGAGCTTGTTGACTGAAAGGTCGCAGGTTCGATTCCGGGGAGCGGCGTGAGCTTCCACTGTCAGCCCTAGCTTCTGCCAACCTAGCAGTTTGAAAACATGCAAATTTGAGTAGATCAATAGGTACTGCTCCGGCGGGAAGGTAACGGCGCTCCATGGAGTCATGCTGGCCACATGACCTTGGAGGTGTCTATGGACAACGCCGACTCTTCAGCTTAGAAATGGAGATGAGCGCCACACCCCAGAGTCAGACATGACTGGACTTAATATCAGGGGACAACCTTTACCTTTTATCCCCTGCTTTTTCTCTCCACAAGGAAATTCAAAGAAGCATACGTTAAAAGCATTTCAATACAATTTAAAATCTACAAAAATGCAAACATTAAACAGAATTAAGTATCAATTGTATTAAAATTCACAGTTAAAATCCATATAAACATATTCAAAGCAAAAAACCACAATATCCTCTCTTGGCTGAACTACCATATTTCATCACATAATAGTTGCACTTTTTGTCCTTTTTTGACAGCTAAAAGGGTGTGTGATTAATACGTGATGAAGAAAATTGGGCATGTGGGCAAGTGAAATGATGCTTTCATTCACTCTCACCTCACTTGCCCATGTGCCCATTCTTCTTTCAGATTTGCTGCTTCATGGGGGTGGATGGGAAGGAAAGCAAGTTAGTGGCTACCGATTTGCTACCGGGCTCAATTCAAAGTGCTGCCGTTGACCTTTAAAGCCCTAAATGTTCCGGCCCAAGATACCTATCTGACCGCATCTCTGCCTATGAACCCACCAGGACTTTGAGATCTTCCGGGGAGGCCCTGCTCTCGATCCCGCCTGCCTCACAGGCACGGCTGGCAGGGACGAGAGATAGGGCCTTCTCGGTGGTGGCCCCTCGGCTGTGGAACGCCCTTCCCACGGATATTAGACTAGCTCCATCATTAATGGTATTCCGCAAAAAAGTGAAGACCTGGTTGTTTGAGCAGGCGTTCGAATAGTCAGTGCAATGAGTGTAATGAACATAGGAATGGAACAATGGATGACGGATCTGGATCATGTTTTTAGTGATGAGACGCTAGTGAATGGCTATTGTTGTTAATTGTATATTATTGTATAAGGTGCTATGATGTTAACTGTTTTTATACCGTGTTATTGTAGTATCGAATTTTCGCTGTTCTGTTGTTAACCGCTGTGAGTTGCCTAAGAGCTGAGAACAGCAGTATACAAATAAAGTAAATAAATAATAGTGAGTGAAGCACCCTTGCTGAATCAATTATGCAACCAGTATGTGAGGAAAGGAGAAATACCAATTTTGTGACACAAACCTGGGGGTGTGACTATTATGTGGTGGTGACTTTTATGCAATGAAACGGGGTATTCTTTTTTCCACTAGTTCTAGAACAACATATCAGGTATCAATTGCTTGCCACACTAATTTGGGGTGAGTACAGAGTCAGATATCAGAAAGCATCTGCTGCTACACTCAGCTGCTCATTGACTTAAGGTCTGTCTATAAAAAACCAAACTAATAAGAAGGAAAGGAAAAGGAAAGTCTTGAATAATTCAGAGGCACAAAACCCCTTAAACAGTCAGCCATAGAGATTGAGGGCTCTTCCAGAAAGGGCCAAATCCTGGGACAAACTGGGACATTTAATACCAGTTCCTCCCGGGATTCACACCCCACACCTGCTCCAAACCCTGGGATTTTCCGGGGGGGGGGGGGGGGGGGGGGCAGTGTCTACATGCCCTCTTGTGTCTTACTTACTTACTTAGGCGATCCCTCGTAATCCGAGGATGATGGTCCTCTAAGTGTAGTATCCTGGCAATGGGTCCGTAGGTGACTGTGGAGCCCTATTCTTGATCTACATCTTCTCCCACAGTGAGGGCATTGGTTTCCAGGTGGAAGGCGGTCTCGGTCAGGGTTGGCTTGACATGCCTTCCTCTTGGCACGTTTCTCTCTTTCTCCCTCCATTCATGCCTCTTCAAATTCTGCAGCACTGCTGGTCACAGCTGACCTCCAGCTGGAGCGCTCAAGGGCCAGGGCTTCCCCGTTCTCAGTGTCTATGCCAGAGTTTTTAAGGTTGGCTTTGAGCCCATATTTCAATCTCTTTTCTTGCTCACCACATTCTGTTTTCCATTCTTGAGTTGACAAAGGACCATTGCTTCAGTGCTGGTGGTCTTTGCTTCTTCCAGCACGCGGACATTTGTCCGCTTGTCTTCCCAAGAGATTTGCAGGATTTTTCGGAGGCAGCGCTGATGGAATCGTTCCAGGAGTTACATGTGGTGTCTGTAGACTGTCCACGTCTTGCAGGCCTATAACAGGGTTGGGAGGACAATAGCTTTATAAACATGCAACTTGGTATCCCTACGGATGTCCCGGTCCTCAAACACTCTCTGCTTCATTTGGAGAAATGCTGCACTCCCAGAGCTCAGGTGGTGTTGAATTTCAGTATCATTATTGACTTTTGTGGAGAGGTGGCTGCCAAGGTAGTGGAAATGGTCAACATTTTCTAATGTTACACCACTAAGCTGTATTTCTGGCATTGGGGAGGGACTGCTGGAAGAGCACTCTGGTTTTCTCGATGTTCAATGACAGGCCGAACTTCTCGTATGCTTCTGCGAAGGTGTTTAGAGTGGCTTGTAAGTCTTCTTTTGAATGTGCACAGACAATGTTGTCATCAGCATACTGGAGTTCTATAACAGATGTTGTTGTAACCTTGGTTTTGGCTTTCAGAGGCTGACCCTGGAAGGTATCCAACCAGTCCCCAGCCCCCATTTACACCCAAAAATTACCAGCAAAAGCCCCTGAAGTGTCAAAATGATGCATCGGGAGGTTGGGGGTGGGGGTGGGGGGAGAGAAGGAATTTTTTCTTAAGTGCCTAACATTTCTCTTAAGTGGCTAAAATCCAGGAGCAGATTTTGAAGACAAGAAAGAAATTTTCAGTGGATGACTGGGGTTCCAGGACACTTTGAACTTAATGGATCAACTAGGCACTCTGCTATTACCCTGGTTAGTATACTTCTCACATGAAAGGCTTTATTCATCCCACATGGTAGATGCACCCTATATCTTTCAAGTAAATATCAGATGTAATCATAAGGAGTCTTCAGAGGAAAAATGGTTGATTGTAATGGTTTTCAAACCTACAGTTTTGGCTACACTCTAAGGTACTTTGAGGCACCAATGATGGAAAGGCAAGAATAATAAACAATAAAATAAATAAATAAAAACAAAGTATACATCTACTAAATCAATGAAATTAAATGCATACTCATTCTTTTCCTGCCAGAGGTCATTGGTGACACCCGAGATCAAATAGTCGACGTTCTCCTTCAGATTCAGAGCTTCCCTGCAACTCATTTTGCTAACAAACTTGCGAGGACTGGCTTCTGGATTTGGATCAGTCCCTGATGGAATCAGACAAAAAAGAAGAAGATATTTGGACCAGGGCTGGTTTAACTGATTGATACCTTGGATAGTGGGAGACAGGGGAGCAGGGAAGGAATAATTGCTTATCTTGCCCTGATGTCCTTATATCCGTAATGTTTAGGCTACATACCAACTTATCTACTGTAGAATATCATTTCATGATAGAGATAATCATTCCATCTTCCCTCTTCTAGTAATTTTTAGGAGAAGCCAGCTGGGCATAGTAAGGAATAATTAGTTTATGTGATGCCACAAAGTGTTTAATTTTCTCATCCTATTCACACACATACATTAGGCTTGGTTGATCGTGTTCGTTAGTTTCTAAAGTCATTAAGAATTCGTATTTAAATTAGCTTCGAACCAATATCGAGCCATGCAGGAATAGTGTGAGGAGTAATTAAGAATTGAAACAATTTTTTCCAATTTTCGTAATTATTTTCGTATGTCTGGTGCAAGTTTTACAATCTCGCAGTTTCTCTTCCCTCCCCAGTAGCAAACTGCGCATTTACCCCACTTCCGGTAATATAATATACAATAATAATATACAATAATAATAATATACAATAATATACAATAATAACAACAATAATAATATACAATAATATACAATAATAATATACAATATACAATAATATAATATTGTATATATACAATATTATATTATTGTATATATACAATAATATACAATAATATAATATACTATAATATAATATAATATAATATAATATAATATAATATAATATAATAGTTTTAAGCTGCTGGGCCAGGAAGATGATTAGCTGGGTTAAGACAAGCCGTTTTAAAGCGTTTTAAAGACTGGATTCCTGTAAGTGCTGACTCCATTCTGACTTCGGATTGTTTTTGGATGGACATCTCATTCTGACTTAATCTTCTGCTTTTGGACATGCTATGGGCTTGGGACAGTTTTTTGATAATATAATATATAGTTGTTGTTAGTTTTATCACACCAATAGTCAACAACAGAGGGAGAGGGAAGCTTCAGAAGTTCCCCCTGTCCCGTTTGGAGTTTTTTTCGCGTATTGCGCAATCGCGTCTGCCATTAACGAATCGATTCGTATATTTACAAAATTTCGTAAATATCGAAAATTTGAAATCTGAAATTTCGGAAATCCTTTCAGATTAGAAACATAGGCGCCCCCTAGATACGAAACGAGTTTAGAATCAAATTTTTTCTTGATCAACCAAGCCTAATATACATACATACACACAACTAAGGGCTCTACAGGACCCCCTAGTGGCACAGCAGGTTAAACTGTTGAGCTGCTGAACTTGCTGATCAAAAGGTTGGTGTTTTGATTCCATGGAGTGGGGTGAGCTCCTACTGTTAGCCCTGGCTTCTGCCAACCTGGCAGTTCGAAAACATGCAACTGTGAGTAGATCAATAGCTAAGGTAATGGCGCTCCATGCAGTCATGCCAGCCACATGATCTTGGAGGTGTCTATGGACAATACCGGCTCTTCACGTTAGAAATGGAGAAGAGCACCACCCTCCAGAGTCAAACACAACTAGGCTTAATGTCAGGGGAACCTTTACCTTTACTAAGGGCTCTACAGATGGGGAATTGCTTCAATCCATCAAAGGGACTAGTGGCTAGGAGGTGATGTTTACTCATTTCTCCTCTCTTTTTTGGAGCTTCTCACCAGGCCCGTAGCCAGGATTTTGATTCGGGGGGTGGGGTTGAGTTTGATTTGGGGGGGGGGGGCTGAGTTTGATTTTGGGGAGGGGGGCTGAGGATCTACCCTAGCAAACCTTTTGTATCATTACCCCAATACCCCCATACATATGGGATATATTGATCATGGTGATCAGATCATGATATGAATAAACATAACAGTTTAAATAATGTACCAGTAAGGCCTTCTCGCGGACCACCCTGAGAATTTCGGGGGGGGGGGGGGCTGAAGCCCCTCAAGCCCCCTCCCCCCAACCCCGGCTACATGCCTGCTTCTCACCATTATTTCTCATGCTGTTTAAAAAAGACAACCCAGCTTCTGGAAATACATTGAGGAGTAGGGTCAATAGAGAGGAGAGACTGGTAAAAATCACTTTTCTTTCAGTTCCATACACGGAATCTTTGTTAAATCAAAGATCTCTCTGTTGGTGGAATGGCAATGATGGATGCACTTTAGACCCAAGAGAAACCTTTTTATTTTCATTTTTATTTAAAAATAAAAACTGTTCTAGGGTGACCTCAAAAGCCATGTACAGACATTCATTGTCTTTTCTGTGACAGTTGACTTGACAGCAAATAAAAACAACAACAAATATGAGGTTTACAGAAAACATTCCTACTTTGTTATGCCATCTCCTACAAGATGGTCCTTTTTACCTTCTTTAATATTTTCCAGAACTTGCATGTAGTAGTTCGCATAACCATTTTCCTCTTCTATTCGAACCAATTTGGCTTTGTATACTTAAAAAAATCAGAGAAAATTTAAAACATTAAGATGCTTTTCTTCACAAATGCCTCAACTTTTTTAGCAATTGGTGAATAATAATGAATGCTGATGATGCTATTATAGTCTGACACTGCTAATTCCAAAGACAGATCTAACTCTCAAGTACAAAATGTGCTTTGTTTCTCATTGCAAGAGGTCTAGAAGACACCAAGAAGCAGAAACTTACAAGGTTAACCAGCAGCTGTCCCAGGGTACTTCCAGACAGCAGGGTTTTAAATGGGGGTTAAAAAATCCCAGGACCTGCCTGCAGGCTTGTGAGTCCTGGGATTGTGTCCCATGTTGTCCTCACAGGCTTCCTCTCTATCCGAAAAAGATGGAGGGCAGACGGGGGACAACTGGCTGAAGGGATTTAAAAAAAAACATTCTGTTATGTCCTTAGCTATATATGCACACATACAAATATCTTAATATAAATATAAGCAGATTTGCATGTGTACATATGAGGTTCAGCACATAATAGAGTGATTAAAAAAAAAATTCCACCGGATTTCTCTCTTCCTCAATTGTTTATTCAAACTTTGTTTAATATTATAAAGTGTAAAATAAAGAGTTTCAGAGAGTTCTAATTGCTTCCTATAAACCACCAGTGTGTCTGTTTGACAGTCCAATCAGCTGATCAGCTGTCTTGGGGGGGAGGGAAAGAAATAGTGATGCGAATATGCACATTTTTTGGCTGCAATTGGGATATAAGCAGATCTTTTAAACACGTATTTTTCATCAGTTTCAGTAAATATGGGTGGATTTATCACTAGCATCATGTAGCCAACCTGCCCCCCCCCCTTTTAACCCGGTAACTTTTGTGTTTTAGGTGTTATGTCAGCTCCACTGGCTACCAATCCAGTTCCGAGCACAATTCAAAGTGCTGGTTTTGACCTACAAAACCCTATATAGCTCCAGCCCAGCGTACCTGTCTGAACGTATCTCCTTCTACGTCCCACCTCGAAGTTTAAGATCTTCTAGGGAGGCCCTGCTCTCGGCCCCACCTTTATCACAAGTGAGATTGGAGGGGATGAGGGACAGGGCCTTCTCGGTGGTGGCCCCTCACCTGTGGAATGCACTCCCTGGGGAAATTAGGTCATCAACATCCCTCCTCTCTTTCAGAAGGAAGTTAAAAACCTGGATATGGGCCCAGGCCTTTGGGAAAGCTGGCGGATGGATAAAAGACAATGACGACCAGAGTAGGAAAGGACAATGACAATGCTGGATGGATTATGGATTTATGAATTGCGAACATTGACCACAAGATGATTTTATTGCTTCTATTGTATTAATTAATAATCAAACTACAAGAGAGGAGATTCCATCTGAACATGATGAAGAACTTCCTGACTGTGAGAGCCGTTCAGCAGTGGAACTCTATGCCCTGGGGTGTGGTGGAGGCTCCTTCTTTGGAAGCTTTTAAACAGAGGCTGGATGGCCATCTGTCAGGGGTGATTTGAATGCAATATTCCTGCTTCTTGGCAGGGGGTTGGACTGGATGGCCCATGAGGTCTCTTCCAACTCTTTGATTCTATGATTCTATGAATTTGATTGTTTTAATCAGTTATAACTGTTGTCGTTATATTGTATTTTGTATATTGTATTTTGTGAACTGTTGGGCATCGAATTGTGCCTTTTGTAAGCCGCCCTGAGTCCCCCCCAGGGGGCTGAGAAGGGCGGGGTAGAAGCACTCCAAATAAATAAATAAAATAAATTAGGTGCTGTGTAGATTGGCCCCCAAATAGTGAATTTGTGTCAGTGAGTGTACACTATTTGCTTTCTAGCAAGCCTCATTAACGGAGTTCAGCTATCTGAGATGTACTCACCATAATCCACTCCTGTCTTGCAGGCCAGATGAAGTCGTTGCTGTAGATCAACCTCTGTCTTCATATTGTTGAGCAAGGAACAGTTTTCTTTGGGGGCAAAGCAAATGAAGGAAGAAAACAGAAAGAAAAACACATAGACAAAGTCCTTCTTTGTGACTGGGGATACCTCTAGTAATATTATTATTTATTATTATTTATTTATTATTTGCATTTATTAACCGCCACTCTCAGCCCGAAGGCGACTCGTGGCGGTGTACAGAACATAGAACATAAAGACAACAATTACAATAGAATTAAGACTATAACATACATCTTACTAACACGCAGCTAATTAAGCTAAAAATCCGCTTCGTCTTGTTTGAATCATAATCAATCTCGTAGTCATAGTTCATTCCGGTGGTCATTCCAGGAAAGCAAAGCTCTTAATTGAAGGCCTTTTCGAAGAGCCAGGTCTTCAGGCCCCTACGGAAGGCCATGAGGGAAGGCGCCTGTCTGATTGCAGCAGGGAGGGAGTTCCACAGCCGGGGGGCCACCACCGAGAAGGCCCGTTCTCTAGTCCCCGCCAGGCGTGCCTGTGAGGCAGGCGGGACCGAGAGAAGGGCCTCCCCAGATGATCTCAAGGTCCTCGTGGGCTCGTAGGCCGAGATGCGGTACTCAAGGTATTTTGGGCCGGAACCGTTTAGGGCTTTGTAGGTTAGCACCAGGCAAAAACATTTTGGCCTCAAAAATACTGTTAGAGCGAGGAGTAAGCAAAGCAGATGCTGAGAGTACCTGCAAAGTGCCCTTTGCCCTTTTCATTATTTGATGCTTTCTCACATGCCCTTTCTGGTTTAAGGACTATACTCTTTTCTCCCCCTTTGTTGTATCCAACTTTACACTCACACACTTCCTTCTAACACTTTCCAGCCATAGACTTGGCCATCTGTATCCATGTTGTCGCACTCCAGAGCAGAAACAGCACACCAGCTGGGTAAAAGCAGCAAGCAATTTATTGAAGAATATATGTAGCCAAAGCAGTAAAAAATAATCCACAGTAACAATAATCCAATTTAGTAAATCAGATACAAAGGAAGACAGGAACAAAGAGTCCAGGAAAAACCATGAAACTAGGCACTTGAATCCATGAACAATACAGAAGCAGCATATGCCATAGACAGAACATGAGCTAGGAAGGCCTTGGTGCATGAAACTTGACGCTGTCTTGACATTGCCTCAATTAAAGCAATAGTGTCTCACACATCATTATAAACTACTAGCTGTCCCCTGCCACGCGTTGCTGTGGCCTAGTCTGGTGATCTGGAAAATAAAGTAATGAGAAAGGATTGGTTCCTAATATATGTAATTTCTCTATCCTCATAGGAAAACAGTATTCTTGTTGTTTCTTTGTCAGTGCTGATGTAAAGATTGTCTAGTTTGCCTACTCTGGAACATGCAACATATAATTGTCCTTCTTTAGGGGTCCCTTTCAAATCTATGATACTATATCTGTCATAAACGTGTGTGTGTGTGTGAATCATATATATTTATCTATATCTATGACTGGATGGCTCTTTGTCAGGAGGGCTTTATGTTTTCTTGCCCTGGTGAATGGAGTTGGACTGGATGGCCTTAAGGCAGCATTTCTCAACCTGGGGTTTGGGACCCCTGGGGGGGGGGTTACAAGGGGGTGTCAGAAGGGTTGCCAAAGACCACCAGAAAACACAGTATTTTCTGTTGGTCATGACAGTTCTGTTTGGGAAGTTTGCCCCAATTCTGTTGTTGGTGGGGTTCAGACTGCTCCTTGATTGTAGGTACCTCAGTCTGTTCTTTAGTAATATGGTGGCAGCGGAAACCTTTTAAAGAATTCTTTTAAGTCTCACAGTTCCAGTGGTTCCCAGTTCCTAGCTTGTAAATATACAGTTGGTTTCAACAACTCTTGGCCCTCTATATTTCGGCAAGCTAGCCAGTAGTGGAGGTGTGCATTGTTATAATTTGGCTGAGCAGTCCTGTTGATCATTATAAATTGGTAGGCTGCTTATTGCTGATCATTATAATTGATTGGCAAGCGGTGCTAATTCGTTATAATTGGTTTGGCAGTGGTTCGATTTGTTATAGGCCTCAACCCTGGGAGGAACTGGGATAAAATATCCCAGGGATAAAATAATAAATAAAATCCTGGGAAGAACTGGGATAAAATATCCTAGTTCCTCCCAGGATTGAGGCTTGCGTAGACAGGCCCTTAAAGAGTGGCAACAAGGATGATACGAGGTATGGGGAATGAAACACATGAGCAAAGGTTGAAGGAGCTGAACTTGTTCATCCTGTTAAAGAGAAGACTGAGCAGTGGACATCTTCCTACCCCATCTTACCTTCTACACATCGGCAAACATCACCATGACATATCTTACTGAGGAGGCCACTTTCTTTAGGAAGATGGTAGAACTTGATACACTGCTTGTCTGAGAAAGAGGAATAAAAAAAGATGCCCTTTACTTCAAAATTGAGTACACTTTGGGAGATTCCCCCAAGGACCAACTTAGGGAATGAACAGAACATGGGTGAAAGAACTTATTGCTTTCAAAATAAATATTAGTAACACATCATAGTGAATTTATGTAACAGATCTTTGTGGCCTCTTCCAATAATGATAATAATAATAATAATAATAATAATAATAATAATAATAATAGTAGTAGTAGTAGTAGTAGTAATCACTTTATTTATACCCCGCTACCATCTCCCAAGGGACTTGGTGTAGCTTACATGAAGCCGAGCCCACAATACATGAATACAAGCAATAACAACCACAATACAAGGCAAAATACAAATACTAATACAAAGCAATTAAAAATAAATCTCATACACAAATTCCAACACTATGATTCTATATGACAGTGGTTCTCAACCTGGGGGTCGGGACCCCTGAGGGGGTCGCGAGGGGGTGTCAGAGGGGTCACCAAAGACCATAAGAAAACACAGTCTTTTCTGATGGTCATGGGGATTCCATGTGGGAAGTTTGAGCCAATTCTATCGTTGGTGGAGTTCAGAATGTTCTTTGATTGTAATGAACTATAAATCCCAGCAACTACAACTCCCAAATGTCAAGATCTATTTTCCCCAGACTCCACCAGTGTTCACATTTGGGCATATTGAGTATTCATGCCAACTTTGGTCCAGATCCACTATCGCATGAGTCCACAGTGCTCTCTGGATATAGGTGAACTGCAACTCCCAAACTCAAGGTCAATGCCCATCAAACCCTTCCAGTGTTTTTCATTGGTCATGGGAGCTGAGTTTGGTTCAAATCCATCGCTGGTGGAGTTCAGAATGCTCTTTGGTTATAAGTGAACTATAAATCCCAGCATCTACAACTCCCAAATTACAAAATCAATCCTTCCCCAACCCCACTAGCATTCACATTTGGGTGTACTGGGTATTTGTGCCCAGTTTGGTCCAGTGAATGAAAATGAATCCTGCATATCAGATATTTACATTATGATTTATAACAGTAGTAAAATGACCGTTATGAAGTAGCAACGAAAACAATATTATGGTTGGGGGTCACCACAACATGAGGGACTGTATTAAGGGGTCATGGCATTAGGAAGGTTGAGAACCACTGCTATATGAGATCAGGCAGGTTTGACAAGCTTCTTTGAGCAATCAATAGAAAGGAGAGAGTAGTCAGCATCTCCTTCAATGGAGATAGCCACCTTCTTGTCTCTGTTCTCCATATTATGGTTTGGAACCTGAAAATGTATTTTATAATGGCAACTAGTTGGCTCAATACTAATGGATGGAACGACACGAGGTTTTAGTTTTAAGACAACTGAGAGCAAGGTTTTTATAATGTTTTGGCCGAACTTGATAGCCTCAGTTAAAATGACCAAGAAAACCAGACTAGAGATGGGGGAGGGCTGGAAAAATAAAAGAAAAATGGGGGGGGGGATAAAAAAAGGGAAAATTGGGGGGGGGGATGGAAAAATTGGGACAAAATGGAAAAAATGGGGGAAAAGAACAGAAAAATGTCCCCCCCATTTTTCTGTCCCCCCCCCCCAGGCTTTCCCTTTGGGGTCTGTCAGCTGGCCTTCCCTGACCTCAAGGAATTTTGGCAAAAAATCAGTGATTTGCTCTGACAGTGGTTAGCCGAGGCGATTCAATTAGGCTTTCCCATTCTGTCTCCACAAGCCAAGGAAGAATGCACTTTCCAAATTCATCCACATTTCAACAGCTTTCTTCTGACCCCATGTTTGCAAAAACCTTAAGGTGAAGCAGAGGGAACCAGAAGGCAACTTGCCTTGGGTTTATTACTCCATCACCAGATAGAGATTTGCATCTGGTGTGTCATGGCAAAATGGTTCTTGTTATGAAAAATGTATGGAGAGTTAAGCAGAAATCTTAAGTTGTTCTCTTTTAATAATCACTTTTCACTTCTGGATTCATATATTAAGGATGGGGGTAGAAGGAGATACTGTCAGAAACATATCCAGTGTCTGTCTAGCTGGTCTTCCTTGTGCTGAACCCACTGGAAGAAGTGTGATAGCCATTACCTAGATTATAATAGTTGTACACCTTCACGGATGCTGGTTGAATGAAACCGACTTCGAAAAACTGGTGAGCTCTAAACTGCACACATTCATCATTTGTGTGAGAGACCTGGGATGAGGAGAGAAAAGGGAAAACAAGACTTTCTGTAACAGCCTGCCAATGGAGGTGTTTCCCATCTACCGATTTCCCAAACTATCTTCAGGTAACCATTCCATAATTTTGATCAGATGACGGGAGATGGTCATATTTAACAGGTCAATTGAAGGATTGTTTTTTAAAAAGGTTCAAAGACATAACAAGATTGGCCCATTTGTGAGAAAGACTAGTAGATTAGAATTATCTGTCCATTAGTCTTGCTTACAGGAACTTGTCAATCATGGGGAACAGCACTGAACTTTGGGTGCATATTGTGCCCACCAAGTCTTTATTGATAAATGCCAGTTTTCCCAATTCTAAGCAGGGTCCACCTTGAAAGACGCAGATACTGTGAGTTCATATATAGATCTTAAGAATATAAATTCAAGAAAGAAATAAAGATAAATAATTAATTACCAAGGGTCCACAATGTCTTGACTGGCACTGCCAGACATTATTTTTATTCCAGAACAGTGAAGTTATCAGGGTGATACAGATTCAGACATTAATCTACGGCCAATTGGTTTAGTACTATTTTAAATGGATTTTAATTTAATTCAATGTTTTACTTATTATGTAACTGTTGTTTTATTTGTTTGTCGCCGGATGTAAGCTGCCCTGAGCCCCCCTCCGGGGGTTGAGAAGGGCAGGGTACAAATGTTTGAAATAAATAAATAAATAAGTAAATAATAGGTGGCCAATATTCACACATTATGGTGGCACCAGATTCCATTTAATTTTGGAAACTAAGCAATGTCAGCTCTGGTTTGTACTTGGATGGGAAGCCATCAACAAATACCAGGCACTGTAGGTTGTATTTCAGATACAGGAATTGACAAAACAATTTCTGAATATTTGTTGCCTAAGAATGCCCCTTGTGACGGTGCGAGTGGCGCCACCTATGTATAGAACTGTTAGTTGTAAGACATAAACTGTTGTATCATGCTTAATCCTGCCCCTTTTTACACTGCTTATGTATAGTTGTATGGATTGGTTGCTTGTAGCTGTCAATCAGTACTGTTTGGCTCCACCTCTTCCTGCAAGAGAGAACTTGCTTTTTCTCTTCATTTTGCCTTCAGAGTTCGTACCAGATGGACGTAAGTAAGAGACCTGACTCTAAAGGACCCTGATTTAAGTTACCTCTTAGCACCAGTTCTGAGGTTTTTTACCCCTGGGACTCATGCTTTATGTCCAGATCGTCCTGGACAATTATTGAGGAGACCCAGGCACCTTCAAGCCGATTCTTTTGGCACCAAAGGAAGATCCTGAATCTTCAAAACACAGGCCATCTGAACTGGGGTTGTGGTTTGCACAGCCATTCACAGCCATTGAGGAAAGAGGAAACTTGGTGAGGCTTCTCAGCTTCAAACCCCTTGGACCCAGGACTGATTGAGACTGTAATGTATGTTTTCCTTCACCCCTCTAAAGTTTTCCAGCTCATTGCTTTGAAGAAATAACTTTGTGATAAATAAAACTTATTTTGAGCTATTTACAGCGTTTTGGGTTTTTTGGGAGTTCTAGTTTCCTATAGGAGGGCAAGAAGCAATCCCTTGGGGGAAAGATGCCATGTCCACCCCTCCTTTATTGAGAATAATAGCCCCCAGGCACGACGGCACACCCCTTGAAACGAATGGAATTGCAGTTAGTAAACAGGTAACTTGAAAGCAGACACAGAGCCTGATGTCATTAGATATGCCTTGTGAAATCAAAATGTTTCTTGGGATATCTTGAGAAGTTTGTTTTATCATGTCAGAAGCAACTTGAGAATATACTGCAAGTCATTTCTGGTGTGAGAATAGGCCATCTTCAAAGACTTTGCCCAGAGGATGCACGGATGTGTTACCATACAGCGGGGGGCTTCTCTCATGTCCCCACATGGGAAGCTAGAGCTGGCAGATGGGAGCTCACCCCATCTCGCGGATTTGAACAGCTGACCTTCATGTCTGCAGTTCAGCTGGCACAAGGGTTGAACCCATTGCGCCACCACGGCTCCTATCTTGAGAATTGAAATATATATATTTTAAAATGTACACATCCACCCCAGAGTTTACTTTTTATTACTCCCAAAACTTCACAGCTGGAAAGGTTGGTGGCCATGCAGTCCAAAAAAGTAACTTTTCCCAACTCTGACTCATCTCATTGCCATAATTCATAACCTTTGCTATAACACATACCAGAGTCAGCCTATGTGTTTTTCAGTTAATTATTCCATGTTTACCTCTTTCAAGTAAATGATAAGATTTCCTCTTTCAGAGTAGTTTTTGTTAATTTCGTAATTGGTAACATGTCTGCCGACTCCTTCAGAAAGCTAAACATTGGAAAAAGCACAAGAGTTGTTGTTGTTACATGGTACATTATGTCACATAAGACCAGAATTGACTTTTCATTTCCTAAACACTCAGGTAGACTTTTAATTATACATGCTATTTCTCTGGTTTTTCTAGGCTTGGGACAGGCTGTTTTGTTTCCACTGTGTTTTGAGGAGTGATGTAAAACCTGAGGTACGACACGACTCTGTCACTTTCATTCACAAAGCTCTTTCCCAATATTATTAAGTCACATGAAAATCACAAATTGAAGAGATAAAGGTTAAGGTGGTGGTTAATGCTTCCCTTCGGGAAGGCAAGATTCCAGAGAGCTTAAAACAAGCTATAATAAAACCGCTATTGAAAAAACCATCACTGGACCCCACTAAATTCGACAACTATCGGCCAGTTTCCAATCTCCCCTTTTTGGGCAAAGTCCTGGAACGTGTGGTGGCCTCACAACTCCAGGTATTCTTGGTAGACACGGATTATCTAGATCCGGCACAGTCTGGCTTTAGGCCGGGACATGGTACCGAGACAGCCTTGGTCGCCTTAGTGGATGATCTGCGCCGGGAGCTCGACAGGGGGAGTGTGTCCCTGTTGGTGCTGCTGGACCTCTCAGCGGCCTTCGATACCGTCGACCACGGTATCCTTCTGGGACGCCTCGCGGGGATGGGTCTTGGAGGTACTGTTTTGCAGTGGCTCCGGTCATTCCTGGAGGGTCGATCTCAGAAGGTGTTGTTGGGGGACACCTGTTCAACCCCACAACCATTGTCTTGTGGGGTTCCTCAGGGCTCAATATTGTCTCCCATGTTGTTTAACATCTACATGAAGCCGCTGGGGGAGATCATCCGGAGTTTCGGGGTACGGTGTCATCTGTACGCGGATGATGTCCAACTCTGTCACTCCTTTCCACCTGCTACTAAGGAGGCTGTCCAGGTCCTGAACCGGTGCTTGGCCGCTGTGACGGTCTGGATGAGGGCGAACAAATTGAAATTGAATCCAGACAAGACAGAGGTACTCCTGGTCAGTCACAAGGCCGAACAGGGCATAGGGTTACAGCCTGTGTTGGATGGGGCCGCACTCCCCCTGAAGACGCAGGTTCGCAACTTGGGTGTGACCCTGGACTCATCGCTGAGCCTGGAACCCCAGGTTTCGGCGGTGAGCAGGGGAGCATTTGCACAGCTAAAGCTTGTGCGCCAGCTGCGCCCGTACCTTGGGAAGTCTGACTTGGCCACGGTAGTCCATGCTCTGGTTACATCCCGTTTAGACTACTGCAACGCTCTCTACGTGGGGTTGCCTTTGAAGACAGCTCGGAAGCTTCAACTAGTCCAACGCTCGGCAGCCATGATTTTAACAGGAGCGGAGCGCAGGGAGCATACAACCCCCCTGTTGCGCCAACTCCACTGGCTACCGATCTGCTACCGGGCTGAATTCAAAGTGCTGGCGTTGGCCTTTAAAGCCCTAAACGGTTCCGGCCCAAGCTACCTATCTGACTGCATCTCTGCCTATGAACCCACCAGGACTTTGAGATCTTCCGGGGAGACCCTGCTCTCGATCCCGCCTGCTTCTCAAGCTCGGCTGGCGGGGACGAGAGATAGGGCCTTCTCGGTGGTGGCTCCTCGGCTGTGGAACGCCCTTCCTACGGACATTAGACTAGCACCATCTCTAATGGTATTCCGCAAAAAGGTGAAGACCTGGATGTTTGTGCAGGCGTTTGAGTAATTTAGTGCAATCTGGTAATGGAACATAGGAATGGAACAATGGACAACGAACCTGGACTACGCTGGGATGATGAGAAGATTGGGTACGGTTGTTTTTTGTAATAATTGTGCATTGTAATTGCTTATTGGTAATTTATGGATAATGTGTTAAGTCAATTGTTATATGTTGTATGGAACCACTGCTGTTTCTACTGTTTTTACTGTTTGTGAACCGCTGTGAGTCGCCTTCGGGCTTGAGATACAGCGGTATAGAAGCAAAGTAAATAAATAAATAATAATAAATAAAGATAATTCTGCATGTGCTCAGGAAAAGTGATTCAACCCCATACCAAGGAAATTATCACATGTTGCTGATATCTTACAGTATATCATGTGGGATAGTGACAACTTACTGCCATGATGATGGGCAGCATTACACAACCACTGGATTTGTACAGTTGCTTTGTGTACAAAATGCTATTTTCTGCACACAAATAATAATGTACTGTAAATGTTGTTGTTCATGAATGTCTGCACAGAAGCACAATAAAAAGAATATATTATAACACAGGGGTCCACAAGCTTTTTAAGCAGAGGGCCAGGTCACAGTCCCTCAAACTGTTGGAGGGCCGGATTATAATTTGAAAAATAAAACATGAATTCCTGTGCACGCTGCACATATCTTATTTGTAGTGTAATAAACACTTAAAAACAATACAATAATTAAAATGAGGAACAATGTTAACAAATATAAATTTATTAGTATTTCAATGGGAAATGTGGGCCTGCTTTTGGCTGATGAGATAGGATTGTTGTTGTTATGTGCTTTCAAGTCGTTTCAGACTTAGGTTGACCCTGAGCGAGGGCCGGGTAAATGACCTTGGAGGGCCGCATCTGGCCTTAGTTTGAGGACCCCTGTTATAACAGATAACTAAAAATTGGTTGCAGAAAAAACAACTAATATGGGGAACCAGGGACCTTTACAATACATCCTAACCCTCTCTTCCAATCATCGTAGGGTCTTCATCCTGGCTCAGTGTCACACCCTTCCATCAGCTGTACTCGAGGGCTGATACCAGGAGATCTTATTTTCAGAGAGACTCTGCCCTTTTGACTTGGGTCACACAGATACAACTGAACACATGCCCCTCAGGTGCCTGTTCTACATTTGATATAGAATCACCTGGACAGGATAATTCTACACCACCCTGTTGCTTTCAGATACCAGTTATAAATCATAATATTACCAAATTCTGTGCAGCAGCACTTAAAATCCACCAGTGATGACTGGCTCCGAAAGTTAGCAATCTAACCATCAGGTAGCTGAAATATAAATTAGTGCCCCCCCACTCCCCTTGATGCAGGCCCGTAGCCAGGATTTCGTTTCGGGGGGGGGGGGGGGGGGGGGGGGGGGCTGAGTCTGAGTGAAAGAGGGTCTAGCCTAGCAAACCTTTTGTATCATTACTCCAATACCCCCATGCATATGGGATATACTGAGAATGGTGATCAGATCATGATATGAATAAACATAACAGTTTAAATAATGCACCAGTAGGGGCTTTTTGCGAACCACCATGAGAATTTCGGGGGGGGGGGCTGAAGCCCCTCAAGCCCCCCCCCCCGGCTATATGCCTGCCTAGATGTATGCCCTGAATGAACTTATCCCCCATCAATTTCTCTCCCTCCCCATCCCCTGCTAGTCCCTTTCCTTTTTCTAAATGGTTTTATGCCTTAGCCTTCAACATATCACTGTTTTCTAGCCTTTTAGATTTCGATGTACAATGCTTTTATGGGACTGTAACTCTCTCTCCTTATGCTGGTCTATGACCATAACAAAGATTAGTTTGTTAGTCTAGTTTGTTAGTCCAATACCCTCAAAGAACAAGTTAAGTAGCCATTTCCTGCATCTGGTAAGTCTTACAAACCCTGTTAAGATCGTAAACATCAGGTGCAAAACCGGTGAGCATGGAGACATCAATGACGGAGTTTGTGGCATTGACATCACCAAGATATCTAGAACCAAGCAGAGAGAAAAAATGCTCAGAAAGAGTTTAGCAATGGATTTGGTTTCAAGTCTATAAGCTCAGTTTTTCATATTTTCAAAGTCATTCTGTTTGAAAGATGAAAAGTGAGATCTAACATGATTATTGACTAATGCCTATGGAATCACTAAGGCATCTGTCCTTGATTATCAAAACAACTCTTGCAAAGACTTATAAAATGTCTAACCTATGCATGTCATTATTTCTATAAGGTGAACAAGTTGCCTGAATGTACAGGTGGCGAAGAAGGGAATTGAATATTTGCCTGTTTTTGTTTTAATGAAGTTATCTATTGCTAATTGTCAATTGGGAATCCCATAAAAACTGAAAACCTGCAGCACCTTAAAACCAATTGCGTATTCCCATTTTCTCCTATTGCAGGCCAGAATCTTCTAGGCCAAGATGAAGAACTGTTTTATGATGTTTTAAGCATTGAATTTTGCTATTGTGGACCGCTCTGAGTCACCCGAGGGCTGAGAAGGGCGATATACAAATATAGTAAAACAAACAAACAAACAAACCCATGCCCCTCCCAGATGCAGGGGATTGCAGTTCCCCTCAGTCTTATACTTCTGTTCAAAGCAAAATGCTGTAGCCCTGTGCATAATACACATACAAGGTAAAGGTGATAGTTCATCAAATTCAGTGAAAAAGCCAAGTGTTGCCCTTTGATTTATGAGGTGTTCTTCTCCAACCAGTGCAGACTGGGAGTAGGGCATATTCAATTACTTTGCAAATCAGATTCAACATATATTAAACTTGCTAAAACAGAACATTCTGGGAAATGTTCAGTAAGCTAGTTCCCTGTAAAGCAATAATTTCTGCTCCTTAATCTGAATCTGGCACTCTTACCTGATGCAGATTTTGATCTTGACAATCTGCAGGGATCTGTTTAATTCCTCCTTACCTAGAAATGGTTAAGATGAAGAGGGAAAGACTCACTATTCATGTAATTTCCTTGAAGCATGAATTGGGCCATTTGTTCCAATGAAAAGATTTAATTGTCCAAGAAGCACTGAAGTCTCCATGAACAAAGTATTCATCTGTCACCCACTCCCTCCTTTTCTGACAACCCAATAATAGGCTCCTTCTATCTGTCTGTCTGTCTGTCTGTCTGTCTATCTATCTATCTATCTATCTATCTATCTATCTATCTATCTATCTATCTATCTATCTATCTATATTGATGAATGCAAGGCTGGGGTTAAAATTGCTGGAAGAAACATTAACAACCTTAGATATGCAGATAATACCACTTTGATGGCTGAAAGCGAGGAGGAGCTGAGGAGCCTTCTAATCAAGGTGAAAGAAGAAAGTGGAAAAGCTGGGTTGCAGCTAAACATAAAAGAAACAAGATTATGGCAACCAGACTGTTTGATAACTAGCAAATAGAGGGAGAAAACGTGGAGGCAGTGACAGACTTTGTATTTCTAGGTGCAAAGATGACTGCAGACGCAGCTAGGAAATCAGGAGACGCTTACTTCTTGGGAGGAGAGCAATGTCCAATCTCGATAAAATATTGAAGAGTAGAGACAACACACTGGCAACCAAGATCCACATAGTAACAGTAATGGTATTCCCCGTAGTCAACTATGGATGTGAGAGCTGGACCATAGGGAAGGCTGAGTGAAGGAAGATAGATGCTTTTGAACTATGGTGCTGGAGAAAAGTTCTGAGAGTGCCTTCGACCACCAAAACATCTAACCAGTCCATACTTCAGGAAATAAAGCCTGACCGCTCATTAGAGAGAAGGATATTACTGGCAAAGATGAGGTATTTTGACCACATCATGAGAAGAAAGGAAAGCTTAGAGAAGACAATTGTGCTGGGGAAAAGGGAAGGAAAAAGCAAGAGGGGCCGACCAAGGGCAAGATGGATGGATGGCATCCTTGAAGTGACTGGCTTGACTCTGAAGGAGCTGGGGGTGGTGATGGCCGACAGGGAGCTCTGGCATGGGCTGGTCCATGAGGTCACGAAGAGTCAGAAGAGACTGAACGAATGAACAACAACAAACAATCTATATTGGTAGACATTCACAAGTTTGGTCTGAAATAAAACCTGGCACTGTTCTTTGCGGTACTCCTTTCTTTACTTAACAATTTTGACTTTCTTTTTTCCTTTTTGTTTCGGGTCTGTTTTACTCTCTCTCTTATGCCTCTCCTTTGACCTCTTGCTGCCCATCGACTTAAGTTCCTATATTAATGTTTTCAATCTGAAAATAGACAAGGCCACTCCATTATGCAAATCCCCTTCATTAGTCTACTGGATTTTTCAACCATGTTGATTTTTCAACCATCTGTAAATACTGGAAGCATAAAATCCTGAAGGACAAAACTAAAATTAAAAATAAATCGTAATAGAGACAAATAGAGCATCTTGTTCAGCACCTGTATACATCATCCACCATCCTCCATGGTGAAAGCACTGTAGCTAGTATTTACAAACCATTTAAACTTACTCAGCTTGAGGGGCTCAACACTAACATCAAGGGTGAATTTCTTGCACTGAGTGGCTTCTGATTTAATTTGTGCATTATACATTGTCACAATTGTCATTGTCGCTCTTCCTTGGCCAGAGGCACGAACAGTGAAATCTTCATTGAACTTGGTCTGAAAAACATCCAGAGTTAGCATGCCCTTGTAACTGATTCTTTTGATTTGTTTGATTTCATTCAATACTTATAATTCACTGAGATGCTATTATTCTAGTAACCTATCTTGAAACAAATGTATACTTTAAAGCTAGGGCATAAATAAGCAAATAAACATTTTAGCATGTGCATAGTAGTAAGATGCTGGAAGGAAATCGATAAGATAACATAAAAGGGATGACAAAAGTTCTTGTTTCCCAGCAACTGCAAGTCGCTTCTGGTGTGAGAGAATTGGCCGTCTGCAAGGACGTTGCCCAGGGGATGCCTGGATGATTTGATGTTTTTATCATCCTTGTGGGAGGCTTCTCTCATGTCCCCGCTTGGGGAGCTGGAGCTGACAGAGAGAGCTCATCCGCCTCTCCCCGGATTCGAACCTGTGCCCTGTCGGTCTTCGGTCCTGCCGGCACAAGGGTTTAATCCACTGCGCCACCGTGGGCTCCATGCCCCATGTGGTTGATCACGATCTCCATGTAATAGCTAACAAATACCCACAAGACTGCCTTCTTGACTCTGCCTTTTATGTGCCCTGAAAACAGAGGAGTAATCTCAGAGCTTAGTTCCTTTAATACAGGGGTCCTCAAACTTTTTAAACAGAGGGCCAGGTCACAGTCCCTCTCAAACTGTTGGAGGGCCGGATTATAATTTGAAAAAAGTATGAATGAATTCCTATGCAGACTGTACATATCTTATTTGTAGTGAAAAAACACACGTAAAAACAATACAATAATTAAAGGTGGCAGAGTATTCCAGGGTAATGGTGCCACTGCTGTAAAGGCTCTGCGTCTGGTTGCTGTTAGACGCAAGGTCTTAAAACTGGGAACTTCCAATAAATCTTGGTCCTCAGAACGAAGGGATCTCTGGGGTTGGTAGGGGATGAGGCGGTCCCTCAGATACATCGGCCCCAGACCATATAAGACCTTAAAGATAAGTACCATCACTTTGAAAGTGGTCCGGTGCTCAATTGGTATGCCTCAATAAAGCAAACAAATGCCAATGAGTAATGTAGTGTTAGCCATCCTCAGGCATTCCGATAAGTGGGTTAAAAATCTTTTTTTAAAACCCCATGAACAACTCTTTCCAGAGAAGAGCTAATGTGTAAAACTTCCTCAAACAATTAATAGATAAAATAATAAATTAAGTTTGCTCAAAGAAATGCAATACCTCTGCTGTCCTGGTTAAAAGCATACTCTGGTCATCTATTAGGTAACGAATTGGATCTTGTCGTTCTGGCAATTTGATGGTAACCATCAGCCTGAAGTCCTCATGAGAAGGTATGTCAGTCTCGTACTGGGTAAGAGCTTGGAACATCATGATGGTTGCCTGAAATAGCAGGAGGAAAATGGAGTCAGTTTTGGATAGCCACAATCTGGTGCTAAGGATTATTCAGAGCAGTCCCATACTTTTAGGAATGCTTTCTTTAAAGTACCGTATATACTCGAGTATAAGCCGACCCGAATATAAGCCGAGGCACCTAATTTTACCACAAAAAACTGGGAAAATGTATTGACTTGAGTATAAGCCGAGGGTAGGAAATGCAGGCGCTATGGGTAAATTTCAAAATAAAAATAGATAACCAATAAAATTACATCAATTGAGGCATCAGGAGGTGAAATGTTTTTGAATATTCACATAAGACTGTAATTTAAGATAAGACTGCCCAACTCTGATTAAACCATTATTCTAACCTTCTTTAATGTAAACATACTTACGTATCCTTCCAACAATAATAAAGATAGTAAAATAATAAATATAATAATAATAATAGAGTAAAATGATGGAAATGCAATTATAACAGTAATAATAGAGTAAAAGAATAAATGCAACAATAATAAAGTAAATTAATAAATATAATGATAATAATAAATAGAGTAAAATAATAAATGTAATAATAATAGGGTAAAATGCTGTAAATGTAATAATAATAATAATAATAATAATAATAATAATAAGTGTAAAATAAATGTAATAAAATAATGCTAATAACAGAGAAAAATAATAAATAACCTTGACTCCAGTATAAGCTGAAGGGAGCTTTTTCAGCCCAAAACAGGGGCTGAAAAACTAGGCTTATACTCGAGTATATACAGTATTTATTATGGCTGAAAGGTCAGATTTCTGAAGAAGTTAACAACAGTTATAGGAGGCCAAGCTTTAAACTCAGATTTTAATACTGGACCCTTCCTATTTTTGACATATTTCCTCTTCAGTGCTGCAAATTATTCTTCTTGCAAGTCAAAACATGCAGCTCCTGCTATTGGTGACTGAAATTGCTAAATCCTACTATGGCTTATTTGGCCTAAATGACCTCTTTGAAGGGGAGAATTTAGTGTCCTAAGACGCTTTTACCTCTTCTAATGAATGGAGCCCCATGCCAGACATCACACGGCATTGTGTGACTTAATATTCTGCCCTATCTCCCCAAGGAGATAGGCCTGCCCCCAATTGGGGTGAAAGAGTCGGCAGACACATTTCCCCCCAACACAGGGGAAGTCAGCACGGGGCCTTGCCGAAAGGAAGCTGCGCGCAGGATGGCAGATTCACTCAGCTGCCCCTATCTTTTCTCCCAGATGCAGGGGCGGCTCAACCCATTACGCAAAGTAAGCATTTGCAGTATAGTTTATTTTGCCCAGGGGCGCTCTTGAGGTGCTCTTGGGGAAAAATAGACCTTGACATATGCGAGTTGTAGTTACTGGGATGTATAGTTCAGCTACAACCAAAGAGCATTCTGAACTCCACCAATGATGGAATTGAACCAAATATGGCACACAGAATTCCCACGACGAACAGAAAATATATATCAGTGATTGGTTGGGGGGGGGGGGAGGGGCACCAAAATACTGTTTGCTTATTGTTGAAAATTACCTAGGGCCGCCTCTGCCCAGATGCCAGGTTAAGCCGGACAATGATGAGGCCCTTGGGTTTAGCAATCCCTGTGTCTGGGCTGTACTGTCGAAACTCCAAATAGAGCAAAAGTGCATTTCTGTATGAAAAAGTCACTCCATATAACATGCCAGGGAGAATGCTGCCATAAATGCTGCCTCCATAACATACTAGTTCAGGGAATTGTTTTTTATAGAGCAGGGTCCTCAAACTTTCTCAACAGAGGGCCAGGTCACCGTCCCTCAAACTGTTGGACGGCCGGATTATAATTTGAAAAAAACATGAATGAATTCCTATGCACACTGCACATATATTATTTGTAGTGCAAAAACACTTAAAAACAATACAATAATTAAAATGAAGAACAATTTTAACAAATATAAACTTATTAGTATTTCAATGGGAAGTGTGAACCTGCTTTTGGCTGACAAGATTTTTTTTAAAATCGTGTCAGGAGCGACTTGAGAAACTGCAAGTCGCTTCTGGTGTGAGAGAATTGGCTGTCTGCAAGGACGTTGCCCAGGGGACGCCCGGATGATTTGATTTTTTTTATTATCCTTGTGGGAGGCTTCTCTCATGTCCCTGCATGAGGAGCTGGAGTTGATAGAGGGAGCTCATCCACCTCTCCCCGGATTCGAACCTGCGAACTTTCGGTCTTCAGTCCTGCCGGCACAGGGGTTTAACCCACTGCGCCACCAGGGGCTCCTGGCTGACAAGATAAGATAGTTGTTGCTGCTGCTGCTGTTGTTGTTGTTGTATGCTTTCAAGTCATTTCAGACTTAGGTTGATCCTGAGTGAGGGCCAGGTAAATGACCTTGGAGGGCCGTATCCGGCCCTCGGGCCTTAGTTTGAGGACCCCTGGTATAGAGGCTCCACCTGCAGAGTGAAGTTGAAGAGCCAGAAAGAGCCAGTTCATTTTCAATCCATCTTAGAATGTAAAATAGCTTTTAATAGGACAATCCCAGGAGCCCCCGGTGGGGCAGTGGGTTAAAGCACTGAGCTGCTGAGCTTGTTGATCGAAAGGTCGCAGGTTCGATTCCGGGGAGCGGCGTGAGCTTCCGCTGTCAGCCCTAGCTTCTGCCAACCTAGCAGTTCGAAAACATGCAAATGTGAGTAGATCAATAGGTTCCACTCTGGCGGGAAGGTAACGGCGCTCCATGCAGTCATGCCGGCCACATGGCCTTGGAGGTGTCTACGGACAACGCTGGCTCTTCGGCTTAGAAATGGAGATGAGCACCACACCCCAGAGTCAGACATGACTGGACTTAATGTCAGGGGACTACCTTTACCTAGGACAATCCCAGTCCAGGAATAGCAACAATTAAAATGCTTACTTGAGTTTGTCCATCTGTTCCTCCATAATATTTTTGCTCTGTCAGCCATTTAACGATAATGCCAGTCCCTTCAAACTTCTTCATTTTCAGTAAGGCCAGCAAGGCATAGGAGGTGCTCTCAATGTTGTAGATTCGGGCATTATATTCTTCCCAGCGGTTCCTGCCTAAATACATAGAAAGCAATCTTGGCTGAATCGTTCTTGAGGTCATATGAGCTTATTGTGTCCTAAATTTCTTTTTTAACCAATTTTATTAGATTTTTAAAAAATAACTTAAATCCAAACTGTTGAAAAAACAGAAGAATCAAACATAAAAATAGTACCGTTATTTTCCCACCCCATTACAAACCTCACTTTTACTAACCAAAACTAACTTATAATTTTTTACCCTTTAAAATACATTGTCCTAAATTCTCAATTCTTCTTTAAATATCACTTATCTCCAGTATCTATATAAATAAAAATGTAATGTTCGTTTGTGGGATTAACAGAACTCAAAAACTACTGGACGATTTGACACCAAATTTGGACACAAGGCACCTAACAACCCAATGTATGTCCTTCACTCAAAAAATTGATGTTGTCATTTGGGAGTTGTAGTTGCTGGGATTTATAGTTCACCTACAATCAAAGAGTATTCTGAACCCCACCAACGATGGAATTGAACCAAACTTGTATTTTCTTGTAGCAAAATAAAAGTTTGTGGATTTTTAAAAAATGTTTTCTCTTTATTTTCAAACCTATTACATTATACAAAACACTCAGGCAAAGTGCTTTGTATTTTAGATGAAAGCAGGGAGACCTTTGCGGATTCACAATGCTTAGTCAAAATCAGAGATAGAATTTGGGTTCCACGGGGAAAAAAAATGTCTTTTGAAGGGTTCCATAACTGGGAAAGTTTGAAAAACCACTGCACTAGAGTCATTTATATACGCTATCTCAAAAGACATTCTGCAGTGCTAATTTCTCACTTGAAATGGGGCAAACTTTGGTTTGACTGCTGCCCAGGCAATAAGTAAGACTAGTTTCATTAGCCTTTTCATCTGTTCCTATAACACATTTTTGATTCTGTTCAGTGCCTTGCTCCAAATGTACCTGTTGATGCTGCCATGAGGACTTTGTCATCATTCAATCTCCCTGCCAGGGCCAAGGCATAGGCTGTGAGTGCTGTGGTATAAGGCCTTTTCAATGTGTCATATTTCTTCAGTAAATAGTCAGAAGCTTTGTTGATGCTGCTGTGTAGAACCTAAATTGGAAAGTTGAGGTGGGGAGAAGAGAAACAAGGCATGCATGTGTTAGGGAAGCAGTTTTCAAACAAGCATTTGATGTTGGCCAAGGAGTCTGGATCATATTGGGATCCAATCCACACGCACCTCTTGCTTGTTTGAGAAGCTATACATTTTGCTCACTTGAAGCTGTCTGAACCTACTTGCACAGGATGTTCCCCACTGTTTTGGAAAGGCTAAGGAACAATGGGGTCAAAGGATGTGCTGGTTGGACACTTCTCAGATACCTGAGCAGGGTTCCTTTTCCTTCTCTTTTTCTCTCTCTCACACATGACTCATCACCAGACAGTAACAGTATCTGATAGGCATGCACAATTTTTTTGTCAGTCCTCACAAATCAGATCAAATTTGTTAAATTCATACTTACACAGGTTCAACAGCACGCAGAAAGTCCCAGCCAATATAAAAGAAGAAACTAAATCAGTATAAGAGCAAAGAGGTTTTAAATAAGGAAATAGTCTCTCTCCCTCGCCTCAAAAAAAATTCAGACCCACACCTCCCCACCAGAACCCTAAAAAAGGACTGAAAAACTCTGCTTATACTCGAGTATATACAGTAAAATAAGATCCAGTGGAATCCTGGAATTGGTAGTATGGTGAAATAGACCAGAGGTAAATGGCAAATTCCTGGATTCCATGGGATGGAACCATGGCAGTCAAAGGGCAATCACAGGGCTGTAACTGTGTCATGTGAAAAGGCCTTACATATCTATAGCAAGTGGACAGGTTTGTAGAGGCCGCTGGGATTAGATGAGTCTAAGCTTGTTTGAGGCATTAAATAAAATGTGAAGCTACAATGTGCTTCCCCATTTGGAAATCTCATTTATGGAAAATGAAACAGGAAAAATGCATTTTGACTGTTTTGAATGCATGAAACCCACTGGGTGACCTTGGGCAATTCATGTTCTCTCAGCCTCAGAGGAAGACAAAGGCGAACTCCCCCTGAACAAATCTTTCCAATAAAGCCTCATGAGAGGTTTGCCTTAAGGTTGGCATTAGCTGGAAATGACTTGGATGCAAACTGTAAGCACAGAATATGTGCTTACTTCTAGCCATATTGTATTTCTCCCCAAAAGTGCCAGGTGTTGGTTTTTAATTTTCCTGCAGAATGCCTCACATAAGGCTACGTAAGACGTGTAATCCAAAGACCTCTCTAATATTTTTCACCAAAACTCCCACCCTACTCCACTCTGGTCATAACTCCTGCCTCTTATCTCTCCTTTCCTTTTGACCTACCCCAAATCATGGGTGAATATTTCACGGAGAATACAAGTGTTTGTGTAACACAATAAAAAGCAACCAGACAAATTTTACTGTGGGGTGGGAACCATGTGATGTCATAGGACTGTAAGTAGCTCTTGCCAACACAGCCAAAAGAGAAAAATGTTGGGAGTTACAGTCTAAAAACATCTAGAGCAGTGGTTGTCAACCTTTCTAATGCCGTGACCTCCAAATAAAGTTCCTCATGTTGTGGTGACCCCCCAACCATATTTTTGTTGCTATTTCATAACAGTAATTTTGCTACTTTTATGAATCATAATGGAAACATGTGATATGCAGGATGTATTTTCATTATTAGAAATTGATCATAATTAAAGCATAGTGATTGATTACAAAAACAATATGCTCGGGGAGTATGGACGATGGATGATGGAATTTGCAGTACCTTCAACCAATTCAGCTCTGACTTCCACAGACCACTGAGACCCCCACAAATTATAGACCTGGAACAAACTTGGCACACAGAACCCCAATGATCAATAGAAAATACTGGAGGGGGCTGGGAGGAATTGACAATGATTTACAGGAGATATAGTTCACCTACAAATGGAGAGCACTGTGAACGACTGCGCATTTGGACCCAACTTGGCACAAATACTCAATATGCCCAAATTTGAACACTGATGGAATTTGAAGGAAACAGATCTTGACATTTAGGAGTTGCAGTTACTTGGATGTATAGTTCCCCTGCCATCAAAGAGCATTCTGAACTCCAACAACAATGGAATTGAACCAAACTTGGCTTACAGAACTCCCATTATCAATAGGAAATACTGGAGAAGTTTGGGGAAAATATGTTCAGACATGTAGGAGTTACAGTTCCTCCTGCAATTAGTAAAGCTCCACCAAACATAGTATTGGACTTGGCACATAGAACCCCATGGCCAGCAAAAAATACTGAAGGTCTTAAGGGGAAATTTACCTTGATTTGAAGTTGTAGTTGACCTCCATCCAGAGAGCACTGTGAACCCAAACACCAGTGTATCTGGACCGAGCTCGGCAGGGGGTGAGGGCTTGGTGGCAAAGGCTCCCCATATTGCCAGGCCATGTGGAGCCCTCCTCCCGGTTCTGCCCCACTTAAGCTCAGCAGGGGGTAAGTGCTAGGCAGCCATGGCACTCCATGGATGGCCAGGCCATGCAGGGAGCTGTCCGCCCAGGGGCTGAGAGCCGAGCAGAAAAGGCTCCTCAACGGCAAGACTGTGCGGGCAGCCCTCCACCTGGTCCCCGTGCCCTTCCGAATTTGGAAAGGCGCATGGGCCGGGCTGAAAGGCTGCTCACATGGCAGCCATTTTGGAGGGGGTGGGGCCAACCAAGGCAGCTTCGCGACCCCCCAAAAATGGCCGAATGACCCCCCAGGTTGAGAACTGTTGATCTAGAAGGTTACATGAGGTTTGCATGATTCCTCCCTTGTTTTGAATGGAGGGTTCAACTTATTGGATACTCATGGTTCTTGATATATTATGATAATGAAGATGAACGAATGCTTAGGTTAAAAAGGAATAAAATGAAAAATAATGAGGGTTCTAATTATGCTATAAGAAATTGCAACCTCCCATAACTTTCTTACTATAGATGTACTTACTAGGGCTGGGCAACCATGGAAAAATTTGTTTCTAAACTCGATTAGTTTTTAGGGGGTTTTTGCGTTTCGATTTTTAAAAGAATTCCGAATTTTTTTAAAAAAAAAGTTCAAAATTTACGAAATTTCGGAAATTATGAAACAGTTACGAAACAATTACGAATCGATTCGTTAATGGCGGACGCGACCGCGCAATACGCTAAAAAAACCTCCAAATGGGACAGGGGGACAGGGGGAACTTCTGAAGCTTCCCTCTCCCTCTGTTGTTGACTGTTGGTGTGATAATTATATTGATAAAACAAACAACAACTATAAAACTTGCACCAGACATGCGGAAATAATAACGAAATGATTTTGAAACAATTTCGAAACGATTTCGAAACAATTACGAAACAATTACGAAACGAATTGAAAAATTCGTTTCGATTTTTAGTTGCTCCTGAATGGTTCAATATCGCTTCGTTACAAAAAAAAATAACGAATTAATAACGAATTACGAAATTAACGAACGAAACCGCCCAGCCCTAGTACTTACGTTAATGTGTTTCTCACAGAGGCTTCGGGATTCCAGCAAAGCAACCAGGACAAAAGCTGTTAATGATGTATCTGATTCAGTTCCTTTATAGCCTCCCTAAAAGGAAATACAGGAGGGAAGAAAGTAAACATTTAATTCAGGAGCTGAACATCATAGGAATGGACCCCTAAATATACTCAGGACTTTTGACTCCTTTAGAGTTCAAACTGAAGACCCAGAGTAGAACATTGACACTGAAGTCACCAATAGCCACTGTACACAATGGATGGCATCTGAAACAAGCAAAACAAAAATCTGAGGGAACTAAAAGCACGAAAGATAAAAAGCTTTTAAAAAACTGAACAGTATTTGTTAATGAGCTGATAATTGTTTATGATTTGAGATTATTACAATCCTCCCACAGGTTCCCCAGTACCAGTGGCAAATGAATTTCGATCAGGAAACACTCGTAAAACCGTGGTTTTGCTTCTAGAACTATCATTCAAAAGATATTGTGCAGCAAGTTTTCCATCTCTTTAGTATCAGGTTTTCCATGACAAAAATAATGTGGAAGAAATAGTATAAAACACAGTGAAATTACAAAAGGAAGACTATTTTGTCTACACCACCTGCCTCTTGAATGAAGCCAGGTATTTGGACCAAATTGAATGAACTGCATGGTCCTAGGCCCCATTGCTAAAGTTCCCCACTTTTGCACAATTGTGTATATCCTCTTTCTTATCTTTTCCTACATTCTTGACTACTGTTCCTTCTCTTCTGTAGAACATTTTCTGTGTTATGTTCTTATTTTCCTCTGCTTCTTCCTCGCTCTGCTCTTTTCTACACCTGAAGCAGACTTCTGTTTTCTGGTGACTCAATTTCCTTCTTCAAATTGCTTGAAACCTACCTTTATATGCCTTCACTTTACCCTCAGATTCTGGTACTACCTTTATTGCCTATGGCTCATCCATTATGTTTATCTGGAATGATATAGCCAGTTACTTAATAGCTGTTTTGTGTTATTCTGCATATAGAAACTTCCGGACTGCAGAAATAGCAGAAAGCAAGCATACCACCATTTCTCCATGAATCACAGGGGCATCTTCACTGAAAAACCCATATGGCTTTTGCTTCTCCAGAATCAGCCACTTCACACCTCCGCAGACAATCCGGGCATCAATGGTTGATACAATTTCGGAAGCCAAGGAAAAGACCTTCACTACATACGCTGTTAGCCTGCAAGAAAAACAGGATGCATCAGTCAAGGCTTATCCAAAGGTAGCAATAATAGAGACCAGAAAGCACATATTATAAACCTGAAATAAAAAAGAGAATTATTTCCACACACTTGTAAATGGATCAAATTAATTCTTGAAAAAGCCCAATGTTTTTCAGCTAATCTGTTTGTGGACAGACTAAAATCTGCTGGGTTTTTCAAATAGTAAATAGAGTCCATCTACATTCTACAAGCATATGGAAACTATCCTCTCTCTCTCTCCCCCCACCCCCCTTGACAGGTTTATCCAAAGGGCCACCCCTATTTGGTAGAAATTGCCTCAGAGCAATTAGCTGAAATGTTTGTCAATTCGCTTTGAAACATTTTTTTAAGTTTTAAAAGTCCAGGGAGATCTCGAAACTATTTAAAAAATGGGACCACCAAATGCAACGCCCAAACACAAATCAAGGAACATGAAAGGCACTGCAGACTACTTCAACCAGAGAAATCAGCCATAGCAGAGCACCTGATGAACCAACCTGGACACAGCATTTTATTTGGGAACACAGAAATGCTGGACCACTCTTACAACCACCATGTCAGACTACACAGAGAAGCCACTGAAATACACAAGCATGTGGACAATTTCATCAGAAAGGAGGAAACCATGAAAATGAACAAAATCTGGCTACCAGTATTAAAAAACTCTAAAATTGCAACAGCACAACAACAGAGAGGAAACAAACAAGGACATCTCATCACCTCTCAACAAAAGTTGGCTCCAGGCACTGTCAGGCCATTATATACTAATCAAGGTGATCAGTTGAAACATTCACACCTAGCTCCAGCAGGCAAGAGTCCTTTGTCTCACCCTGGTCATTCCACAGATATATAAACCCTTTTTCCTAGTTCCAACAGATCTCACTACCTCTGAAAAAGCTGACACAATATGAGGATTTAAAGATTAAACTGCAAAGACTCTGGCACAAGCCAGTCATGGTGGTCCCAGTGGTAATTGGCACACTGGGTGCAGTGCCTAAAGACTTTGGCCTGCACTTAAACACAATCGGCACTGACAAGATTACCATCTGCCAGCTGTAGAAGGCCACGTTACTGGGATCTGCATGCAGCATTTGCCGATACATCACACAGTCCTAGACACTTGGGAAGTGTCCAATGTGTGATCCAATACAACAGTCAGCAGAGTGTCTGCTGAGGACTCATCTTGTTGTGTTTCAAATAATAATAATAATAATAATAATAATAATAATAATAATAACAACAACAACAACAACAACAACAACAACTTTATTTTCATACCCCACCTCTATTTCCCCAAAAGGACTTGTGGCGACTTACAAAGGGACAAGCCCAGAGAATACAGAGTTAAAATGTTATGCAATAAAACAAAACAAAACCAAAACCAAATAGAAACATATTTATTTATTTATTTACTGCATTTATTGACCGCCGCTCTCAGCCCTAGGGCGACTCGCGGCGGTGCACAACATATAAAAACAGTTTACAAAAGGGCAAAACAGGAAATCAATACAACAATAATACACTATAATCTAGTTACACTAAATAATCCGCTCCGTCACATCATAGAATCATAACCAATATCGTAATCCGTATTCCGTTCCAGTTGTCAATTACCAGTTGCCGTAGCGCTCAGTTGAATGCCTTCTCAAATAGCCAGGTCTTCAGGCTCTTACGGAAGGACAGAAGGGAGGGCGCCTGTCTGATGTCAGCAGGGAGGTCGTTCCACAGCCGGGGGGCCACCACCGAGAAGGCCCTTTCTCTCGTCCCCGCCAGACGTGCCTGTGAAGCAGGCGGGATCGAGAGAAGGGCCTCCCCAGACGATCTCAAGGTCCTCGTGGGCTCATAGGCCAAGATGCGGTCCGAAAGGTATTTTGGGCCGGAACCGTTTAGGGCTTTGTAGGATAACACCAGCACCTTAAATTGGGCCCGGTAGCAAATCGGCAGCCAGTGGAGCTGGAACAGCAAGGGCGTTGTATGCTCCCTGCGTCCCGCTCCTGTTAGTAACATGGCTGCCGCGCGCTGGACTAGCTGAAGCTTCCGGGCCGTCTTCAAGGGCAGTCCCACGTAGAGAGCGTTGCAGTAGTCAAGGCAGGATGTGACCAGAGCATGTACCACCATGGCCAAGTCAGACTTCCCAAGGTACGGGCGCAGCTGGCGCACGAGCCTAAGCTGTGCGAATGCTCCCCTGGTCACCGCTGAAACCTGGGGATCCAGGCTCAATGATGAATCCAGGGTCACACCCAAGCTGCGAACCTGCGCCTTCAAGGGGAGTGCGACCCCATCCAGCACAGGCTGTAACCCTATACCCTGTTCGGCCTTGCGACTGACCAGGAGTACTTCTGTCTTGTCTGGATTTAATAAATAAATAAACATATCACAATAAAACAAAATAAAACAAAACCAAATAGAAACGTATCACAGTAAAACATAACATCATAAAAACATTACCATGGGAGCAATAAAAGTGTTGAGTTCAGAGGGCTTTGAGTTTGTGCAAAATTCCTAGATAGAGCTGAGGGAAAGTGCAAAAATTTAGTGGAAGAGAGGGGAGAGTAATGTCCTTGGGCTTTATAATGTCAGGATTATAGAGCGGAGGGCCATGCTAACGTGCCGGAACTTAGGTATTAAAGGGCTAATTTTTTGGAACTGCCTAATCAAAGGCACAACAGAACATTTGATTCCTTACCCGCCTTTCCTCATGGCTTGTGGTGGGTTACAAAACAATATTTATTTATTTATTTATTTATTTATTTATTTACAGCTTTTATATTCCGCCCTTCTCACCCCGCAGGGGACTCAGAGCGGATTACAGTGTACACATATATGGCAAACATTCAATGCCAATTTTAACATAGAACATATACAGACATACACAGAGGCTATTTAACTTTTTCTGGCCACCAGGAGAACTGTTGCTTTCATCGTCCACCTGCGACGCTGATGAAGCACTTCCACATTCCCCGCATACTTCCCCGCTGGAATGCTTTGCTGGAGTCTTCTTTATGGCCTCATAAATCAGTTAATTTAGCCTCCCCACACTTTAAGGTGGTACCTTATTTTCCTACTTGACAGATGCAACTGTCTTTCGGGTTGCAAAGGTCAACAACAGGCTACACAAAATTGGTTAGAAACCCACTCCAACCCAGGCTGGCTTCGAACTCATGACCTTTTGGTCAGAGTGATCTTAATGCAGCTGACACTCAGCCAGCTGCGCCACAATCCCGGTTAAAATACATAACTTGCTGCGAACAAAGTCTTTCAGGGTGGGTGTTTGTGCAACTGTGTATCTGAGTGAAAGGTTGTCTTCAGATGTTAGTCGGGTTGAGTTTCTGGGGAGAAAGTCATCCTTAAAACTGTGGGACCATTCATGGCACCTTTCTTGGTCCATGGTTTTGGGGTCTCTTGGGTGTTCCAGGTTTTGATAACAGAGTCACCATAAGTCAAATTTGCCTCATCCATAGTTAACAACAGTTATCCTCACTTGCTCTTAAGCAAGAACCTCACATGGAAAATAGCAAGAGTAATGGAACAATAAACCAATTCACTATAAAAGTAGGAGCAAGAAAATGGACATATTCGAAAGTCAATGTCTTAGGAGAGAAAAGATGCTGACAAGCCCACCCCAGATTTAAATGTACTCCTTCAGCAGTATTGTTCCTACCAAGTGCTAGATGGGCGGGTTACAAGTGCAGCATAGGAGTGGTCTGGTTTCTTGTACGCCATCTGCTGGGCATAACCTGAGAAAAGAGGGGGGTGAGAAAGAGAGGTAAATGGAGTCTTGGAGTGAATCTACACTGCAAAATTAATGCAGTTTGATACCACATTAACTGCAATGGCTGAATGCTTTGGAATCATGGGACCAAGGTCTTCAGTCTTCCTTGCCAAAAAGTGCTGCTGCCTCACCAAACTAAAATCACCATGCTCCCACACAGGCCCGTAGCCAGGATTTCGTTTCGGGGTGTGTGTGTGAGTGTGTGATTTTTTTCAGGGGGGGTTTGGGGGGGTGAGTTTTGGGGGGGGGGCTGAGTCTGAGTGAAAGAGGGTCTAGCCTAGCAAACCTTTTGTATCATTACCCCAATACCCCCATGCATATGGGATATATTGAGTATAGTGATCAGATCATGATATGAATAAACATAACAGTTTAGGTAATGCACCAGTAAGGCCTTTTCGCGAACCACCATGAGAATTTCGGGAGGGGGGGCTGAAGCCCCCCGAGCCCACCCCCCTGGCTACATGCCTGCTTCCACACCATTTAGCAAAGACAGATAAAACATTGTCAAACTACATTAATTCTACAGTGTAGATGCACTCTAAGTCCAGTATGTGAATCTGGACAGATAAGAGCCATCGGTGGCACTGGTCCAGCTCCCAAAAGCCCTGTGTTTCCTCTCTGTCTTTTGCAGCAATTCTTCATGTATGTTGCCCTTCTTTTAACTCAGTCACTTGGCTTCTGTTGCTTTCCCTCTTCCTCTCCCCAGGCTTGGTTTTCCATTTTTTTAAAAATAATAATAATAATACTACTAATAATAATAATAATAATACTTTATTTATACCTCACTACCATCTCCCTAAGGGGAATTGGAGCGGCTTACATGAGGCCAAGCCCAACAACACATCAATAAAAACAACAAAGCAATAAGCAAATAAAACAATACAATTAATATAACTCTCATATAGACAATAACATGCAAAGATTTAAAAACCTATGGAAAGTCAGTTCATATCTCAGCAATTTTCTTCTTGCTGTGTGAAAGTTTCTAAGACTACTTGCGATTTGCTAATCAATCTGCACAAAATTCTCATGTATGGTTTGTTTTGTCATCATTTGCACAGAGAACAACCTTTTCAGCATAGAAAATAATATTTCTGTGAAGATTTTTGTGTGTGAAGATATCTTATTTTCTTGTAGAAAATGCTGTTTTGCAGGCATTTTATTTTGGGATTTTATTGGGGGGTTTACACAAATTAGCAGTTTTTACAAAGAAAATAATACTTCTGTACAAAAATCTTATTTTCAGCACAGAAAATGCTGTTTTGTGGATTGAAAATATTATTCTCCTGGGGAGAGAAAACGCTTTCCAGTTCTGTGCAGATAAAAATCGGACATGTGAAGGCTTTTGTTAGTCCAGGATTCTTTTTACTACGGTTTCCTGAGACTTTATAAATACATTTGACAGTTTAAAAAAAACACTTTTCAATGTTTTTTCATCATCATTTAATGTGACATTTACTGAAGCAGGTAGCATTTGGGCCATCAGTGAGTGAGATGTGGCTGTGGACCCAAAATAACTCCCTGAATTCCCTGAAACCTGCATCAGCCATGTTTTCTGTATAAATAGTAAGCAGTGCCCTCAAAACCTTGCAAGTTTCAATCCAGAATTTCAAAAATAAAAACAAACTAAAAAGCAGAAGTAGCTTTCAGACCTTTCCAGTTTGGATGTTTTCCCTACAAAATCCATTTCCAGGCTGAACACGCTCTATTGAGTAGTACTGGGTGTGAATGTTGGTGCCCAGATTATATGATTTAAGCATTTCAAGGGAATCAGTTCTTTTATCTAGGAAGACCCTCATCACCCTAACTAGAATGGACTGAAATTGGATGAATCAATCATAATTTAGATATGTTTGTTTGCTTTACCTATCAAGATTTGTTTGATGGCCTCAGCCCTGCGATTCAGCCCAATCTTCTCCCATTGATCCGTGGCATCAAGATAGAGAGTGGCAATAACTGATGGTGTCATGGTGACCATGTTCTGTTCCCCATTGCCAGAAGGTGTTCTGATGAGATGTTTCAGGTTGCTTCCATCAATAGACTCCTCAATAAGATGAACCACAGGGTCTCCTAAGCACAAAGACAAAACTCCTTTTAATTTCTGAGGTCAAAAAACCACTTAGGAACTGTATGGATTGTTTGTTGCATGGCTGCTCCTCCCCTACAACAAGACAGCAACACTTTATTTATATACCGCTCTATCTCCCCAAGGGGACTCAGAGCGGTTTCCAAGCAAGAAAATCTGTACATACAAAGAAAACAGCATAAACATAAAATAAACAAGACAATATAAGTATTAAAAACCACAATAGTACATATATATTTAAAATAATCCTGCCTGTTCAAGGCAATTTACAAGGCCGGGCCGATGCTAGTGCGATTTTAGAAGGCCCTTTAAATTAGGTAGAGTCTAGGGCTGTACATTTCCAGGGCCTAATAGAAGAAAGTAACCTGGGTAATTGGCAGAAAAAGATATGGCCAATTTCAACAGTATCTGGGGCTAAGCTAAAACTAGTTGTTCTCAACTAGTTCTAGGTCTTCAGGCTCTAACGAAAGGAGGGGAGGGATGGGGCCTGTCTTATTTCTCCAGGAAGGTTGTTCCAGAGGCGGGGGGCCACCACCGAGAAGACCCTCTCTCTCGTCCCCACCAACCGTGCTTGTGACAGTGGTGGGAGCAAAAGGAGAGCCTCCCTGGAAGATCTTAAAGTTCACACCGGTTCATAGACGGAGATGCGATCGCGAAAATAGGTGGGGCCCGAACCATTTAGGGCTTTATAGGTCATAACCTGCACCTTGAATTTGGCTCGGCAACTTATCGGCAGCCAGTGAAGCTGTTTTAAAAGGAGCGTTGTATGTTTCCTATAGTTTGCTCCCCTAGAACCGTAGAGTTGGAAAAGACCCCATTGGCCATCCAGTCCAACCCCCTGCCATGAAGGAAAAATACAATCAAAGTACCGCCTACCCAGAACAAAGTCTCTCATGGAGCACCAAAAGCTGCTGTAATTTCAGCTTTCAGACCTAATGGAAGAGTAATGTCCCTTGTAATAGAGGATAATAATAATAATAATAATAATAATAATAATAATAATAATAATCTTTATTTATACCCCGCCACCATCTCCCCAATGGGGACTCGTAGGCCAAGCCCAAACAGCAAATTACAATAAAATAAAACCGAAAACGTAAACAATAAACAACAACAATATAATTACATAAAACATGTGAAAACATAGCAATATAGAATTACAATAGGCACAATCACAATGACAATGGGCGTGCTATATGTAATGGTTAAAAGAGAGACTGATTGAAACTGATTAAAACTCAGGTGAGATAAGAAAGAAACGGATTATTTGCGGAGGAGGGCTCATTATAGTGGTGGTTGTGGAATCAAGCTTTCCTACAAAGGGGGGGGGCATGTACTCCAATGACAAAACGTTGAGGCTAAGTACTAGTGTGAGAATGTAAACCTATTCATCAAAAGCGCAGTGGAAGAGCCAGGTTTTAAGGTTCTTTTTAAAGGTTTCTAGTGTAGGGGCTTTTCTAATTTCTCCAGGTAGTGAGTTCCAGAGTTGGGGGGCCACCAAGGAAAAAGCTCTCTCCCTTGTACTTACCAGGCGAGCTTGTGAAATTGGCAGGGGCGAAAGAAGGGCCTCCCCAGAAGAACCCGAGTTGGTTCATGGAGGGAGACACGGTCATGATACAGCCATTGTTATTTTGGGAGTCAGTGAGAACTTGTGACTTCTGTAACAGCAGGATGGTGAAACTGTTCTTTGTTTCAATTTGAACTTTAAAGGAGCTATCCTGGGTGATGAGCATAGATTTAGCACCATGGATCACTCCAAACAAAATTACCATCCCACTGCTCTGGAAACCCAACGAATATAGTTTTCTTATGCTTGCTGAGAGCAACAGGTTAACTCCTCCTATTTTTATAGGTGTACCCCCTCCTGCTAGTGGGTTATAGAAGGAAGAGGGCCAAGAAGGGGGTATTGACCCTCTTCACTCCTATGGTCCTAGAGTTGTGTATTAAATCAAGCTCTTGCCTTGAATGCTAATTTTGATCTCTGGTTCAGTTCCAGGAACAATATCATCAAAATGTTGAGCTTTCACCAGCTCTTCCTGGACTCCATCTGTGGAGAGAAAAAGGCAAGAAAAGCAGGAAAATTATGAAGAAATATATATTATTGCCATATTCAAGCCCCTTAGTGCTTCTGGCACTGTTTTTCTACAATCAGCTGCAAGTGGAATTAATGTTCCATACCAATCTGTATTTCAAAACAAGATGTGTACATACTGCACTTGCAATATAGTTTAAATCATGTTGGTCATGATAACTAAATCCACTAAAGCAATAGATAAACCCTGTTGATTTAATACATCAGTTTGAATTCAGACTCTGAAAAAAAATCAGGTCTACATGTCAATATGGAACACTGAGGTAAGATCCACTCCCTCCCTCCCTCCTGGATTTTAGAAAAAAATTAAAATCATGGTTCTGGGACCAGGTCTTCAGACAGTAGATATTTGTAGCATTTTAGAGGGACATTGACTGGAACGGCGATTCAACTGATGAGACTGTTTTATTGTTTTAATGCTTGCTGATGTGTTGTTTCAATTATGATTTATGTTTAATTGTGGTTTTACTATTGTAATTGTTTGTATTGGCATCGTATCGGTGCCCAACGTAAGGCATTGAATTTTGCCATTATTTATGTGTAAACCGATTTGAGTCCCCCCAGGGGTGAGAAAGGCAGTATATAAATACTGTAAATAAATAAATAAATAATACTAATATATCTATCCAGATGTTTGATCTCTAAGTATGTATAATGTTACACAGGACAACTGGTGTGGTGCAATGGTTTGAGAGCTGAACTATGAATCCAGAGACCAGGGTTTGAATCACCACTCGACTATGAGACCTGCTGGTTGACCTTGGGCAAGTCATACACTCTCAGCCTCAGAGGGATGCAATGACAAAACCCTTTTGAACAAATTTTGTAGGCAACTGTGGAGTTCCCATTAGTTAGAAATGCCTTGAAGACACACAGTAACAATCTTAAATGTGCAAGTGTGAATACAGTACATATATTGTGTGCATAGAGCCCTGAATGATAACCCAGTATTCTTTTACCCATCAAAGAGGATTACGACACCTAGCAAAGGTGTTAACTCTTGCTTCTGCAGAATCCCTATCCCAGAAATGTTTTGTACCAGGATTATGTTTTTTAAAAAGTAATGATTTGGCTTTCTGAACTATAGTCTGGAGGTTTAATAAAGCTGGGCTTCTGGCAAGGGATGGCTCATTCCTCACAGGAGTTTGCAAGAAAGGTTTTGTTAAGAGCCTCACAAACTAAATCAAGAGGGCTTGAATTGGTGGAAGGAGACAAGTTTCAAGTAGGAAGGAGTTTATAGGAGAGAACCTGGTGGCACAGTGGGTTAAACCCTTGTGCCCTGCAGGACTGAAGACCGACAGGTCAGAGGTTCGAATCTGGGGAGAGCGTGGATGAGCTCCTTCCGTCAGCTCCAGCTCCCCATGCGGGGACATGAGAGAAGCCTCCCACAAGGATGGTAAAACATCAAAACATTCAGGTGTCCCCTGGGCAACGTCCTTGCAGATGGCCAGTTCTCTCACACCAGAAGCAACTTGCAGTTTCTCAAGTTGCTCCTGATACAAAATAAATAAATAAATAAATAGGAGAGAACTTCTCAACTGGCATAGAAAGGACTGGACAAGAGCTTTTGCTTCATTGCAAGCCTTAAACTGCATATTTTTACTATTGCAGAAAAACTGAAAACCAGGCAGAACTGGAACAAACATAAAATAGGACTTTCAAACGCTGGTTTTCATTGCATCAGTCCAGCTGTAGTGCCAGTTTGTCTGCCTCGTGCAATCTGGGGCGGCTATAATAACTCAGACGCTTATAAAGGCAGAGTGGACAAAACAATCCCACCACTGTCCCCACCAATTATAAGGCCTCCTCAATTGGCCGTCTGGGCAGGGGGCCAAAGAGTCCCACCACTACCCCCAAATTATAATGATATAATTTCTTTGATGACCAAACAATATCACTGGACAGGGGGCAAACAGATCCCAGCGCTGTCCCTCCTGACAATAAGGAATTCACACCACTTTGGCTCTTATAGCGTCTGAGGGTATGTCTCTTTCTTTAAAACCTTCGCTGCCACCATCAACTGAAGAAACACGAACCCTCTAACTATTTAAACTGCTAAAAGGCTCTTTTAATCCACCAAATGCTGTGTATTATCAAGGGCTTTCTTTGAGGGAAAACAGGAGAGGTTGATTCAACAGGGAAAATGACTCCAACCAAAAATGGCACTTGACTCAGGCTTCAATTTTAAAAAATAACAAGAAAGAGTTTATTGAAATATAAGTTACAGAATAAAAAGTGAATGCAGGTTCAGAGGCTTGGCTGTTACAATAAAAGTGTTCTTGGTTCTTAGAAGCATAATGGTTACTTGAGAGAATGGTTCTTTTCTTTGTTACAATTCTGAACACAAAAACCCAGCTATTTTCTTTTCTAAAATAGCTGTAACTCAGTCTGCCACAGCCTACTTTGCTGTGCAAACTACAGGCAAGCTGCCTATTCTTTAACAGAGACTCCTAAAATTTCCAATCCTACTCTAACCTCCCCCAGAACTGAACTGAACTCACTCTGAACTAAAACTAAACTGTCCAAACAAGCTGTTCTCTTTCCCTCCAACTGGCTAACTCCGCCCCCTTTTCCAAACCAATCCTGGCTGTTGCTGGGCTGGCTCAGGCCTAGGCCACTCCCCCTCTCTGAACTGGAGCTTTTCCCTAAACTAAGATGGCTCCAGCAGCTCTCTGCCAGGCCTTCTAACTGAAACTACCTAGCCTGTCTCTTCCTGGGCCCTGCCACCCTAGCTGGCAAGGTAAGGGATCTTCACAGCGGCTCATCCATTACGCGAAGTAAGCGGTCGCAGAACACTTTTTTTTGCCCCCTCAGTTCACAACAGCCTTAGCAATCCGGGGGGAGCCTCGGCTTTCTTGCCTTGCTACCGGGCGATCCTCTTCCCAAAGGGGCCGGGCCCTTGAGCCTCACCTAGCCCCTCTCATTCCTGCTCCACCTGGCCACCGGATGTGCGAGCAGAGCCGACGCTCAATCGTTCTCAGCGTTCGATCCCTTCCCCATGACCCGCTCCCTTTCCTGATTCCCCGGCACTCTCCTCTCCCCAATCTGCAGGTGGGCCAAGGGGCGGAGCCGCCGCGCTTGGCCCGCTTTGGGTCCGGAGGCGTGTCTGAAGACCCCAGTGTGCACACCAAAAGTCGCCTCTTCTCCTGACTTTCTCTTCAGCCATTGGGACCAAGAGAGAGAGAGAGAGAGAGCCCCTCCGGCTGGAGGTATCTCCCACCTCCGCTCCCTCCTTTGTTTTTGCGCCTACCTTCAGGAAAGGTGGGCATCTCCACCTCTCTCTCTCTCTCTCTCTCTCTCTCTCTCTCTCGGTCCCAATGGCTGAGGAGAAAGTCAGGAGAAGAGGTGACTTTTGGTGCACACGCCGGGGTCTTCAGGCACACCTCCGGACCCAAAGCACGCCGGGCAAGGGAGCAAATGCGACAAATGTAGTTACTGGGATGTATAGTTCACCTACAATCAAAGAGCATTCTGAACTCCACCAATGATGGAATTGAACCAAATATGGCACACAGAACTCCCACGACAAACAGAAAATATATATCAATGATTGGTTTGGGGGGGGGGGGGCGCCAAAATACTGTTTGCTTACCGTTGAAAATTACCTAGGGCCGCCTCTGCGTGCAATAAAGACCTAACAAACAACACTGGACATCTTTGTCCACGGTGTCAGGTAAAGGTCCCTTCTCATTACATACTACAACATTATTTTAACTGGAACTGCCAGGGACTCAGTCTACAACTGCCTTTTTACATTTACACGCTTTCTATTCTGCACATAGCCACCTTCCTTTTTCGGGGGGTATCAAACTACATTTATTCTAAAGTGTAGATGTGCCCGTAAAATCAGCACATTTACTCAGCATTCACATTGCTATTTTGTATCACAAGGAAAATATGATCCCTTTAAACAGGTGGGAAATCTACTGCTCTTCCATTTAATATAAGCAGAATGTATCCTGATATTCCTTTTAAAATAAATTCCCCAAAGCCATAGAGTTCACCTGAGAACCTCCACCTGGAAAGCACTCTGTTTCTACCCCAGAGCATATTTTCAACAATTCTGAAACTTTTTTAAAAAGTTTTTTTTAGGACAAACAAATCTAACATAACCACTTTTCCTCATGAGGAAGTTTAGAAGATAACATAGGCGATTTTTACGGAACATATATTTTAACAATTTAACAAAAAAAATAGTTTAACATTTAATATGCAATCACCTTCATCCCTTACTTGTAGCCATCCCTTTTCCACTGTCTTCCTCCTCCCTCTCCTTTTCACCCCTTCCCTTCAGGAACAGTCATACATTTCCTTTATTGTTCATTCTGTTTGTTGGATTGTAAGGATAGTCTGGTTTAATTTCTTATATTTATAGCTGCCTTTAGCCTTGGCTATCAGTTTTCTCAATTTTCCTTCCTATTTCCTCCTGGGGTATCCATTAGAATATTTATTTTTCCTATCCATGATGTAATCTTGAAGTATAATAGGCTGCTAAATATTCCTACCATTTTTGTATATCCCGTTTTTTAATGTTCTTTCCATCCCAGGGTGACCGTTGCTTCAGCTGCAGTTAAAATATATTTAGTTGTCGCACCCCAATCTTCATTACTGTTTTCCCCTTCCAGTTCCAGAGTAAAAAGCATTTCTTATTCCTCCCTACTTTTTGCTGTAATAACTCTTCCATTTCCCCCTTTATTTTTCTATTGAATTCTTGTACCTTGGTACAGTTTCACTACATATGGATAAATGTTCCAGTTTCTCCCACATTCATGCCAACCAATTTTAGATTTTCTTTTTGTAATATGGGCTATTTGCTGGGGTGTACTATACCATTTCATCAGTATTTTCCGTTGTATTTCTTTGATCTTTAAATGCTTAAGCATGCCAGTCAAACAACATCAGATGGATAGCAAGCAAAGTAACCTCTGCTGGAGATGTGGCAAACACAAAGGGACATATTTTCATTTATGGTGGGAATGCCTCCAAGTGAAGAGTTTTTGGAAGGATATATTTATCAAAATAAACAACATTATAGGATCAAATATTACACCGGATGCCAGGTTAGCATTATTAATGGACACCACGGAGCTGAATTTAGAAACAAGTAAGAAAGAATTGGTGATTATTTTACTCACAGTGGGAAGAATTATAATAGCAAAGAACTGGAAAATAATAACTAATCTAACACTGGATGCATGGTATAGGGAGGTATGGAACGTAGCCTTAAATGATAAATTCACTATGGAAATGAGGGTATTCGGGGGAAAATTAACAGATCAGATTTTGAGGCATACTGGTCGGTCTTTATTAAATATGCCTTAGTGCGCGAAAATGGAAAACAACAGATCTTTGTTGGTCAGGAACTTTGGATATGACATTTGATTAATGGTTGATTTGTAAATACATGGTGAAGGAAAGGATACTTCTTCAGGCCTTGGTGGTGGGGCTATGTGTTTGTCCAATGTTCACTGTTTTGTGTTTTGTTTACACTGTAAGTTGTTATTGTATGTAAATAAAATCTTACAAAAATTAAAAATAAATAAAAATAAATAAATGCTTAAGCTTTTGATTGAATTTATCCACAGTTCTAAGTCCTTCTGGTCACAGTTTATTTCCTCTTGCCATGCTTCTAACAGGATGGGTTTAAAATTATATTGGCTATCTATTAGTTTATTATGTATGGATCCCATGATTCCTTTCCCTTTCTCAGTTTTCCATTATAGTATCTGATCTCAATCTGTCTCAGGACCTTCCTTGTTCTTCCACTCTGTGATCTTTTGTGTCATTTCATGACATGACAACCAATTGCTTGACCCATATTTGTCTCTTAACTCCTCCCAGTCTTTTGTTGTTCCATCTGAATTTAAAAGATCACCTATTATTGTTATAAAATTTTTATTTAAATTTATTATCACTTTTCCATATATCTGATCTTTTTCATTATCTAACATACCTATTGGGAGTCTGTCAATTTTGTTCAGTGGAAGCTTGTTTTGCCATTTTTTCTAGGATTCTAATGTTGAGGATAGCGGGCTTCCTTTTATTTTCTTTGTTTCTTAACTGTTCATCCTTTCCTTTAGGCACAAACAGTGGTTCCACCCATTTATTGACTTCTCAATTTTTACTCATCTTTTTGCATTGTCAAACTCTAATTCTAATAGTTTCACTAGTTGGTATGCTTCAAAATAACTTTGTAGGTCGGGGGCTCCTCATCCTCCATTTTCTTCTGGGGAATAATATGACAGATTGGGTATTCTGCTTTTTTTGGCTCCTACCACCCAGGTTTTTATTGAGGTGTCCTTTTTTATTTATTTGATTTGATATAATGAATGGTAATGCCTGGAACAGAAATAATATTTTTTTGGAAGAATCATCATCTTGACTATTTTGATCCTATTTGTTAGATCCCAGTTCCATTTATTCAAATTTTGAATTTGCTTACTAATTTGTTTCCATAATTGATTACAGTTTATTTGTATTATATTCTTTTTTTTGGTTACTCTGGTTTTTCTTCAGATCATATAAATATTTCACCTTTCACAGTCACCCTCCTGAATAGAAATAATTCCAGTATTTTATCCACTCAGATCTGCTTTGTTAGGAAGCATTTAAAAAGATGTGTGAACAGTTTAAGCAATAAAGAGTTATTTGCAGGACTCAAGAAAAAGTTTTAAAAAGACACACCGATAAAGAACAGCTTTCACTTACTTTTTCCTTTTTTAGAGGGTTCCAACTCAATAACTCTTATAAGCGATTTCCGTATCCCTTCAGGCTGGCAAGGAAAAAAGTCCAAGAATTACTACAAAAATCTCACCAAAAATAACATTAGTCAATCATGGCATTAAAGAAAAACATGGAGACACTAGCATCTATCTAGTTACTGGTAAGACACGGCATGGACAAGTCTAAGTATCTGGCTTTAAAAATAATTGAGGAAATCATGACTTTTTAAAATGCACTTAGTAATGTACTTGGAATCATGAAATTGGACAAGACCATAAGGGCCATCCAGTCCAACCTAATGGCATGCAGGAAAATACAATCACAGCTCTCTTAACAGATGGCCATCCACCCTCTGCTTAAAAACCTCCAGAGAAGGAGACTCCACCAGACTCATCTGTTGTCTTGTGTCATTGGGTAGAAAAATCAAGTTGATAGCTCTTGTAGTTTCTTTTAAAAAATGTTGTTTATAAAAACTTTTAAAATTCCCCCAAAATCTGTGGATGTGTGAAATATTCTGAAACTTGATGGGCTAACAGTGGTAAATGTATACTATGATCCTAGCAAGTTCCATGCCAATAGCTCTAATAATGAGGGAGAAAGGAGCGCCAGAATTTTCCCCTCTGGCACTATTACTTAACGAAAAGTAATGAAAAGGTAGTCATAGTTATGATACGGACCCTTTCCCATTTGAAAAACACTTTAGAAACATTTTGCTCCACCCCCTAATGTTGTAATGAGTATTGAAACTTTTTTTTCATTGATCATACAGGCCTAATATTTGTTCAATGTGTATATCTGTGTGTTGGTGTGTTTTATTTTTTGTGTCATATTTTTGTGTTGTTATGGGGGGAAATTGTACTAGTTAGAAAGTAGATTAGTAGGGTGTCTTTTAAAAAATATGTATAACTTTAAAATGTGCTTGCTCACTTTATTACGGTTGTATTATGGTTTTTTCTTTTCATCAATAAAAATAATAACAAAAGAAAAAAATGACAGAGTTACTTTTTTTTCACTACATGGACTCCCTGTGGGGCTAGGGCACATGGGAATTCTCACTGAGCATACATTACATTCTTATTTTTGAATTTTGGGCTACTTCACATTGCACAATCATAGCACTAGGATTCCACTTGGACCAACACGGTTCCATCCTATGGAATTCTGTGGCTGATACTTTCACAAGGTATTTTGAGTTCTAATGAGCTTCAGATATTTCCAAACTACAGAGCCCAGAATTCTACAGGATGTTGCCATGGTAGCTTAAGTGGAATCATAGTACTACAATTGGATTATAAGAAATGATTATCTGACTCTGTATTTCAGCATGTTGAAATTCTCACTGACTTTCAAAAACTCACCAAGTGTGTATCAAAAAGCAATTATGGAGCTATAGTTTGGGATGGCACCACCACTCTTTGGTAGAAAAGGCAGAAGGACTTGTAAAACTACAACTCCTGTGATTCCGTAGCATTGTGCCACAGAGGTCAAATTGGTGTCCAACTGCATTTATTCTACAGTGTAGATGCACCCTCAATGTAAGGTATTTTTAATGGGTGTTTTATGTTCCAGGGGTCACATGCAAACAAGGCGAGTTGTGCTCCCAGCCTAGTGTGTGTTCAATGCTTTTCTAGCCACATTGGTAAACATCTGGTTTTCATGCTAATCCTTCAGATTTAGGTTGCCTGGCTAAACTGGTTGAGAGAGAAAGAGTGGATGGGCAGTGACAAAGTCATCCTGGCTGCAGCCTCTCTTTCTGCTGATTTCATGGGAGGGCCTTGTGTAATGCCTACCACAACCCGGAGCTTCTTTTTCACCCCATCAGACTTCATCCAGTTCCAAACAGACGCTTTGACCTCGATGTCATGTAACCCCACCTCGAGTGGCACCAAAACAAATGGGACTGTTGTAGAGGACTGTGCCCTGATAGTGACATCGTGCCTGTAGTGCTGCTTGAAGGCCGGGTTGTGAATCAGTTCCACTCGCACCTGGGAACAAAAGAGAGAAGGAAGAAGTTTCTAAAAGCAATGTAAAAAATGAGCAAGGGAGAAAAGACAGTTCTTCCCTTTGGGATAAGCTACAGCTCCTTCATTTATTTCCTCAAGCAGCTATCAAATTTCCATTCTGTTACAGTCTCCACATTTAGTTCTATGACTATCCAGGTGGATAGTCATAGAACTATCCACCTGGATAGTCACACCCAACCACTGAAATAAGTAAAAATTACACCAGGCCTCTTCAACCTGTGGCCTTCCAGGTATTTGGACCTCCAACTCTTAGAAGCCCTATTCAGCTTGTTTGATGGTCAGAAATTCTGGAAGTTCAAAACACCTGGAGGGCCACAGGTTGAAGAGGCCCTATCTACACTATAGAAGTAATGCAGTTTAAGAGCACTTTAATTATGGCTCAGTGCTAAAGAATCCTGACAGTTGTGGTGAAGGGAGGCACCGGTGTTCTCTGCCAGAGAAGGCAAAAGACCCTTTAAAACTACAACATGCAAGATTCATGAGCATTGGCACTTCAAGATGTGTCAAACTGAATCATAGGTGTTGTCGTTGATGTGGGCTGACTTTAAAGAAAATTGGGGAGATGCCAAAGTTAAAATGTTGCAATGGGGCTAGAGCCAATAAAGCTGTGCTTTTTCTCCACAACACAGTATTAATTTTCCCTGTTCACCCCCTTCCCTGTGTCTTGCACCTCTCTGTTTCAACACCTTGTTTAAATTCCAAGGCTTACCTTGATAGCCGTTATTCCATAATTGTAGAGAATAGTTTGAATCGCCACCTGCTCATTTCTGACTACTGAGTAAGGCAGCTTTAGGTCAACGAAGAAGTCCTGCATAACCATTATTTCATAAGGTTCAGCTACACAGATGCCTGTAAGGAAGATTGATGGAAAAGGAAGCAGCAATCAAAAGCGGTTTTGCATCAGATTTCTATCTTGCAAACATTTTTTACGAGTTTGCAAGCATATTAGCATTACCTCCATACAGTTCACCCTCAGGATCATCTAAGATGCTTTTACCTTTTGTTTCCGAAATGCTCACTGCCAACACCTCCCAGGTTGTGATGGAATCCCTCAGGTAAAAAGGCACTATTTTGGATGAGATCCTAAGTACAAGAAGGAAGATGTCATGTCATATTTGAAGGCAGAGATTATAATATGCAGGAGGGCCATATCCAGCCCCCGGGCCTTAGTTTGAGGACCCCTGGTCTAAGATTTGAGAATTCTGGAGCAACACTCTCATTGCTCTACAGTCAAAACTGATTTTGTGACCCTGGGTGAATTCTATGAGTTAATTCAGTTTGTCTCCAGTCTGAAAAGTAGGTGCTGTAAAGAGAAGAATATGGAAGATATTTACCCTTGTTGGTTAGGAGCTTCCGTCAGTACTTTAGTTTCCCATAACCAGCTCTCTTGAAACTCGGTCCTGGATAACACATCTTCCTCATCCATGATAAATTCATCATGGTCACCTAGGAAAACGTGATAGATGTGGCTGTGATTATCTTGGAATTGGGATTTCTCCTTCAGAGGCTTGATATAGACTCAGAGACCCCACCTATACTGATGTTTTTGTGCAATTTGAAGCTAGCTTGAAATTTTGATTGCCATACAGCAAATTCCCACAAAAACATATGAAAGAAAGCTCTTAATGCTCATCAGTGCTCTGTGGTTTATGCAATCTCCATCATAAACTAGTTTAATTACTTCTTATATAATCATCTGCATAGTGAAACCACTGTCTTCAATACCTTTTGGATGTTGCATTGAGTGTTCAGTGTAGATGTGCTCAAAGGTTGACTTTTTGGGGGCTTCCTTATTTGAAGCAAGAATAAAGATGTGGCCTGGACATCATCTCACCATGCCTTGATAGCTACTGCTTATGATATTTGTGATGTCCATATTATCTGGACTGGCGCCATAAGTCTGATATGGAAAGACTATCACAGAAGAACTAAAGTTCATAACACATTTCCTCACTGTTGGCCAATGAACAGACTTTGCTATGAAAAGAAGCCAACACAATGGTTTCACAATGGCAGACACATCCTTAGGCAATGTTCTTAGATCATTACTGTTCGCTTTTCAATGCTGTTTTGTTGTACAATTGTTTGTGTGGGGTGAGGAGGGAGTGTGAAGAAACCAGAAGTTGCATTGTCTGCAAGGGAGCAGAAGCAGGAAGTGGCATGTGGGCAAAACATCAGGAGAAAATACTGCTAGAACATAGCCACACAATCTGGAAACCACACAACATCTCAATGGTCCAGGCTGTGAAATCTTAGAAAATCCATTGACTCTAATATTCTTCCACTGTGTATATTTTGCAATATTATCCATTCAAGCTGAAACATTCTTGTTCTCTGGGGTCTTTGTTACTTCTCACATACCTTGGCTTGTTTCAGACTTGAGCTGTATGGAGCGACGGCTTCTGTCTTTTGCCACTTGGGGGCACTTTATCTCTGGAAGGCGGGGGGGGGGGGGGGGGGGGGGGGGAGAGAATAAAACGAAAATATTATTGTCCTGGTATTAAATAAGAAGATGGTGATAAATTCTATGATCACATGCTACATTCATTTATCCTATGCAGGTTTAATTGAGTAGTGATCAGGGCTTACTCTCATGTCGGAGAGAACAGGATTGCAACTTTCAGGCTTTCCATGTTATATGGCCACTTATCTCATCAGTCCTTGATGACCCCATTCATTGTGTGCGGAAAGACTCAACGGTCTACTGAGCAACAAGAGGATTTGCTCCTGTAGCACAGAACAGCTGGATTCCATCCCGTATAGTTGTCTGCACTGCCCACTTTACCAGGAACTAAGTTCTAGCTTACCATTACAAGTTATAGATTCTTTGAAAAACCATACTGACCCAGACAAAGTAATTATGCTTTTAAACTGCCAAGATTTTAACTGTTGCCTTTCAGTATCAAGATTCCTGAACGAAGTCTGTAAACTGAACGTGTAGCAAATGTGAAGTTCCCTTTTGTATAATTTATACTGAATTTTATACTGTTTTGCCTATTGGATTGGATTGGATTGTGTGCTGGTTGGGGCACAGTAATTACAGCCAGTGTGAAGACATATTTAACTTAAGATTTTTCTGGTCCATATTAAATGGTGTCAAACTGCATTAATTCTGAAGTCTAGATCAGAACTTTCCAAACGGTGTGTCATGACACACTAGTGTGTCACCTGTAGTTCACATGAAAAATACTCCCCCACTCCCACCCTTATCCCCACAAGCAAAGGCTGCCGGGCAGCCACTTAGAAGGAGTATGTTGGTTGCTCCTGGAGGAGGAGGAGGGGGGGGGGAGGGGGCAGCGGGAGCAACAGTGGTGATGGTCAATCAGGCAGTATTGAGCCTAAGTCCGAGACCCCACCACCTTCGTTCTCCTTGTTGTACTCAGTTCCCTGCCTCCCCCCTCCCCCACAGCAGCAGCCCAAACATAGGCCACAACTGGGGGAAGGGGTGGAGGAAGATGAAGAAGAGGAGCATTTCTCATTAAGAGCCACATCCACTGTTTTAGCATGGTGATATGTGTTCTACACTGGGTATGTGTACTCAGCAGCAGAGTAACAAAGCGCAATGGCAGATGTCTTCACTGTATCTGGTTGTGATCCCCAGGCTGTGCCAGTCAGCTTTCATATGATATTATTTCTAGCACCCACTTTTTGCTTGATAGTCAAGCAGTGCTTCTTGTAGGTAAGAGCACGGTCCAGAGTGACTCCCAGGTATTTGGGTGTGCTGCAATGCTCCAGTGGGATTCCTTCCCAGGTCATCCTCAGAGCTCAAGATGCTTGTCTGTTCTTAAGATAAAAAGCACATGTCTGTGTTTTAGGAATCCGCTGGTTTTCCCTGTGACAAACAGTAAGAGCACCTAAAGCTTTGGAGAGCTTCTGTTCAACCATTTCAAATCTCCCTGCTTGTGCAGTGATGACAAGCATAGATGAAACTCTCTGTCCCTTCTGGCAGTGGCTGGTCATTTATGTAAATGTTAAACATTGATGGAGACAGCATGCTCCCCTGAGACAGGCCGTTCTGTCTTCGCCATCTGCTTCTCTGGCCCTGGAATTCAACAAAAAGCTCCTGTTTTGTAGCAGATTTTCTATGACGTGTGTGAGGTGGTAGTTCTTTGTGATATAAGTTTTCCTCAGGAGAAGGCCATTATTTACATTGTCATAAGCTGTTGACAGGTCTATGAAGGTAGCTCCTGTAATCTGCTGCCTTTCAAAACTATCCTCTATGTGCTGTCAGGTTTAACACTTGTGATGTGCAGCCTTTGGCTTTCCCGAAACCAGCTTTCTGAAGAATCATGAATGGGTCTATCTTTTCCATAATTCTATGCAAAATAAGTCTCTCCAGGACTTTGTAAAGATGGCACAACAAGGAGATTGGTCTATAGCTTTTTGGATCATTACGGTCTTTGCCTGGTTTCAAGATGGCTATGACTCTTGCTTCCCTCCAGATTTTCGGGATCTGACAGGATGCAATACAGTTGTTCATCAGCATCAGCAGCTAGCACCTTGCTTTTGGGCCAAAATTCTTAATTTGCTCCATCAATAAATTATCCATGCCAGCTGCTTTGCCATTTTTACATTTATTGTGAGCCATGTCCAATTCAGTAGATGTAAAAGGTTCATGAAGGTTGTTGTTCTCATTATCTGGTTGTCTGGCTATTGGTTTCCTTCCTACTTTGGTGGCAAGGTTGGGTTTCCCATTCTTCAGAAGTTGATGCACTATCTAATCTGCCTTTATGTTGGCATGGGTATTAGTTTGTGACGGTTATCCATCATCTGGCATTATCATATAATATTGTAGTATTTATATTAGAAGAACTGAAGAGGTAGAAGTTATCTGATTGATCTTGTGATTTGAATGGTTTTAGGAGAAGCATATTCTCCAATGAATGCTTCTGTTACCCATTTTGTGCAAGTCTGTGCCTTCATGAAACATGTAAACCAGGGTTTTCAGTGGTCAACTTACCAGGTAAGGTGGCTAAACCATGAAAGAAGAGGGATGTCCTTCTATCCGTCTTCACCCAATTAAACATATTCAGCTCCTTCAGCTTTGCATTTTTTTTGTTTTCTATATCTCTTATCATCTTTGTTGTACCTCTCCAAAGCAACTCTAACTATCTACATCCTTCTTAAAATGAAGCACCCAGAACGGATCACAGACCTCAAGGTGAGGCCTGATTTTGGGGGTTTTTTGGTGGTAATTTTCTGGATGTCAAAAATTCAGTATCATCAACAAAAAATTTTACGTTAACATTTCATGTTGTGGACAGGCCCCATTCCTACCTGTTCTTTGCTTTGTGGAAAACTTGTTGCTAGTTTCCAGGGCCAACCCAGCATCTTCAAACACTCCCACGTTGTTCCTACCACTGCCTGCGGTACAGCCAATGTCACTCTTTTCTACTGTATCCCAGATCTGAAACATAATAGACTCTGCTGAAACAATGCATAGACTCAGCAAGTTCCAAGTCAATCCTCAACATCTCAGGTCTCACACCCCATTCAGTGCCTTACCTTAGTCTGACTTATCTTATTACTTTTGTTCAGGACATAGACGGCTTTGTCCACAGCCACAAGGGCAACCCGAGCATTTGAATCCCCTTCCACTTTGATTTTCATTGCATCTCCTGGCCGGTGAATTCGATTGTCAGCTTCAGTTGCTCCTTTTACAACCAGCTGTTTGAGAAAAGCAACAAAAAAAAACGTAGAAATTCCCTGGTTATCACAAGTGCTATTATTCAATCAGTTTTTCAGTAAGTTGCAAGATAATATAAAGTCTTCCCTCCACCCCTGTCCACACCTTCACTCAAAGTTAAACAAGGTTACAAAATATCTTCCTTAATACAGACAGTTCATTTTAAACATTTTTAAATTACATTTTTTGGTTATATAAATAAAATATAACATTGTCACAACCACCTTTACAAAAAAAATCCCCATATATTGTCATAACATTCTGCTAATTCCTGTTTTCCTATCCTTTACATTTCTATACTTCTCTACTACTTATACCTGTCCAATTTTTCCCCTTCCCACTCTGTCCTTCCCCCTCTCTCCAGGAACAGCTCTATGTATTACTTTATTTGTTAGATCATAAAGATTGTCTGATTCAATTCCTTGTATTTTTCTTTCCTTTTTACTCTGGCTACAAGCTCTTATCCATTTTGACTCCCAGTTCTCTTTAGGATGGCCATTCATATGTTGCTGGTCTCCAGGGCCAACCCTATACTTAATTCTCCTTTTAATAACATAGTCTTGAAGCATATAATCTGATAAGCCGAGCCTCCGGTGTCGCAGTGGGTTAAACCCCTGTGCCAGCAGGACTGAAGACAGGTCGCAGGTTCAAATTTGGGGAGAGGCGGATGAGCTCCCTCTACCAGCTCCAGCTCCTCATGCGGGGACAGGAGTGAAGCCTCCCACAAGGATGATAAAACATCAAATCATCCGGGCATCCCCTGGGCAACGTCCTTGCAGATGGCCAATTCTCTCACACCAGAAGTGACTTGCAGTTTCTCAAGTCTCTCCTGACATGACAAAAAAATAAATAAATAAGTTCCCATTTCCTGTGGGAACTTTCAGCCTAAGGCTACCGTTGCTTGGGTAGCTATTATCATGTATTTTACGATTTCGACCCATTCTTTAGTCCCACCTTTACCTTCTGTTTTCTGAGTAAATAATTATTTTTTGTTCATTTCTATTTTTATCCCTAATATTTCTTCCACTCTGTTTTAGTTTTTTTAAATAATCTTTGTAGCTTATCACAGTTTCACCACATATGGATAAAGCTTCCAATTCCGCCATATTTATTCCAAAATGATTGTGATGTGTTTTTTTTAATATGGACGAATTGAAGTGGGTCTCAGTATCATTTTGTCATTATTTTACATTGTGTTTCTTTAATCCTTGGGTGTTTAATTGTTTTGATTGATTTTATCCAATTTTCAATCTCCTCATTGTTATTTAATTCTTATTTCTATACCCAGAGGCGGCCCTAGGTAATTTTCAACGGTACGCAAACAGTATTTTGGCGCCCCCAACCAATCACTGAAATATATTTTCTGTTTGTCGTGGGAGTTCTGTGTGCCATATTTGGTTCAATTCCATCATTGGTGGAGTTCAGAATGCTCTTTGATTGTAGGTGAACTATACATCTCAGTAACTACAACTCACATATGTCAAGGTCTATCTTCCCCCAAGAGCACCTCAAGAACGCCCCTGGGCAAAATCAACTATACTGCAAATGCTTACTTTGCGGAATGGGTTGAGCCACCCCTGTCTATACCCCAATCAAAGTATGTTTCCAATTATGGTGTTTTTCTATTATTTTATTATATAGAAATTCCACAATTCTTTTCTCCTTCTCTATTTCCCACTTTAAAATTAGGTCTAAATCTGCTTCTGGGCTTTCCTTTCTCTTCCATTCTATGATGCTCGGGGACATTCCATGCCGTAGTAACCAGTTACTTTGTCCACACTGATTCCTTAACTCATCCCATTTTATTATTGTTCCATTGGGTTTTAATAGAGCACCATTTTTAAAATTCCATTTTGTTTCATATTTTTATCAATTTCCCTAACCCTAACCCTAACCCCCAGTGGCACAGTGGGTTAAACCCCTGTGCTGGCAGGACTGAAGACCGATAGGTTGCAGGTTCGAATCCGGGGAGAGGCGGATGAGCTCCCTCTATCAGATCCAGCTCTTCATGCGGGGACATGAGAGAAGACTCCCACAAGGATAATAAAAACATCAAATCATCCAGGCGTCCCCTGGGCAACGTCCTTGCAGACGGCCAATTCTCTCACACCAGAAGCGACTTGTTCCTAATATGACAAATATATATATATCAATTTCCCACATATTTGTTCATTATTGTTGTCTATTATTCTTATTGGAAGTATTTCTATTTTATTTATAAAGAATTTGCCATTTTCCCAGCATCCCATTGTTGAAGCTAATCGTCTCCTTTTATTTGTTTGTTTGTTTGTTTGTTTTAATCTATCATCTTCTTTAAACTCAAGCAAACTCATTTTCTTTAAACCCACCCATTGATTGATTTCTCCATTCCTACACATCTTTTCAACTTTTTTTGCTGCTTCCCATGAATGTGAAACTGACTTTGGAAGGCTTCCAAGAAATACAAAATTAAAACGAAAAAGGATTGGGTAAGTTTTGACTCTTAAGTTTTAGGTACATGCCACACCCTTGGGTCAGATATAACTTTGGAAGTACAGATTTAACTAATTTTAATACTAATTTTAATATGATTTAGAAAACTTTTTTTTTGCACAAGTCTAATAACCTGCCATAATTTCCTTTAAATCATTCTCCTTGGGTTTTAATGGTCCCTTTTCATATCTTAATTTGGTTATCCTATTACTAACTTTCTCTTATTTTAAAAGAAGTAACTTGCTAGTCTCTTTGTATTTTTATAGAGTTAATCTGAAAGACATTATTAACAAACTAAGATGTTTTTGTGATTTTGATTTTCTCCAAGTCATGTAGTTGTTTTTCTCTCTTTATCCATCTTTCTTTATATACTTCTGTTGAATCTTATTGAAAGGTTTGGAATATTTTTCTTCTTCTTCCTGTTTTAATTTCTCCAATCTGTCTTTATCTCATTTTTGATATATATTTTTCATTGTTATACATTTACCCCTAGTGACTGCCTTAAAGGCACCCCATATTATATCTTCCTTTATTTCAGGTGTTCTATTTAATCTAAAGTAATGATTAATTTCCTTTATTTCTTGTTTGTCTTCTTCTTTAAGAATAACCACTGGGTTAAATCTCCACTTTCTCTCTCTTTAGTATTATATCCCAGTTTGAAGTATACGGGAGCATAGTCTCCTGGCCATTGCTTATCCACTGTTCGGTTTCTTATAGGCATTAAATTATTATTCTCTATGCCAATGGTTCTCAACCTGTGGGTCCCCAGGTGTTTTGGCCTACAACTCCCAGAAATCCCAGCTAGTTTACCAGCTGTTGGGATTTCTGGAAGTTGAAGGCCAAAACATCTGGGGACCCCAGGTTGAGAACCACTGCTCTATGCCAAAAATAATCTATTTTTTTTAGGTCTAGGAGAGAAATATGTGGGAGGATTCACTCTTTCTCCTATTCTATTATTAACTTTTATTAAATTCCACTTTTAAGATTTATTTTGCTTTTCACTTCTAGATTTCCTATACCTCTTCTTTTTATTTTTAAAACAATTCTATGTTTACGTCTCTACCAATAATTATGTCTCACACAACCTTCTTTTCTTTTTCTAAAAAAAGTTTTATTGATAAATCTTACTTGATTTTGATTGGGGCCATTAACACTTGAATGCTATTTATTTTTCCTCTTATCATTACAAATCTACCCTCAGCATCTTTTATTACTTTTTATAATTCAAAACTCAGTCTATCTTTTATTAATATGGCAACCTCTTGGGATGTATTTGTCCCTCTAGATTATAACTGTTTTCCCAATTTTTAATATTCAACAATTCAGTCTTATGTTTCCTTTGGTGTGTATCCTGCAGTAACACAATATTCACCCGATGATCCTTTAGCATTTTACTCAGCTTGTATCTCTTAACAGGAGTGCTTTGAACAGTTTGTGCATTTAAATTCACAAACATCATATTTAATTCAACCATCTCTATATATTTGTTTAGTTAACTCTTCATGATCCTATTGCTCTTTAACTCTATTCAATGTTAATGTCTCTCATTTTCCATACTTACTGTTCAACTGACAATCCACAATTTGGGGGTGGGGGTGGGGAAATATATACTTTCCCAGAAAAGGTCAGAGTTTGCAATTATTTGCTCCAGCACCTCTAAGAGAAGGCCTTGCATTGATATTGATAAATTGTATTAGCAGAAAACATGGCCTACCTTTCCCATGCAGGTATCCTTCACATCCACCCAGACAGAGTCAGCCACAATCTCACTGTTCCCCACTTGATAATAAGCCACAATTCGGAAGGAAGGGATAAGATTTGGCGTGATGAACAAAGACATGGTCACTAGATTCCTCCCAGGAGATGTGGATTGTCTCCCAGCCTTGATTATCCTCCCTTTATTCAAGATCTGATGAGAAATCAGACATATTAATTAAGAGAGTTGAGGGTTGGTTTATCCATAAGGGTAAGATAAAGGCATTGACATCACATGTGCACCATAAGTGAAACAAAAACATTTTTCTTGTAAATCACTGTAACTCTTAAGAGTTTGCTTATTACTGATGGCTCCTCAAAAGAATCAGATTGAGAAGCTGTTCTTAGCTGAGATTTTTTTAAGAAGACTAGTGCTGTAAAGTAACTATTTGGAGGTCCTAGCAGAGGAGCACAGAAGTATACTCGCCACAGAATAAAACTTCTTGCAGGGTATATTGCTCAACAAAGACTAGCTGATCCACTCCACCAGAAGACACTAGGTGAATTGCTCGCCTCAAAAGTTGAGCTTTTTGTGATAATTTGAACCCAACCACCTGACGAAGGCTCTTGCGAGTCGAAACCGGTCGTAAGTTGGAATCAATTCATGTGACTACGGGAGTCTACTCATATGGAATAAAGAACAGGACATTACTCACACGAAGACTGTGTTTTATATTTCAAGAGAAGACCAGTTGTTTCTACTTAATGTGAATGTGGCAGTCCTGTTTTTTTTGATATGTGTATGTGTAATTTGGTTGTTTTCATATTGCCACAATCAGTGGATTTTGGTGTCCACAGTGTCAGGGGTACCCATTTTTCTTTTCTGCTAAAATTTCATTTCCACCCATTGGGTCTATCGGACACCACAAACTGTCACCACAATGTCTTAAAAGGTGCAGCTTTAGAAACACAGCCAACAAAGTAACCAGGTGTTTTTTACTCTCAGAAGGAAAGCTTTAATGTATTATCAAAGGCTTTCATGGCTGGAATCACTGGGTTGTTGTAAGATTTTTCAGGCTGTATGGCCATGTTCTAGAGGCATTCTCTCCTGACATTTTGCCTGCATTTATGGCAAGCATCCTCAGAGGTTGTGAGGTCTGTTGGAACTAGGAAAAAGGGTTTATATATCTGTGGAATGACCAGGGTGGGACAAAGAACTCTTGTCTGCTGGAGCTAGGTGTGAATGTTTCACCTGACCACCTTGATTAGCATTTGATGGCCTGGCAGTGTCTGGGGGAATCTTTTGTTGAGCAGTGATTAGCTGTCCCTGATTGTTTCCTCTGTTGCTTTGCTGTTGTAATTTTAGAGTTTTTTTTAATACTGGTAGCCAGATTTTGTTCATTTTGATGAAACGTCAGGAGAGAATGCCTCTAGAAAATGGCCATACAGCCCAAAAAAATCTACAACAAGCCAAAGAAAATCTAAAACGAGGTAGAAAATTCAGAGAACAGGAGCTCCCAGTGGTGCCTCCAAAATGGAGGGATCCTGAACAATGACAGTACGTTTGATTTAATCGTTTCACAGGGCTGTGCTACTCTTTTGGGGCATCATTCCTTCATTGTCAGGCTCAATTGGTTAAAAGACAATCAAGCAACTTCGCATCATGCTTGTTACCCTCTGCCCTGAACTTTCCTTTTGTCGAGTTCTTATCAGTAGGAACTCTTCATCCCAAACCCACATGTACAAGTCCAGTGCTGATATGAACAGGTCAGAGGAGGGTCTGATGATTCTCTGGCTTACCAAGGCCATCTATATCTAGTATGCTCACATTGGGATGATCATTGTCTTCCCCTGAGTGTGCAACTCTAGGCAGGATGCACATGGGGCATTGAGGGAGGAAGGGGATACCTGTTTAACTACCCAGATCAACTCTGGTGATCAATGGGGTGACAGGTATTTCAGACAGATCGTCCTCAAATCCAACTAGGACTGTAGGAAATATTGCTGGATTCAGCTTTTCCCTGAAGACTAGACACTAGGCTTGGGTAAGTTCGTTTGTTAGTTTCTAAAATCGCAATTAATTTGGATTAAATTACCTTTTGTTCCAATTTTGAGCCATGCAGGAATAGTGGGAGGAGCAATTCCGAACTGAAACAACTTCCCCATTGTTCGGAATTATTTTCGGATGTGGCTTTGCACGCCCGGCGATGCAAAAAGGGACGAGGCAGGCGTGGCCTTCAAGAAGAGCTGTGCTTAGCCGCGCCCACCCCGTCCCTCTGCATCACAGCTTGCCATAAGGGAAGGAAGGGAAACTGCGAGATTTTAATCGTTCTGGAGGGAGGGACTCCTTTCATTAACAAAACAAATGAAGTGATTTGTATTTCCTGATATTTCCGATCTTTTTTTCAAGAAAATTTCGGAAATAATTTCAAAATCGAATCGCCAGTGCCCCCTACATCCGAAACAAGTTTTGAACCTTTTTTTTTTTTGGATCACCCAAGCCTACTAGACACTTGATAAGAAGTTTCCCCTTCCTTCCCTTGAAAATAAATACAAAGTCAACACTCCAGGGCAGAGAGTTCCACTGCTGAATGGCTCTCACAGTCAGGAAGTTCTTCCTCATGTTCAGATGGAATCTCCTTTCTTGTAGTTTGAAGCCTAGGACATGAAACAATGGCTTCAAACTACAAGAAAGGAGATTCCATCTGAACATGAGGAAGAACTTCCCGACTGTGAGAGCCGTTCAGCAGTGGAACTCTCTGCCCCGGAGTGTGGTGGAGGCTCCTTCTTTGGAAGCTTTTAAACAGAGGCTGGATGGCCATCTGTCAGGGGTGATTTGAATGCAATATTCCTGCTTCTAGGCAGGGGGTTGGACTGGATGGCCCATGAGGTCTCTTCCAACTCTTTGATTCTATGGTAAATAAGAATGTGGGCTATGGATTTCAATTCTGCCCAGGCTTATATCACTTACCATGTAGGTGAAATATCTGATTTGTCTTAATACTTGTGGATTGTTGCTTCTTACGTTGAAGTTGATATATACATAGTCCCCAGATTTGATTTCTGTGGCTGAGACTGATAAATGGAGATAGTTTCTAGAATTTCCCTGGGTTTGATAGGCTGTAGCCAGCATGGTCTTGATTCCCTGATGTTCATCTGGGAGTCCCACTTGGTTTGTTTTTACCTAGACAGGGTGAGAAGGATTAACAAAATCTCAAAGAAACCACAAAAACTTTAAACAATCAAACATCAATCTATATAAATAAAAATGTAATGTTCGTTTGTGATACCATCAGAACTCAAAAACCACTGAGGGAATTGACACCAAATTTGGACACGATACACCTAACAACCCAATGTATGTTCTCCACTCACAAAACCCCCAAAAAAAACAAAAAGCAGAAAGCACTTTTGAACTGCATGTCCACAAAGGTGAAACTGCATGTCTACAAAGAGACCCATGGCCACGCCCCCTCCTCCTCCTCGCGGGGAAACAGCTGGCCGTTAAAGCCTTAGAAGCCAGGCGCACGTGCACAGCCACACACACACACACACACACACACAGAGACACAAGCGAGAGTGGGCACCATGGGAGTGAGGAAAAGGAGGAGGAGGACGGTGGATGGGCTCCTTAAGTCCCTCCTTCACCAGCAGAAGCAGCAGCCTTTTTCCTCTTGGCTGTCCCCCCTCCCTGTTGGGGTTCAGTCTGAGTTTGAACTTGAACCCAGAGGTGGCCCTAGGTAATTTTCAATGGTAAGCAAACAGTATTTTGGTGCCCCCCCCCCAACCAATCACTGATATATATTTTCTGTTCATCATGGGAGTTCTGTGTGCCATATTTGGTTAAATTCCATCATTGGTGGAGTTCAGAATGCTCTTTAATTGTAGGTGAACTATACATCCCAGTAACTACAACTCGCATATGTCAAGGTCTATTTTCCCCCAAGAGCGCCTCAAGAGCGCCCTGGGCAAAATCAACTATACTGCGAATGCTTACTTTGCGTAATGGTTGAGCCGCCCCTGAACCTGATTCTCTGTTTGTTCCTCCTGATGCTAATGAAAATATATTTACTGATGCTAATGGAAATGTACCTCTTGATGCCAATGCTCCTGAAATTAGTGAGGAAGAAACTGCTGTAGGTTTGGAAAATGCCAATGTTCCTGAAATTAGTGAGGAAGGAACTTCTGTAGATTTGGAAAATGAAAGTACCAGTGTTCATGAGAATGTTTCAGAGGGAAGCCATGACCTTTCCCTCCCTTCTGCACCTGGTAACTCTAATGACAACAGAAGGGGCCAGATTTGGCAAGACAGAAGTAAATCACTCAGCTTGCGAAGGTCTTCCCGAATTAAAGAATTACAAACATTGGCTTCAAAGCAGAGGGGCGGTTCACGGAACCAATTCTTTGGCTTGAAGTGCCTTCCGCCGGGCTGACTTTCTCAGTTCAGGCATCGTTTCAGATTAATGAAGACCTTGGCAGTTCTCCCGGTTTCCCTGGCCATGGTTGAAAGATTTCTAGGATATCAAGTACGGTTAGTGGATTGCTAACAGGTTCCAGTATTTTACAGTGTGGCTTTGGGTTTTGCTTTGTCCATTTAAATTCATGTTTGCTGATTTTGCTGTGGCTTTTGACTTGCATTTTTCCTTTATTTTGTAATCATTTTTCTTCAATAAAAAAGGATTGTTTTTCACAGTCAAGTGTGGTGGATAGTTATCTTAGGGCCTCGTTCCCTGATCTGGATTGCAACACTCCCTTTTGTCACCTCCTCTTCCTTCAAGATGCCTCGGTAGAAGCAGCAGGCAGGAGGGAGGGGAGAGAGACTGTTCCCTTCTTCGTCAACTCTTTCTTCCCTCCCTTATCTGCTCGGCTGTCTCCGGCAACACGAGCACACATTTAACTCTCTCTCTCTCTCTCTCCTATTACCATCCAGACCGGGAGGTAGCTACCTCTGCCACACTCCACTCCTTCTCTCCCTCACTCCCTTCCCTTCTTTCCTCACTCCCTTCCTTCCTTCCCCTTCCTTTCCTTCCCCCCTCCTTCCTTCCTGTTCCTCCCTCCTTCCTTCCCTTCCTTCTCCTTTATTTCCTTCTTTCCCTCCTTCCCTTCCTTTCTGTCCCTTCTTCCCTTCCTTTTCCCTCCTCCTTCCTCCCTCCTTCCTTCCTTCTCCTTCCTTTCCTCCCTTCATTTTTCCTTCCTTCCTGTCCCTCCTTCTTTCCTTTCCTTCCTTCCCTTCTTTCCCTCCTCCCCTCCTCCCTTCCTTTTTCCTTCCTTCTTCCTTTCCTTCTTTCTATGTAAGATATAAATACAATATTTTATATATTGTTATATAGATTACTATATAATATGTTACTATTATATATTACTACATAATACAAATCAAATAGACTTACAGAATAGAGTTGGAAGGCACAGTCAAGAAGTAACGAGAGGAGGGAAAGACGGAAGGAATGAAGGCGGGAAAGGGGGAAGGAGAGAAGGAGTGAGGGAAAGAAGGAAGGAAAGAAAGGAAGGAAGAGAAGCAAGAAAGGAGAGAAGGAAATAAAAAAATGAAAGGAAAAATACAGGGAAGGAAGGATGTAACCAAAGAGCAAAGAAAGGGAGGAAAGAAACAGGTAGAGATGGAAGAAAGAAGATAAATAGGAAGGGAAAGAAAAAGAGAAAAGGAAGGAGAGAAAGAGGGAGGGAAGGTTGGCCACAGCAACGCGTGGCAGATACAGCTAGTATATAATATAATTTTAGAGTGACTCACGGTGATGTTTAGCTCTTGTGTGTCTGGTGTGTTCAGGATCAGTTTGGCTATTCCATTGTCCTGGGTAGCTGCCTTAGCCTGAATGGGTTGAGATACCACAGGGACATGGGCAGCTGGGGAACCATCAGGGTTGGTGACGTGCACCTGGGAAACAATTCCAAAAATGTGATTGAATGTGGAATATAGAAGTCCCTTTCAAGTCTAAATCACTGTTTCCAGGATATCACAACATCTGAGATTTGGGGAGATTTTTAAAGTCAGATTGTGTATTTTAATCTGAAGACAGCACTAGCATCTGGAACTGTGCCATCAGATGAAAGTGGAATTCAACTAAGATTACCATCAGTTCATAGGACATCCCTGGCTTGAAGAACTTTGGGGTTTTTGTGAAGTGGATCTGATAGGGCGATGTCACTATGTTTATGCCACCTCTCTCAACCACTACCATATCGCTCCCTGGAGAAAGAGGAAAGAGAAATAACAACAAGGAAAAAATTAAACCAAGTTGTTAGAAGGAGAGAGAAATGTTAAGAGAGTGTATGCAGTGCATACAGCTGTAGTACATGCCATTTTCAACAGCTCATACGGTCAGGAAGTTCTTCCTAATGTTCATGTAGAACAGGGGTCCTCAAACTTTTTAAACAGAGGGCCAGGTCACAGTCCCTCAAACTGTCGGAGGGCCGGATTATAATTTGAAAAAAATATATGAATGAATTCCTATGCACACTGCACATAGTTTTGTAGTGCAAAAGCCACTTAAAAACAATATAATAATTAAAATGAAGAACAATTTAAACAAATATAAATTTATTAGTATTTCAATGGGAAGCGTGGGCCTGCTTTTGGCTGATGAGATAGGATTATTATTGTTGTTGTTGTGTGCTTTTGAGTCATTACAGACTTAGGTTGACTCTGAGCGAGGGCTGGGTAAATGACCTTGGAGGGCCACATCTGATCCCCAGGCCTTAGTTTGAGGACCCCTGATGTAGAATCTTCTGACCTGTAATTTGAACCCATTGCTCCTAGTCCTAGTTTCAAGGGCAGCAGAAAACACGTGTGCTCCCTCTTCCTTATGACACTCTTTCACATATTTATACATGGCTATCATGTTTCCCTCAGCCTTCTCTTCTGTAGGCTAAACATACCCAGATGCTTCTCATATGGCATGACCTCCAAACCATTTTAGTTGCCCTTCTCTGGATACCTTCCAGCTTGTCTATATCTCCTTTGAACTGTGGTACCCAGAACTTGACACAGTATTCCAGGCGAGGTTTAACCAAAGCAGAATACAAAGGCACCATGACTTCCCTTGATCTAGACGCTATACTCCTTTTGATGCAGCCCAAAATCCCATTGGCTTTTTAAGCCGCTGCATCACACTGTTGGTTTATGTTCAACTTGTTGTCCACGAAGACTCCAAGTTCTTTCTCACATGGGCATCTTTGCATTTCATTTTTTCCCCTGTTAACTGTAGTATCTAATATTTGTTCTTGTTGAAAGGTATTTCGTTAGTTTTGGCCAAGCTCTCGAATCTGTTAAGGTCATTTTGAATTCTGATCCTGTCCTCTAGAGCAGTGTTTCTCAACCTGGGGGTTGGGACCCCTGGGGGGGGGTCATGAGGCATTGTCAGGGGGGTCACCAAAGACCATAAAGAAAACACAATATTGTCTGTTGGTCATGGGAGTTCTGTGTGGGAAGTTTGGCCCAATTATATCATTAGTGTGATTTGGAATGCTCTTTTATTGTCTGTGAACTATCAATCCCAGCATCTACAACTACCAAATGTCAAGATCTATTTTCCCTAAACTCCGCCATTGTTCACATTTGGGCATATTGAGCATTCATGCCAAGTTTGGTCCAGATCTATCATTGTTTGAGTGAACTACAACTCCTAATCTCAAGGTCAATGCCCACCAAACCCTTCCAGTACTTTCTGTTGATCATGGGAGTTCTGTGTGTCAAGTTTGGTTCAATTCCATCGTTGGTGGAGTTCAGAATGCTCTGTGATTGTAGGTGAACTATACATCCCAGCAACTACGACTCCCAAATGACAAAATCAACCCACCCAAACCCCACCAGTATTCAAATTTGGGCGTATTGGGTGTTTGTGTTAAATTTGGTCCAGTGAATGAAAATACATCCTACATATCAGATATGTACATTACAGTTCATAACAGTAGCAAAATTACAGTTATGAAATAGCAACAAAAATAATGTTATGGTTGGGGGTCTCCACAATATGAGGAACTGGATTCAGGGGTCACAGCATTAGAAAGGTTGAGTACCACTGCTCTAGAGTATTAGCTATCCCTCCTAATTTGGTGCCATCTACAAACTTGATAAGCACACTCTCTAAACTTTCATCCAAGTCATTAATAAAGATGTTGAACAGAACTGGGCCCAGAACCGAATCCTGCGGCATTCCACTAGTCACTTCTTTCCAGGATGAAGAGGAACCATGGTGAGCACTCTTTGGGTTTGGTCGCTTAACCACTTACCAATCATATGGCTTTGGAAGTCTTAACTCACCTGATTCTGTAATTACTGTTACAGAGATGTAGAGAGAGTACCCAACAAGCTGATTAAGATTGCGAGACGTGGTCTGAAGCATGTCTTTCGTTAGTTCTGCAGTTCCTTTCCCTTCTTGAATCTAGAAAGGAGATACAGAATATAGACAGGAAATCAAAGCTGAATACCCTTTCTAAACCTCTCTCGCCCTCTCCCTCTTTCTCCCTCATTCCCAAATATAAGTATCTTCTTACTGGAATTCTTTTGAGTGAGTCTGAAATACTCTTTTTCTCATTATCAGTTTTCACTCCAAAGAGGACAAAGGCAACACCTTCAACTTTCTTCCCATTAAGATACCTGGGAGAATACAAATAAATGAAACTTGTTTGCTCACATCTTTCATTTTGACATAGAATTTGAAGGCAAGAGTTTGCATTTAACATCACATGAGACTGCATAGCTGAGTGCTTCATTCAACATGACATGAAGACATGTGGATTTTATTGCATGGAGTTAAAAGGCTCACAATCCTAAATCTGTTTATCAGGAAGTCATCTCTCGTGTAATTCCCTGGAAGTTCTTCCACTATTATTTTCCCAAAATTGTACTAGCTACGAAATGAAATGATTTACTATTTGAAGATGAAACGACCTGTTATTTGAAGATCACCACGCTACTTTAAAGATTTTGTCAATGAAACAGATTTGGCTAAAATGCTAAAAAGTTACTTTTTAGAGCAATTCATTATGAAATGTGTTATTGTTAGGATCACATTAATTTATTTTTCACAAGAAATCATTCAACTGGTCATTGCTATCTACATCTGTTAATGGAGTGTGTGTGTGTGTATGTGTGTGTGTGCAGGAAGGAATCCTGCAACTAACTTTTTCTGATCGGTGTCATAAGCTCCGGACGACTGTAGGTATGCGAAAATCTCTTAATATGGTTTTAGCCAAATGGAAAAGTTGAAATGCTAACATGATTTATTATGTATTGGATATTTCAGAATAAGAAGACATATCAACATTTGATGGTTATTATTTTGATCAATTGTTCCATTTTTTACTTGTTCACATTTTATAACGTTTTTTGTTTTATTATTTTTATTTATTTTTTATCGTGGGTGTACATACAAACACTTCATTTTTAAAACGAATGAACAAACATCCTCACCAAACTGGCTTTCCATTTTCTACAGAACATTAACAATATATATATAAACACACATTTACAATCCATTACAAAACCTTGCCTAGTGTGACATAAAATTTAATGTTTTTTACACTAACATTTTATATACCATGTTTTCTCACTGTCTTATAGTCATTTTTTCATTTTTTCTCAAGAAGACACAATATGACTTATTTTTATTAAGTATGATACAACAATCTGCATTTATGGGATGATCTCTCTGGGCTCAGTAGCAGACCGCTTGCTGAAGCTTTCCCCCTATTCCCTGGTGTTTGTGTAGGGTGAGTGAGACCCACAGACTGTTGCTGGTCAGTGCTGGGGTACAGAAGCTTTACTGGTGTTTGTGTGGGGTATTGGAGACCCACACACTGTTGCCGATTGTGGGGGAGAGACCCACAGTGTTGAGTAAAATGGCAGCCACAGCTTTACTTCTTTCCCCTGAGGACACACAATACCTAAAGCAGAGCATCTGTGCTGTCGCATGCTGGGCCTGTACATCAAACTGTAGACAGGACATACATTCTGTGTGCCCAACGGGACACCGGGGCTGCCTCAGATTAAAGGCCCTTGGATCTCCCCAAAAGAAAGTTCTGTAGAGGCTTAAAGTAAGTCCAACAAAGTTCTTTATTGATGAAAACAAACAGGTACTTTAAAGCTTTCTTAACAGTCTATTGGCTCTTGCAATCTTGTTCACTGGGAACAGGCACTATCTTCATAACTGTATATTAACTAATGGGGAAATCCTTAACTTCTAATCTGGGCAGTCTGTACTTGCCTCTGTTGGCATGGAGCCCCTGCACCCGGTACCAACTGCGTCTGGCTTCTGCGAGCGACCCTTACCAAGCAGAGCTTTGTAGACTTCCAGGGGAAAAGAAGGAGTTCAGGTTTCAGTGATGGCTGGCTGAAGTCCTTCAGCAAAGGAGCTGTAAGGCTGTATGATCCTCGGCCAAGCCATGGGCTGTATAACCCCGGCCAAGCTGTAGGCTATATATCTCCCCGGCCAAGCCGTAGAAGATGAAGTTTTCTACAGGAGCTCTTGGATTTATGTCCTGCATGAAAGGCTTCTCTGTGTGGACTGAACCCAAAACTGGCTCCTATTACCTCCAAAAACCCAAAAATGGGGCGGGACCAGGGAACCCAATGATAATTGACAGGTGGCTTGCCCTATGATTGCAGCCAAAAGAAGCCACCTATCTGCAAAGTCCCTGAAACTTAGGACTACAACAAACATTCAATGCAAAGCAAACAAAATTGGAGCTCCTGGTGCAGTTGTACCAGCATAGCATCCTTCTCCCCACTTCAATGAGGAGACTTTTATTTTCACTTTCTACGTCTCCCTCTATGCCTCAGCTTTCAATACACACGGAATGATTGGGACCAAACAGGGGGAGCCAACCTTGTATGTTGCATAGCCATGCCTATATTTTCGGGGTATGGCTTGTATTGGACAAATGCTTAGAAATCCTGCTACAGCTTATTTTACGAGTATGTCTTATTTTCAGGGAAACAGAGTAGATGGATAGCTAAAGAAATTTGATTTCCAGCCTTCCCCTCATTGGCATCTATTAAGTTTTAAAATTATGCAATCTACTTTAACATGTAACTTTAAAAATAATTAGTTTGAATAAATTGTTGTTGTTCATTGTTGTTGCTGTCTGCCTTTAAGTTATTTCTTAAAGCAATCCAAAGTGGCTCTATCACAAGGTTTTCTTGGCAAGACTTGTTCTGAGGGAGGCCTGCCCTTGCTTTCCTTTGAGGCTAAGAAGGAATGGTCTTCCAAATGTCTCCTGTTCTGTCTCCCAAGAAACCTGTTTTGTTTCAGAGCTGCTGTAGTTTTGCAAAGCCTACAGAGTTAGCAGCCAGAGGCAGGAAAGCCAGTTTGCAGGCCTTCTCTGCAATGATTGGCCTAGAGAGTTTAGAGCCCCGTCCTGTCTCCCGGGGAGAGTCTCCATTTTAGAATCTCCCTGTCCTATTCAGTTCAGAAGAAGAAATCTGATGTGCTGGAGGCCAAGAAAGGTAGCTCCGACAAACTACTGCAAAAACAATTGAGAACAATTAAGAATAGAATTAAGAATTGAGAATTAGAGAAGACAATTGAGATAGAAGCTAAACTGAGTCATAGATAGAATAGAATTGAGAATAATTGAGTTATAGACAGGAATTGAGAAGAATTGAGCTATAGTTAGATAGATTATCGGAGAGTCATAGAGTATAAAGAAAAATAGATATTGAGCTTTGAGAATTGAGTTTTATGGAGTTTAGCGAGAGAGAGACTGCACTGCTTTTCTCCAAGGCTAGTCTTGAGCCTAGATAGGGAAAGATTTGTTCTTTCTAAAGACAAAGGCTCTGGATTAGGGTGAAGGATTTCTGGACCCTTTGCCACTTGGAAAAGGCTGACTCAGTAACTGGTGGAGAAGAGAAAGAAGGAATATCTATTTGGTTTTATCTATTAACTGTTCTGTTTGCAACCTTGAAAGAACTGTACCAAGTCTGCAAGACTTTGAAATAAATACCCTTTTTTAATGTTCAGAACTTGTAATAGACTCAGTAACTGAGAATCTCAATTTTCTCAAGAAAAGCATTGCCAGTTCGCCCAGACATAGGAAACAGCACATCATAGTTTTGTTTTTTATAAAAGTGTCTGGGTGTAATGGCACATCTCCCAATGGTTTTCCATGACAGTAGGCATTTGAGCCTCCGGTGGCGCAGTGGGTTAAAGCACTGAACTGCTGAGCTTGTTGATCGAAAGGTCGCAGGTTCGATTCTGGGGAGCGGCATGAGCTTCCGCTGTCAGCCCTAGCTTCTGCCAACCTAGCAGTTCGAAAACATGCAAATGTGAATAGACCAATAGGTACCGCTCCGGCGGGAAGGTAAAGGCGCTCCATGCAGTCATGCCGGCCACATGACCTTGGAGGTGTCTATGGACAACGCTGGCTCTTTGGCTTAGAAATGGAGATGAGCACCACACCCCAGAGTCAGACATGACTGGACTTAATGTCAGGGGACTACCTTTACCTTTACCTTAGGCATTTGAACTCCAGAGTAACAGTCAATAACTGAAGTCACTATATCACATTCAAAACAACTGTGTTTGACAGGAGAGTTGTACACTGAGGGTATGGTTTTCTCCCTAACCTATCTACTTACCTGCTGATAAAATTATATGAGGGAGGGAAGGCTACTGCATAACAATGTCGTTTTCCCATACTTTCCCACAACTGCACATACACCCACCTTGCAGTGATATCCACGTGGAAATTTCTGTTGACATTAACCTGATAAAACTTCTCACTTGGTTCAATGTCAACTTTAAAACTTGGGAATACTGGAGGGAAAAAAAGAGAGAATAAGAGGAGAGAAAATTTCATGAAAGGAAAGGAGCAATCACCACATGAGATTCTGGACTTTATTGCACAAAGCTGCTATTCCACAGCAATTATGCAATCATGGATAGCAGCTACAACCCAGTATGAGTACCCTAATTATTGTATTTCTTTGCATTCCCACATAGATGTGGTCTTCCCTCATACATCCACATAACCTCATAACCCTGCCCACTTGCACTTCTGCTGCTCCATAATTATACGCCATTTCGCAACTGCAGGCATGGTTAATAAAAATATTTAAATGCAAGTGACATTCGGAAATTGTGAGGGGAATGGGGAAACAAAGGGAGAAGAGGGGGCTCATGACCCTGGCATCACTTCACTGCCAGGATGCCGTACAGACAGAACAGCTCCATCACATCTGTTATGGGAAAGTGGTGCAATCTGCAGCTATTTTCTGTCTATAGCAGGGGGCAGGTTTATTATGGGGAGGAAGTAGACAAGCAAAGGGATAAAACTGGCATCTTGTTTGAATGCTAGTTTGCCTACTAGATTGCATGGGACTTTAGTACCATATTTCATTGAATCCAAAGTGCACATTTTCCCATTTAAGGGGCCTCAAAAATGAGATGCACCTTAGATTCGATGATGCTCCACATTCATCATTTTTTGCTTTTGTTTTTTTTTAACTGTGTTGCATCTGAGAGGAGTGTTGTAGCTCAGCAAGCTACTAAGGAGGCTGTCCAGGTCCTGAACCGGTGCTTGGCTGCTGTAACGGTCTGGATGAGGGCGAACAAATTGAAATGGAATCCAGACAAGACAGAGGTCCTCCTGGTCAGTCAAAAGGCCGAACAGGGGATAGGGTTACAACCTGTGTTGGATGGGGTTACTCTCCCCCTGAAGATGCAGGTTCGCATTTTGGGAGTAATCCTGGACTCATCACTGAGCCTGGAACCCCAGGTCTTGGTGGTGGCCGGGAGAGCTTTTGCACAATTAAAACTTGTGCACCAGCTGCGCCCGTTCCTTGGGAAGTCTGACTTGACCACGGTGGTCCACGCTCTGGTTACATCCCGTATAGACTACTGCGATGCTCTCTATGTGGGGTTGCCTTTAAAGACTGTTCGGAAGCTTCAAATGGTCCAACGGGCGGCAGCCAGGTTGCTAACAGGAGCTGTGCCCAGGGAGCATTCAACTCCTCTGTTGCGCCAGCTCCACTGGCTGCCAATCTGCTACCGAGCACAATTCAAAGTGCTGGCTTTAGCCTATAAAGCCCTAAATGGTTTTGGCCCTGCTTACCTGTCCGAATGTATCTCTCCTTACGAACCCTCTAGGAATTTAAGATCTTCTGGGGAGGCCCTGCTCTCGGCCCTGCCATCTTCACTGGCTCAATTGGCGGGGACGAGGGATAGGGCCTTCTCAGCGGTGGCCCCTCGGTTGTGGAATGCCCTCCCCAGGGACATTAGATCAGCCCCCAGCCTCTTAATATTTTGCAAAAAAGTTAAAACCTGGCTATATGAGCATGCCTTCCCAAACACAGTGTATCTTTGAAACTCTGATCTCGGAACGGTTGGACAATGTGACTGGACAATGACTGATTAATGAAATGCGGAGGACTTATAGTTTTTTTATTATGTTTATTGATGTTAATTGTAATGATATTTTAAATCTATGTTAATTTTTTTAATGTTTAAACTATTTTTGTACTGTTGTGGGCATCGAATTGTGCCATTTTGTAAACCGTCATGAGTCGCCCTCGGGCTGAGAATGGTGGTATAGAAGCGTAGTAAATAAATAAATAAAAAATAAATAAGCAGCTGAAGATTTCGCTGACTTTTCTGAAATGTCAGAGGACAAAGGGCTTGCTGGGTTACAAAGTGATGAGTCTGTCAATGCTTTTGTTGTTGTTCACTCGTTCAGTCACTTCCGACTCTTTGTGACCTCATGAATCAGCCGATGCCAGAACTCCCTGTCGGTTGTCACTGCCCCAGGTCGTTCAAGGTCAATCCAGTCACAAGGATGCCGTCCATCCATCTTGCCCTTGGTCGGCCCCTCTTCCTTTTTCCTTCCATTTTCCCCAGCATAATTGTCTTCTCTACGCTTTCCTGTCTTCTCATGATGTAGCCAAAGTACTTCATCTTTGTCTCTACTATCCTTTCCTCCAATGAGCAGTTGGGCTTTATTTCCTGAAGTGTGGACTGGTTGGATCTTCTTGCCTTCCAAGGCACTCTCAGAACTTTCCTCCAGCACCACAGTTCAAAAGTTCTATCTTCCTTCACTCAGCCTTCCCTAAGGTCCAGCTCTCACATCCGTAGGTGACTATGGGGAATACCATTGCTTTAACTATGCAGATCTTTGTTGCCAGTGTTATGTCTCTACTCTTCACTATTTTATTGAGATTGGTCATTGCTCTCCTCCCAAGAAGTAAGCATCTCCTGATTTCCTGGCTGCACTCTGTGTCTACAGTAATCTTTGCACCTAGAAATACAAAGTCTGTCACTGCCTCCGCTTTTTCTCCCTCTATTTGCCAATGCTAGGAGAGATGATATTTTGCATTCCTGTGATCATTTCAAAGCAACCAGGAATAGTGAAACAAGTTCTCTTGCAGCCAATGGGGAGTTTTCCCGATAAGCCAGATTACGTTTGAGAATGAAGGAAGTGAAAGATGGACTAATTAGATGGTCTGGGAGAATCCGTGATAAGACTTTGAAGCCCAGGTGCATTCGACATGATCCATGGCTACTTGGTCAGTTTTAAATTAAGTGGTGTTTCCTTTACGCTCCTCAGAGGGGACAACATTGCCAAAGGATAGCTGTCTCTGCTCTCAAGTTCATGTTTCCAGTATCCTCAAGCTTTTTGTTCAAGTTCATGTCTATGTTTCCTTGAAGGGTTTACCTTGGAAAAGTTCCTGTTGCAGCCCTTGACTTTAAGTACTTTGACCTTTTTGGACTATTGCTACTACAGAGGAAGATGAGGAGGAGGAGGAAGGGCTCCAGGCTCAACAGCTTTGCCAAGCTACAACCATTTTGTCCTTAGCCTCAGCCAGATGCCGTTTATCATCTGACTGAGCTAAGTGCCACTTCCTGCTTCTGTTGCTCATGTAGACATGATAACCTTCAGGTTTCTTCACATTCCCTCCTCACCCTCCAGGAAAGATTCCACAACAAAGACATATTGATACCACACTTAGGCAGAAAAAAATGAAATGCAAAGATACAGAATGGAGGACAATACCTGGCTCAAGAGCAGTAAGTGTGAAAAGGATCTTGGAGTCCTCGTGGACAACAAGTTAAACATGAGCCAACAATGTGATGTGGCGGCAAAAAAAGCCAATGGGATTTTGGCCTGCATCAATAGGAGCATAGTGTCTAGATCTAGGGAAGTAATGCTACCCCTCTATTCCGCTTTGGTTAGACCATACCTGGAATATTGTGTCCAATTCTGGGCACCACAATTCAAGAGAGATATTGACAAGCTGGAATGTGTCCAGAGGAGGGTGACTAAAATGACTAAGGGTCTGGAGAACAAGCCCTATGAGGAACGGCTTAAGGAGCTGGGCATGTTTAGCCTGAAGAAGAGAAGGCTGAGAGGAGATATGATAGCCATGCATAAATATGTGAGGGGAATATGTCATAGGGAGGAGGGAGCGAGCTTGTTTACTGCTTCCATGGAGATTAGGACAAGGAACAATGGCTTCAAACTACAAGAAAGGAGATTCCATCTGAACATGAGGAAGAACTTCCTGACTGCGAGAGCCATTCAGCAGTGGAACTCTCTGCCCCGGAGTGTGGCGGAGGCTCCTTCTTTGGAGGCTTTTAAACAGAGACCGGATAGCCATCTGTCAGGGGTGATTTGAATGCAATATTCCTGCTTCTTGGCAGGGGGTTGGACTGGATGGCTCATGAGGTCTCTTCCAACTCTTTGATTCTATGATTCTATGAAACAAGCATGCAAAAAGATATTGAGCATAACCATTCTTTTTTTCTTCTAAAACTGAACCTTCAAAATTTGGGTTTTGAAGCTCCAGTTTTGAAGCTACATTTGATGGTGCCTTAGATTCTGTGAAATATGATATACAGTATAAGCCATCCTGAGAGAGCTTTTGCTCTGAAGTATTTGAAATAAACTAGGAATAGCAATGGGTCTTGAACATACCAGCATGATTACCTTCATTATCATCCTATGCGTTCATGCAGAGATGTGGTCTTGCCCTTCTATTTCTGCAGAACCTCATAATCCCACCTAGCTGCATTTCAATTCTTTTACAACAATTTTACAATTGTCGAAGGTTTTCATGGCCGGAATCACTGGGTTGTTGTAGGTTTTTCCGGGCTATATGGCCATGTTCTGGAGGCAATTTTTCTCCTGACGTTTCGCCTGCATCTATGGCAAGCATCCTCAGAGGTAGTGCAATTTTACAATTGCAGAAAAGGGTAATAAAAAAATCAAATACAAGTGAAAAACAAAACTTACTGCCCCAGGATTAGTGAAGGGTATGCCAGGAAGAGGAGAATTACAACCTCTGACATCACTTTAGCATCAGGTTGCTGGCACAGAAGCAAAACCATTCTATCACGCTTGGTAGGTGATGGGGAAGTGGCTCAATTTGCAGATCTTAATGGGTTTATTGTTGAAGGCTTTTATGGCTGGGATCACTGGGTTGTTGTAAGTTTTTTTGGGCTGTATGGCCACATTCCAGAAGCATTGTCTCCTGATGTTTCTCCTACATCTATGGCAGGCATCCTCTCAGAAGTTGTGAGGTCTGTTGGAAACTGTGGACGAGTCTACATAGAGACCACCAAACGCAGCATTGCCCACACACGAATCAAGGAACAAGAGAGGCACTGCAGACTACTTCAACCAGAGAAGTCAGCCATAGCAGAACACATGAACCAACCTGGACACAGCATATTATTTGAGAACACAGAAATGCTGGACCACTTTAACAACTATCATGTCAGGCTACACAGAGAAGCCATTGAAATCCACAAGCATGTGGATAATTTTAACAGAAAAGGAGAAACCATGGAAATGAAAAAAATCTGGCTACTAGTATTAAAAAAACTCTAAAATCATAACAGTAAATAAAGACAGGGGAGCTCTGGAAAAGAAACAATCAGAGACAGCTAATCACCTCTCAACAAAGGATGCCACACTTGAAAACTGCTGGGCCATTAAATGCTAATCAAGGCAGCCAACTGAAACATTTGCACCTACTTCCAACAGACAAGAGTTCTTTCTCCCAACCTGGGCATTCCACAGATAAATAAACCCCATTTTCCTAGTTTCCAACAGGCTTCACAACCTCCGAGGATGCCTGCCATAAATGCAGACAAAATGTTAGGAGGAAATACTTCTGGAACATTGCCATACAGCCCGAAAAACTTACAACAACCAGGCCCGCAGCCAGGATTTCGTTTGGGGGGAGGGCTGAATTTTTTTCAGGGGGGGTTTCGGGGGGGCTGAGTTTCGGGGGGGGGGGGGCTGAAGCCCCCCGAGCCCCCCCTCCCCCGGCTACATGCCTGACAACAACCCATTGATGGGTTTTCCTTTCAACAGTAGGGATCGGGTTTACCTCGCCTGAATGCCAGTTTTCCTCCTGGATTGCATGGGACTTTATTATATAAACCACCTTGAGAGAATTGTTGCTCTGAAACATTTTAAATAAGTCATGCTGAAATAGGACAGAATAAATCAGAATAAATCAGAAGACTGAAGAGAAGACAAAACCATGGATCAGACAAGAAGGCTCAATAGAAAAGGCTGTTCTTCCTACCGTATTCTTTGACATCAAATGGTGTTCTGAAGGTCTCCTGCGGGGAATCTTGATATCTAGTCACAACATTCCAGGTTCCCAAACTAGAGAAGGGAAATGGAAGGATTTGTCAGTGCTCCCGCTTTATCAATCCATGGCAACAAGTGTGACATGCCAACCATGAGTACATGTCCTTCCTAGCACTTAGAAGGTCAAAATGAACATGCATATACTTTATTACCTTTAACCCTCATCTGCAGGGAGGAAATAGTCTTGTAAGAGAATGCTTCACCTCAAAGTTTTATGACTTGGATATGAAGAAACTGAAATCTGGTCCCCTAACCCTGCATTCAAATTCCCACTTGCCCATAGTACGTTGTGGAAATTCCTTCATTCTCACTGTTCACCTACCTTAACTCATATGCTTTTTATTTATTTTTTTAAAATGAAGTACTGCCTCTTATATACACATACATACACACACACACACACACGCACATATAAATATGGTAAAGGATACCATATATATTAATAAGCTTGCTTCACTATATGCTGTTTCAGCTCATCTTCTGTACATGCTTGTTGTAGGGCAATTTTCATAATTACCTGACAGTCTCAGGTAGATGAAATGACTGAGTGAGCGGTGTTGCGGGATTGAAAGTATTCTCACTGACAATAACACCTTCTGATGTCTAAAAAGAGAAAATGTTTATGAGGGTGTTCAAAAGATACAAAATCCCTGGATGTATTTGATATACAGGTTAAACTTCCTTGTTCTGGAAATCCAAAACCTGAATTTGAAAAAAAACTGAAGGGTTTTTTTTTTGTTTTGCTTTCACCAACACTTCTGCCCTTGAGGAAAGTGGGCTAGCTGCACATCCAGTGCCCACTGATTTTTTTCCTCAAGAAATTATCATTCTATCATGGTCAGAAATTTGATAGCTCCCCTCTCCTTCTGCTTGGATAATAGTGGCGCATTGAACAGCAGGAGCTCTGGAAATTGGGCACGTGGAATGGTCAGCTTTCCAACATTACTAAAGCCCATGGCAGCTGGATGCGTTTGGGCTTTTCCTCCCCTGACGTCTACATTTTACAGGGTTTTTGTCTTAGTCAAGCCACAGAACTTAGTTTTCCTCTATGCCTTCTCTTTCCCACATCAAACTTCTGAAAGCGGTGGAGTGAGGACTTCTTGAGGAAAAACCCAGTGGGTTCTGGATGTGTAGCTATTCCCCTTTCCCCTCTATCCTTTTCATTATATATATGCAACTTCAAGCAATCCAAAAACCAAAAACATCAAATATCTAAATATCTGATATCAGAAAACTCTATTTTGTATCATAAAGCCTTCTGCTGGATATAGACTGTGAACCATCAGGGTGTGGAGACCAAAAATGGTGCAGCAGGTCAGAGCATTGAATGTAAACCAGCAATAGGTGAATTCAAATTCTAGTTTAGTCATAAAGCTCACTGGTTGGCCCTGGGCTAAACACTCAGATTGAATTGTTTTAAGGAGAAAAGAATTTATGCCACTCTGAGCTCCTCGAGGGAACAACACAATATACATTTAAGAAATAGATTTTCTTTGTTCAGGTTTAGTGCAACTGTTTCAGTCTCTGGTTGCTAGTGGTATTGGCCAACATTTCCACCTTTCTGTGAAGTTTTGGTACATGAAATAAAAAAGACGAAAAATACACAGAAAGAAAAATAAGGCTGGCAGAAAGTGCAGACTCCGCAGAGCCTACTATAATTTGGCTAATTCCCAAGACTGGGGCTGGATCTACACTGCCATACAAAATCCAGATTATCTTCTTTGAATTGGATTATATGACAGTGTATACTCATCCTGTTCAAAGCAGCTAAAGTGGATTATCTGATTTGATAATCTGGATTATATGGCAGTGTGGATCCAGCCTGAATGTCAGAAAACCAGTGGGGAGGAAGAAGAGGATTTATCCAAGTGCTAGCCCATTTTACGGGGTGGGTGGGGGTGGATATGGAGCTGAAGGAGGAAATTTTTTATTCATTTTTGCTGGTTATTTTCTCTCCCCACTTCCCATGTCATAAATGATGGTTGTTTCAAGAACAGTGACATGGGTGGGGGAAATAAAAGGAAAACAGAAAATGGTTTAACTCCTTCAACTCCCCCCTTAAAATGGACTATCCCTTTCTGTCTAGGCCCCTTTGTGGCTTTTATCTGGATAATGGAACAGTACCTTTATCCCATTCATTCCACATCCCCCCCAATCTTTATACAACATGGTCTGATTTGTTCTTCCATTATCGTAATATTCTTATATGAATTTTAAGGAAGAATCATTAACTACTTCCATCCACATTGCACACTTGTGCATAATATTCTCACCTCAAGTTGAACAATCACATTTTTGTCCAAACGTTCCATGCCATGACCCATAGAGAAAACACGGTACCGCACTGAGGGGAAAAAAGAAGAGTGAAGTGGCATTATTTATTTGTGACCAGCCACACGTTGGCATCCTAGAAAATAATTTAACACATCCTGTTCCCGTGTAAATGTTACGTTTTGGATTTCACCTCCTAAAATCCCAAGATCAGCCACTAATGGAAAAGTGTGGCATGTCTGCAGCTCTATGTCCTTCTGGGGCCCCTTCAGAAAGAGGGAGGTCTTGGACTACCAAACCTCAAGTTATATTATCATTCAAATCAAATAAGATATATCGTAGAAAGTTTAGCAAAACAAAAGGATTTGGAGTGGCTGGAAGAAGATGATAAAAATTAGAACTGAAATTAGAATATATTTTTATAGGGGTAATAGAGGAAAGGATAAAAAGAAATGGTATAATAATTTAAACAATCCCTTTAAAAATATATTTTGGAGATTTGGGGGAGATATAAAAAAACCCCAATGCCAGATATTTCTCCTATCATGCCAGTTCTAATGACAGAAAACTTTCCAGCAAATTTGATAAAAGAACTTGAAGCAGAATTTAATGGAAGAGGTTTAATGAAAGTAAAAGACTGGGAACTGAAGATGGTAAATATGGAAAGGATAAAAGAGGAATTAAGAGATTAAGGTACAAGTATTTACAATTGGGTAAATGGTTAAGTGAAATAAGGAAAAATTATAATGGGAGTAGGGAATATACAAAAATAGAAAAGATAACTCAAAGGGAGACTAAAGAAGAGAATATCTATAAACTATTATTAATGAACAAACAGGAACAAGATTATTTGAAGAAAGTATGGGAAGTAGACTTGGAGGAAAAAGTGAATAATAAGGAATGGGCAAAGATATGGAGTATGAGATTACTAAAAATATGTCTATAAGAATTAAGGAAAATTACTATAAAACGGTATGGAGGTGGTATCTAACTCCCATTAGATTAAATCAGATTGATAAAAAAATACTCAAATCAGTGTGGGAGAAGTCAGAAAATAGGGATGTACCTTCATATGTGGTGGTCATGTAAAATTATACAAAAAAATTGGGAAAACATATTGTTAGATTGTATATAATATTAAAAAAATCAAAAACATCTTTAAGCATATTTCTTATCATTTTTTAAAACTTTCCATTACAACTTATACTACGTATACCTCTACCACATATATTTTATCTACTTATACATGCTTTATTTCTTTATAATTAGTATTATACCAGATTATCTGCTTTGAACTGGATTATATGGCAGTGTAGACTCCAGTTCAAACCAGATAATGTGGATTATAGGGCAGTGTAGAAGGGGCTTTAGACTCTGATACTCAAGATGTTTTGGATTCCAGCTACAAAAAGTCCATGTAGTATGCAGTGTGCAGGAATTATGGGAGTTGAAGTACCAAAGATCCAGAAGGCCACACTGTGAGAACCACTGGTGTAGTAGACAGATTTTCAGCAGGTCTAGTTTGTTAGGGAAGTTTTACATTCTGAAATACTTCTTCCATATAATGCTTAAAGGGACAGGAGCCCCATCTCTTTTTCATGTGGCCATCCAATGTAGTGCTGATTTTCCTTAGAAAAGAGGCAACCTTTTTTTAATTATCTTTGAAGAGGATGAGAAAAAAGACCTCAGTCTCTAGATTCAGCTCTAAGGCAGGTATCTCATGAGAGTAAAGATCTAGCAATAAAATCAATGACAAATCCCAGTGATCCTTTCCATTCCCCCTTTGGCATCCCAAGTGAAACCAACAGGGAGTTTTAATAGTTATACTCAAAATAATAACAATATTTAAAACATAGAACAAAGATTAAAACACCAATATTACTAAAATTCAGAGATTAAAATTGACTTGGGAAGGCCTCTACCTGATGATCCAGGCTTGTAGATGGTTTTGTCTGTCTGGGTGAAGATGTAGCCACTTTGGAAGGAGACCAGAACCACCTTCTCAAGTGTGAAATGACGACAAGAAGCCTGGACAATAACATACTGGTTTTTCTTGGGATCCTTCTTTAGGTCTTTTGCAGGAACCTGTTTGGAAAAAAATAGTCAGGAATTAGAAAATGAATTCCTCCTATCCTTTCTTTAGCAGATAAACATTTCTATAGATGTTATGTACCATCCACAACAATAAATTCCATTCTACAGTTAGGCAAGGCAAGATGTTCTCATTTTTTAAAAAAAAATAATCATGCAATGCTCAGTTTGGTAATAATAATAATAATAATAATAATAATAATAATACTTGATTTATATACTGCTCCATCTCCCCCAGGGGACTCAGAGCGGTTCCCAGGTAACATCACAAAACATACAAAGTAAAAACAACATAACCATAAGTTTAACAAAACAAAATATAAGCATAAAAATTGTCGCCATAACACACATATATTAAAAATAATCCTGCCTGTTCAAGGCAATTTAAATATTTAAAAGGCCGGGCCAAGATTTGTGCAAGCCCAAAAATTCTAGGGGGCCCGGGAATTAAGTGCAATGCTATGGCAGGCAATCAATAATATTAGGTACGGGTCTGTGGTTGTTCATTCCGGGGCCAATTAGAGGAAAGAATCTGGGTAATTGGTAGGAAGAATAAGGCCGTATTCGACAATGTGTAGGGCTGAGTTAAAACTGGTCATTTTCAAAGGCTTGTTGAAACCACCAGGTCTTCAAGCTCTTACGAAAGGAGGGGAGGGATGGGACCTGTCTTATTTCCCTTGGAAGGGCATTCCAGAGGTGGGGGGCCACCACCGAGAAGGCCCTCTCTCTCGTCCCTACCAACCACGCTTGAGACGGTAGAGGAGGGCCTCCCCGGAAGATCCTAGAGCTCGTGCCGGTTCATAGAAGGTGATGCGATCGCGGAGATAGGCGGGGCCCGAACCATTTAAGGCTTTATAGGTCATGACCTGCACCTTGAATTTGGCTCGCCAACTTATCGTAATCTTGATCCTCTCTTGGTTCCTCCTGTATCAATCCAAATCCAGTCCAATCTGCTATAGCTTGCATTTATTATATTTTACCTACATGTATATATACTAACTTCCATTAAAGTCCACATTAAACTGTTGCACAGTTTCATTGCATTCAGGTCAAGTTATTAAGTAAATAGCCTTAATACTAAAAGTAAACAAAGATACGGCTAGACTGGTTGTGCTAGTTTAGACACTGCCAAAGAGCTCTTCTTTCACTTCCTCATTTCCTAGGAGGGATTTCTTATTCATAAAATAACCTTAAACTTAAAGGTAAACAGAAAAATAGCCAGGATAATTTTGTATTAGTTCTGGAACTGCTAAAGCACTCTTCTTCTGTGACCTCTTCTCATAGGAGTGATTTCTTCTCTCCTGTCTTGGTAAAATACTTGTTACTACTTTGCCTGTGAATCTGAAGACCCATCTTGGAGCTAAGTGAATATCACACCTCCAGGGAAAAATATTTTATAGAAGCTGGGAAGTGAAACTGTGAATATAATATATGGTTAAGGAAGTCATACTATAATTGTATTTACCTTTCCTACAACTGAAGTTTTCTGCATAAGTGTTTTCCTCTTTTCTTTCCCATTTAGTTGTAGCCCAAGAATTCTCAAAAAACAAAACAGAACAACAATGCTAGACATGCCCTACTGTATAGTTTAATGAAAGGAGGAACTCCCATGGGGAGTTGACACTGGCTGGTAAATCTGACTAGTTATGGAGGTGGCTACACACACCCTGTCAAATGCGCTACGGCAGCTGGTTGATGTCCAGATGGTCCAGTAGTGCCAAGATTGCATCAGCCTTGTTGGACTGTCACCTCACCATTCGTGTCATATGTCAAGATTATCATTTACACAGAACTGCATGTGAGCCATCATGGGTGCCTCATTCTAATATCAGCAGAAGTGCTTGTTACCCTCAGCAATATGTCCCTAAATGCACTTTATCACTGATTTAGGATTGTCTGTGCGTCCCATCTCTACCTGAAAACTCAATCCCAGTTATATTCTACCTTGTCCATGCCCAGCATTATTTTTTAAAAAATTTAAATTATTACATCTGGCCCAGCCATAGGTTTAGGAGCCCCCGGTGGCGCAGTGGGTTAAAGTACTGTGCCGGTAGGACTGAAGACCGACAGGTCGCAGGTTTGAATCCGGGGAGAGGCGGATGAGCTCCCTCTATTAGCTCCAGCTCCTCATGCGGGGACATGAGAGAAGCCTCCCACAAGGATGATAAAACATCAAAAATCATCCAGGTGTCCCCTGGGCAATTCTCTCACAACAAGAGCGGTTGCTCCTGACACGACAAAAAAAAAAAAAAAGCCATAGCTTTTAAATGCTTGTTGTTATTGTTACTGTTTATTGTTCACTTTTGTTTATGAGATTTATTTTAATCTGTTGTATTGATTGTTTTCTTATTGCTTTTATTGTTGATGTACTTTGGGTTCGGCCTCATGTAAGCCGCACCGAGTCCCTTGGGGAGATGGTAGCGGTGTATAAATAAAGTTTTATTTTATTGTTTTATTATTATGTGATTTCAGCTCTCCTTAATCACGGGGTTTGGAAACTCGGTGCACCCCAGCTATTACAGAAGGCCAGATCATGACATTAACAGGTAGAAGGCAAAATAGAGATCTTTATTCTCAATGGCTAGAGAGGATGCCTGCTGACAGGCCCGTAGCCAGGATTTTGATTCGGGGTGGGGGGTGGGGCTGAGTCTGAGTGAAAGAGGGTCTACCCTAGCAAACCTTTTGTATTGTTACCCCAATACCCCCATGCATATGAGATATATTGAGTATGGTGATCAGATCATGATATGAATAAACATAACAGTTTAAATAATGTACCAGTAAGGCCTTCTCGCGGACCACCATGAGAATTTCAGGGGGAGCTAAAGCCCCCAAAGCCCCCCCCCCCCCCCCGGCTACATGCCTGCCTGCTGAGTAAGCACTCAATGTACTGAGTGTACATATCCCATTTGTGTGTGTGGTTTATCAATGATTTGTCATTGATAAACTTTTGGTTTTCAAAAAGTTTCTTACAAATTTGTGCTTTTTGCTGTAGGAATCAGTTGTTTATCCCACATAAGGGAATTTTTAGATTTAGAGATTTGCATTGTGAATCTCTGTCAAGTTTACTTTGTACAAACTTGTCATTATTCTGTTTGAAGTTTTGCTGGTTCTGCCTCTCATGGGGCATGGGAAGGAAAAATATGGATATATTTGAGACAATTGATAGTTACTAATAATGGCAGTTTCCCCAGCCTTGGGAGGAAAATGGTCCGTGCTGATGAAACCATTTATGTTAGCCAGCCTGAATGAGTTCTCAGGAAGAGGACAAAGGAGAATGTTGGACAACTTCCTGATCTCTGGTTTGACTCCATTGTTAGGTGTGTGGTGGGATTGTTAGGGAATTACAGTGATTTTCTCAGGGTGAGGTAGAGGCAAGCGCAAGGTAAGTTCATATTCTGGGAAATTTCCAAGGAATCTCATAGAAAGGTTACTTTTTAGGGCAATTAGAAATGACCATGTGGCTGGCTATATTTTCCAATGAATCCACATCTTACAATTCATATATTTTATATAATATTGTTGAGTGGCCTGATTTCTCAATATGATAATGGAGGGGTCAGTATCTCCTCTTTTTACCTGGTCATGTAAGTGCCTCTGTTTATGTCAGAGCTGACGCGGAGTAACAACATGACCATGATCCCTCCATTTTTTGCACTGATTAGCATGAAGAAACAGAAGAGATTATGGCAGTGGTTCTCAACCTGTGGGTCCCTGGGTGTTCTGGCCTACAATTCCCAGAAATCTCAGCCAGTTTACTAGCTGTTAGGAGTTCTGGGAGTTGAAGGCCAAAACATCTGGGGACCCACAGGTTAATGATTGTGAGGAGTGGAAAGAGTTTTGCACGGCACCTTTCGAGAGAGAGAGACACGGAAGGTCGAACGCGGCCGGTTCCCCAGAGCGATCGGGCTTTCAAGCGTGCTGCTTCCATGTCAACAGCAGAACATCCTAATTGGAACTGATCCATTTGTCCACAGTGCCCCTAATCTGAGGGATACTCTGGAGTTTCAATATAACTCTGGAATATCCTCCAACTGACTGAAGTGGGGAAAAGGCAGTTTAATTCAGGATAACTTGTGATACTCACCAGATGTAGAACATCATGAAGACAGCCATGAACATTTCAGAGTGACTCTGGTTTTTCATGCAAAAGTAGACTCTCCTTCAGATAAGTGTATTGGAGTACAGCCTGACTTTGTGTATGCACAAAATGTACCCTCTGTAACCATCCCTACATACCCACCTTTATGAGAGGAGTCACCATCATGCCATTAGCTGGATTCATGGTAGCTTTGATCTGGTACAAGCTATCCCTCTTCTGTGGGAAATTATGGACAGAGACGGTCACCTCTGTGGCAGCATTGAGCCCATGAGCCTCCACCACAATCTGCTCTTCGTTTTCCACCCACAGGACACTAGGAACAGCCATGGTGTAGCTACAAAGGAGGAAAAGATCACACACTGGGTTTGTTTGCAGTAGATCAATGACAGAGTACTGCATTTTTGGAATGCTGCATCTTTGGAAAAGTCACAAAACAATTTAAATATAGCTTAAAATTTACATAAAGATATGCAAACCAAATTCCCTGTCTCCTCCATATTCCCCTTCTTTAAGCTCCTGGTTGTTCTGCTGTTTTCCTTCTGTCATCCCACCATTGATCACTTCCATCTCTCTTTTCTACAGCAGAGTGGAAAATTGCACAGCTCTTCTAATAGTGAACTGCAACCCGCAAGGCCTCCAAGTGGTATATTCTCTACCTAAGAAACTCTGCTTATTGGAGGGAAGGATATTAGAGGCAAAGATGAAGTACTTTGGCCACACAATGAGAAGACAGGAAAGCTTAGAGAAGACAATAATGCTGGGGGAAATGGAAGGAAAAAGAAAGAGGGGCCAACCAAGGGCAAGATGGATGGTATCCTTGAAGTAACTGGCTTGACTGAAGGAGCTGGGGGTGGCCACGGCCAACAGGTAGCTCTGGCATGGGCTGGTCCATGAGATCCCGAAGAATCGGAAGCGACTGAATGAATAAACAACAACAATCAAAAGCATTGCAAAAATTAGTATAAGGCAAAGAGTTAAGGCAAGGCAATGCCTCGGGACTAGAGGGGTCCAGGCGACTTTTGAACCCTGGAATTTTTTTTTTAAGTTGGGGGTCGTGTTATACGCCGGGTACAGATTGGCGAAGGTGGAAGAGAACTTCCCTCCAAGCCCGCAGGGACAGCAGCGGCCTAGCGGCAGCCCTTTCCCAACCCAGCAATAATCGAGTGCCTTCTTGGAGCGAGGGAGGCAGCGGCGTCCTACCTCTCAACACCTCCACCGGGGTGTTGCTGGTTGTTAGGCCACTGCTGTTCCAGGACACCTCTCCTCCACCCTGCCAACCTGCCACTGTGTGAGCAGGCCTAGAGGAGCAGCTGCAACCCAGCAGCAGCTTGACGGAGGCTGATGGAAGTCCTCCCCTGCCTGCAAATGGATCCTGGAAAAGTGGGAGAGGAGGCCTTTCCTCCGCTCTCGGCAGAGCAACCCAGCTAAGTCGCTCTGGCAAGAGAGGGAGAGAGGAAGATAAAGTGTATGCAGAGAAAGGGGGAAGGAAAGAAAGGTGCCCACGGAGTGAGGGAGAAAAAAGGAAAAGCACGCACAAGATGAGAGAGAAGGAGAGAAAGGCACGCAGAGGGTGAGGGAGAAGGAAAAAAGGCACACATGGGGCGAGGGAGAGGCACACGCGAGGTGAGGGATATGGGAAAAAAGGTTCACGCAGGGTGAGGGAGAAGAAAGGTGAACGTGGGTCGAGGGAGGAGAAAAGGGCACGCACATGGCAAGAGAGAGGGAGAAAAAAGTGCACACGGGGCGAGGAAGAAGAAAATAAATGTGTATGGGGCAAGGGAGAAGGAGAGAACGGTGTGCAGCCAGAAAGCGCAGAGGAAAGAAAGGTGCAATGAAAGAGGAGGAAAAGACAGCTGGGTTGCTATGCAGAGAGTTGAGGGTCCTAGCAGGAAGCACCTTCCTGGCGATATCATCCTCCGTGGAGCAGCTGCTGGGATGCAGCCGCTCCTGTAGGCGGGCCCAGGCGCGGAGGAGAGCCATCCCCAGGCCAGCGAAGAAGAATGGAGAAGCCTCCGTGCTGCAAACGCTCCCTGAGTTGCAACAGCGTTTGCAGGCGCCTCCCAGGAGATAGCTGTGGCAGGAAGGAAAATGCAGGTTCCCAATTTCCAAGGTCTGTTTTCCCCAGACCCCCCAGTATTCTCTTGTTATTCATGGGTGTTCTCTGTGCCAAGTTTAGTCCAATTCCATGGCTGTTAGGGTTTCAGAATGCTCTTTGATTGCAGAGAACTATAAATCCCAAGCAGCTCCCAATTTCCAAGGTCTGTTTTCCCCAGACCCCCCAGTATTCTCTTGTTATTCATGGGAGTTCTCTGTGCCAAGTTTAGTCCAATTCCATGGCTGTTGGGGTTTCAGAATGCTCTTTGATTGCAGAGAACTATAAATCCTAGGCAGCTCCCAATTTCCAAGGTCTGTTTTCCCCAGACATCTCAGTATTCTCTTTTTGTTCATGGAAGTTCTCTGTGCCAAGTTTAGTCCATAAATCCCAAGTTTAGTCTATAAATCCCAAGCAGCTCCCAATTTCCAAGGTCTGTTTTCCCCAATGTTCAAATTTGGGCATATTGAGTGTTCATGCCCAGTTTGGTCCAGATCAATAGTTGTTTGGGTTCAAAGTGCTTACTGGATGTGTGAACTACATCTCCCATTAATTCTTCCCAAACCCCTCCAGTATTTTCTGTTGATCATGGGGGTTCTGTGTGCCAATTTGGTCCAGGTCTGTAATACATGAAGGTCTCATTGGTCTGTAGAAGTAATTGCTGAATCGGTTCAAGGTACTGCAAATCCGATCATCTCTTGTCTATCGTCCCCCAAACATTGTTTTTCTGATTAATCACTATGCTTTAATTATGTTCCATTTGTAACAATGAAATCCTGCATATCAAATTTTACATTACGATTCATAAGAGTAGCACAATTACAGTTTTGGATTGTGTGATTTTAATAAATCGATGTAATTGTTTTTAGATGTTTTTAATTCTTTCGTTTGGATCTCCCTCCTTCTCTCCCTCCCTTCACGAGGTGGGAGGAGGAGGCAGAAGAGGGGTGGTCTTATACGGTGAGTATATCCCAAACTCCATATTTTAACTGGAAAAGTTGGGGGTCGTCTTATACGCCCAGTCGTCTTATATGCCGGAATATACGGTACTTGAATTCACATCTTGGGATTTGGTGGGAAACCAACACATTTGGCAGACAGTGCCAAACCAGCCCTAGAAAGAGAGTCCTAAACATGATGGTTCTTCATACTGTATAACTTTAGCGAGAAAACAACAGAATAACACGTCACCCTGAACAATGATCTGGTTATGTTTGGGGGGGGGGGGTTTGCTGAAATTATTATGTACTTACAGTTGACTGTAGGAAGAAGTTGGGAAACAGACCAGGAGGGTAGTCACCAAGCAGAGCAAGGATTCCTTCATTGTGAACAGGAGGGCGGGTAGCAAAGGTAGCAGTCACCCCAGTATTTGTTATAAGAGCACATTATTCAGCCTATCCCTTTTGCAAGAGCTTAATGTTTAATCAGCATATGGGGAGGAGTTTGAGCTACGTGGGAATTTCAGAAAAACCATTAGATCTGTCAAGACGTATAAGGAATGCTATGTCCTTTTTAAAATCCTCTGCTAATCAATATCTTCTCTCAGTTCTTGTGGGTTTTTTCCGGGCTATATGGCCATGTTCTAGAGGCATTTCTCCTGACGTTTCGCCTACATCTATGGCAAGCTTCCTCAGAGGTCTGCTGGAGCTGGGAAAAAGGGGTTTTCTCTTCCGAAGAGATAGAGCCATTGGCATGAACCTGATATATTTTAGCTTGAAGAAATCTATAGAAGTGCTCATAGAAAACTGCAGCACCGGGTTGAGGGTACAAGAAGTTGATGCAATGGTTATCATAGTAGTTCTTTTTGTCCCTGTGTGTAAGTCATTCAGGATTCTGGTCCAAAATTTCTGCCACCTTTTATTTCTTCTTTTTATCTGTACTTAAAGAAGTTTGTCTGTCATTCATTGAGGCTTCTCTTTAGTTTTTGCTGCAGACAGTGTCTTTTTGCATTCCTCCCTGGCAACATCCCTGGCTTCAGTCCGCAGTTCTTCTGGCTCTGATCAATTCGGCTTGAAAATGCAAATCTATTTTTTTACATTATCTTTAAATTCTATAGGGATGTTCTTTAAATTCATATGGAGAGGGAAAAAACACAGGATAAATGCCAAAAATCTAATTGATGTTAAAAAAAATAGGAGGCTCTGCACTACCAGAATTACAACTATACTACGGAGCAGCCGCTCTAAGCTGGATAAGAGATTGAGGAACATTGAAAAAAAAGAAAATCCTAGCTCTGGAGGGTTTTGATATTGCTCAAGCTGGCACGCCTATCTGTGGAGAGGGAAGGAAAAAAAAAAAAGAACTTTAGAAACCACCCGATACGAGCAGCACTTATCCAGACCTGGAACAAGTACAAGGATAGATTTCACCAAAAGACGCCAGTGTGGTTGTCCCCCAACAAAGCCTAACATAAAAGAGAATTGCCCAGGGAGAAGTGGTTGACCTATAAACAATTGGTCAAGATTAAAGGACAAGAAATAATACTTAAATCACAAGAAGAACTTGTATTAATAGATCCCACCATCTCAAATACCGTCAAATTAAAGAAAACTTCAAAATAGATAGTGTAATAGGCTTCGAAACTAAAGAAACCTTCTGGGACAAAATACTAAACACAGATACAAAATTAATAAGAAAAATATACAATCAACTACTAACATGGACCACAGAAACTGAACAAATAAAAGATAACATGATAAATTGGTTGAACGATATAGGCCGATCCATACTCTTAATGAACTGGGAAGAGATTTGGCAAAAGAAAATCAAGTATACCTATGCAACGGACCTTAAGGAGAGTTGGTATAAGATCTTTTATAGGTGGTACCTAACACCAGAAATTCTTGCAAAAAAAAAAGATGCAAAAAAAAAAAAGAAAAAATATATACAAAAAACAAAACCTAAGCTAAAATGACTTCCACTCAAATCCCAGGATCTTTTCCAGTTATTTCTTCATCTTATTTATATCTTCTTAGTCTGTACTATTTTTCTATTTTTTTCATAGTAAAAAAAAAGGGTCCAATCTGCCCTTTTTACAGATTTCCTGGTATTTTTTTTCAACAAAAAAGTAAGTTTGTCCATGTCTCTTATTTCTTTAAGTTTGTCTAACCATTCATCAATAATGGGAATTTGTTCTTTTTTCCAGTGTCCTGCAAAGCTAATTCTAGCTGCTGTTCGTTCTCTTCGAGTTGTAGTTCCAGGTCTGTGAAGCCTAACAAATAATATTCTGTTTTTTCTTAAACTTTCTCTTAAGAATTTTTTGTGTTTCCTCATGTATTAGTGACCAATATTTGGATGTTTCCTTACATGACCACCACATGTGGTAAAATGTACCTATCTGGTCGCTACACTTCCAGCATTTATCAGATGTATTTTTATACATATGGCTTAATTTTTTTGGAGTAGTATACCATCTGTGGAACATTTTAATCCAATTTTCCTTCAAATCCATTGCATAAGTATATTTCAACTTTTTGTTCCACATTTGTTCCCATTCTCTAAATTGAATCGGTCTTCTTAGGTTTTCAGCCCATTTGATAATACATGATTTGACCTGTTCCGTTTCAGTTAACCACACTAGTAATTTATTATAAATTGTTGTTTCCATTCTTAGAATTTTATCCCATGTATTTTCCTCCCAGTCAAATCCTATTTTTATCTTGTTTATATTCTTTAATTTGTATTTAATGAAGCCATGTTAAATTTTCATAGCTATTCTTTAATTGTGCAAAAGTTTTGATCTCTATTTTATCTTTAATTAGAATGTCTTTATATCTTGGCCATGTTCTCCAGCCTAAAAGTCTCCTTTGGTGTGCCTCCATTGCAGAAATCCACAATGGCGTTGTTTTGTAGAATAGTTTTTTATATTTCAACTAAGTTCTTAATAGTGCAGCTCGGACAAAGTGATTTCCAAAGTTTTTCTTTAGTTTCCCTATCATACCATATGTAGGCATGCCAGCCTACTCTCAGATCATAGCCTTCTAAGTTCAAGCATTTCTCTTTTTTCAAAGTCATCCAATCTCTTACTCATAACAATGCACACACCTCGTGGTAAGTTTTCAAATCAGGGAAACCTAGGCCACCTCTTGTCTTTTTATAAATTAAGTTAATATAATTTATTCTTGGTTTGTTTTGGGCTTTCAAGTCGTTTCAGACTTAGGTTGATACTGAGCGAGGGCCAGGTAAATTACCTTGGAGGGCCGTATCCGGCCGCCGGGCCTTAGTTTGAGGACCCCTGGTTTAGACTGTCCATGACCAAACTTGCCGGCATTCTGGTAAGCAACAGTGACATTTGGGAAGTGACTCATGATCAATTCATCTTTGCAATTTGTGACCCACTCCCAATAAAAATAAAAGAACATTACAGCAAAGCTACTGCAATTCAAGAAAAAAAGCAACTAAACATATGTTGAGGGTAGGGAAACACTCCAGGTTATTACTATTTATTTTACTGGTATTTCCTTATGGATCAATGAATGACCCATTCATCACTTCACTGTAACAATTCACAGAAACATTTCCTTTTGTTGAAATGTCGTTTCACATATGCCCTCAACTGTACACAGTCCTGGTCATTTGCATGCCATCTTCTGAATATATTGATGTGAGAGGTTTTTTGTACAATTAAGGTTCAGATACTTCACTTAACAAGGGCTAATTAGGAGAGGCTTCCAAAACAAAGCCATAAATAAACTATTCTAAGCAAGTGGTTGTGGAGGTAAGGTGATAGGGAAAAGGGTGAGCCTACAAATACAGCGGGGATTTCCCCTAGGCTGATCTTCAAATTCTTCCTTCTGAAATTACCGGTATCCTTACGATCTTTTCAGGCTGAACTCAAAGGCAGCAACATCTGCTGTGGTGAATTGCAGGACACCATTTTACAATGGGACTCTGTTCTCAGAATCCCCTCTCCTCTTGTTTGCATAATGTTGGACTCATGGTCTCTTTTTTCATTTTCTCACACTTAGAATCATAGAATCATAGAGTTGGAAGAGACCTCATGGGCCATCCAGTCCAACCCCTACCAAGAAGCAGGAATATTGCATTCAAAGCACCCCTGACAGATGGCCATCCAGCCTCTGTTTAAAAGCCTCCAAAGAAGGAGCCTCCACCACACTCCGGGGCAGAGAGTTCCACTGCTGAACGGCTCTCACAGTCAGGAAGTTCTTCCTCATGTTTAGATGGAACCTCCTCTCTTGCAGTTTGAAGCCATTGTTCTGCGTCCTAGTCTCCAGGGAAGCAGAAAACAAGCTTGTTTCCTCCTCCCTGTGACTTCCTCTCACATATTTATACATGGCTATCATATCTCCTCTCAGCCTTCTCTTCTTCAGGCTAAACATGCCCAGTTCCCTAAGCCGCTCCTCATAGGGCTTGTTCTCCAGACCCTTGATCATTTTAGTCGCCCTCCTCTGGACACATTCCAGCTTGTCAATATCTCTCTTGAATTGTGGTGCCCAGAATTGGACACAATATTCCAGGTGTGGTCTAACCAAGGCATAATAAGAACCTTGCAAGAACCTTGCAAAACAGTGAAATTCGGGGATACAAAACAAAACTTATTCAGTCTTTTGGGGAGCTTAACACGCTGGGCTTCCAAACCCAGTGTTCTTGTGGAGCTTTTTTTTTTTTGTCGTGTCAGGAGCTACTTGAGAAACTGCAAGTCGCTTCTGGTGTGAGAGAATTGGCTGTCTGCAAGGATATTGCTCAGGGGGTGCCAGGATGTTTTATCATCCTTGTGGGAGGCTTCTCTCATGCCCCCACATATGGAGCTGGAGCTGATCGAGGGAGCTCATCCGTGCTCTCCCCGGATTCGAACCTGCAACCTATTGGTCTTCAGTCTTGCCAGTACAGGGGTTTAACCCACTGCACCACTGGGAGCTTTTTGTTTTTTTTTGTCGTGTCAGGAACTCCTGTTGTGAGAGAATTGGCTGTCTGCAAGGACGTTGCCCAGGGGACGCCAGGATGATTTTTGATGTTTTATCATCCTTGTGGGAGGCTTCTCTCATGTCCCCGCATGAGGAGGTCATCCGCCTCTCCCTGGATTCGAACCTGCGACCTGTTGGTCTTCAGTCCTGCAGGCACAGGGCTTTAACCCACTGCGCCACCAGGGGCTCCACTGGGAGCTGAAATTACTCAATGTTTAATCCCAAGAGTTATCCCAAGCTTAGCCCAGCCACTGCTTCAGCAGTAGCAATCACTCTCTCTAGCAGTTTGAGCAAAAGTGGAGCAGGTATTTCTGAAAGGGCTACAAAAGGATTGAACATTAAACACTGGGAGCTGAAATTACTCAGTGTTTAATCCTTTTGTAGCCCTCTCAGAAATAGCTGCTTCAGTTTTGCTCAAACT